GGAAGGCCAAACACACCTTTTATTAAAGGGCTGCAAACACAGAATCTCTCTTTTTTTTCCCCTTCTTTTTTTGGTTCATTCATTCATCTTCTCCAACATCTCAATACACTGAAAACTTACATAAAAGTTTGGATATGTAGCATATAAACCTAGTAATTAACATATAATAATTGAGGCCTTAATTACATGTAATTAAAAATTGGCAGATGAGAGGAGATTGCTTAAGCCCAGCATAGCACTGCTCCTAATATCAATTCCTTGGCTTATGTTGCAGCCCAGTCCTTTCTGATATCAGATGTGTAGTTAATTTCCAAGTAACACTTGTTATCATCATTAAGAAACTGCAAACACACATACACAAGAAGGTTTACAGTTATTAGAGCAAAGATGTTTGATTTCTAAGCGATCGCGATCCAAATGGATGATATGAAGGACACGGAATCCTTCTTGTTTCTCATCAGAAAGTAAATGAAAATTTGTGTTTCTAACCCTTTATTGAGGCTGGAAAAAAAGTGGCTCTCATCAAGGATTTGGAGAGAGCGTTCCTTCTACTTTGAGTGTATAAATCGAGAAATTCATTTCTATGACAATCTTTAAGTCTAATGAAACCGTGCTCAAATCAGTTGAATAGATATTTATCTGATTTTGAGGAAAGTCATCATGTAATGAAAAGGGTATAAGTTATTTAGCAACAGTGGTAGTTTTGAGAAGTAAGTTTGTCAAAAGAACAGTCATATGGAAGGAAAAAAAAGGGACAACATTCAAAATAAAGTACACATTTTGAACATGGCCCATGTCCCTAAAGAAATAGTGGACAGCACAACAGGGATCAATTAATGGACTCGATGGGCCACATGATTTGAACAGCATGAAGACTTGGAAATAATGAAAAAACTTCTTTAATTATGAGAATGGTAAAAGGGTTCTGTGTTCTCAAGCATTGTAGCTACTATTATTGCAGAGAAGTCAAAAAAGGAAACTCAATGAATGCTTAGTTGCATGCTAAAGAAGATGATGAAATTGATGCCAAACAGGGGTTTTGCTTGTAATCCATCTCGTCGGGTTTGATATCGGAAATCGATTATCGACTTCTAATTTGAAGGTCTAGATAAAATTTTTTAACTCACTTTTGACTAAGCAGTCATGCTGAGGCCGTGGTGATATGATCTTGCTGACCGTGGTGAATGAATGCTTAGGTTGTGCTCTAGATAGTTAAACGAGTTTAAAAAAACAAACTGACCTTAGATCTTGCTGAATATGATCCACGAGCGAACATGCCGGAGGGCGTGGTGTCCTCAGGCATTATATGAGTGTAGGCCTCTAGCTGGGGGACTGAAAGTTCCAAGCATCTCTTTGGAGGTGTCAACTGAAACATAGAAGTAATTGAAGTCGTCATCAGTTCATCGAAACTCGATACTTTTAGGAATGAAAAGGTAGATTAAGACAGAAACAAACCTTTGACACCAGTTTTCCAAACAGTGTTGGTGTACTTGAGGCCAACAACAATGTTGTTAGTCACTTGGAAGGAGAATTTCAGGTTGTAACAGCTGCCTTCCTTCAGGGTAACCACAACCCTTTCGGATTACCGTCGTCGGGAATTGGAAGAACCAAGTCCGGTCTCTCTTGGGACACTAATGACAAACTAAGAATCTTCACATCTGGCTCAACAGTTTCTACAGAAAAAACACAAACAAGAAACCAGAGTATATGAAACACAACCAAAACATAATTTAGTATAACAATTTTCCCAAGGGGAAAAATATGGCTGCAGATACCTCAAGATAACTTCATAGAAGCATTTTCAGAACAATGCTAGAAACTAGATCACAAAAAGATATGCAGTCAACAAACAAAACCAAGAAGAATTCTAATCAACTACCTGCAGAATTTTCTAAATCCACAGCCCCAAGAAGCTGCTCTTTCCACCTCCTCAGACTCTCATCATCTTGAACTTATAAAGAGCAGAACAGAACAGAAAAGAAACAAAGCTTTATATACTATTACTAACAAACACAAGAAAATTGATCACACCAATATAATTTTGAATGTGAGAAGATAGGAACAAGATTAWCCTTATCCTTCTCGAGCTCTTCTTTCAATGACCCAATTCGGTACTTCATTCATCATCCGTCTCCTCATCCGCTGTATTAACAAAAGTTTCACTCGTCTGTCTCCCAAACTTCGCCAACTCATTCTCACTTTCCTTGAAGCAGCCCCAACAGCCAAAGACATTTAAGGGTTACACCAAAACAAAGAAAAATCGACCACGCCCCATGAATCAGAACATAAGGAAGCTCTAAATTATCAACATTTCCGTAGTAAGAAACCCCAGAAGAGAATTTAGCTCTGGTTTCGGGTTTCGAAGACTGGAAAAAGAGGGAGAAAAAGTTGTGTGGTGATCCGAAATCGGCAAACGGGAGCATAAAGAAACGAAGGATTGATTGATTGGATGAATTTTGATCGTTGGTACATGAAAAAGAAAGAAAGGAAAATTATGGGTTTGAAAAATTGAGAATTGCGGGGGCAATGAAGCTTAAAACACCATAATTGTTGTAAGATATGATGTTAATTAAAGCGTAAGAGTGTTCGAAGAGAAGTTGATATATGGGCCTGAAATTTGCAATCAAGCCCAAACTTCAACACAGGGAAACCCAATACATATATTGGCCCATAATTAGAAAAAGCCCATTAGTAGCTTGGAGTAGGAGAGACGAATGAATTTTGATTTTGGACACTCGATCAAGATTTTTCATTTTGATTTAATAAACAATTACAGCAAGTGATTAAGTTTGAGTGAGTTTCTTATGACTAATTCTAAAATGGGGAAAATTGTTCCTAACCGATTAAAAATAGTTTTTTCAAAATTTTCACGGTGTTTGTTTTATTGAATGACAAAGAGATTTTGAAAATTTCACTCAAAAGCATTTGAATTAGTTCGAGGTGAATAAGATAATACTACTCCCAAAAATATTTATAGAAGTGGTGAATAGGATAATTTCAAGAAAAAATTATCCAAAACTCACCTAAGTATTTGTATTCCACCTATGTGGATGGTACATTTAAAATTTTACCTATTACCTACAATGTAATATTCTTAAAAATTTTCAAAACAAAATCTTTTGAAAAAACAAAATGTGGTGAATAAAATATGTCAACCAATTATTGGTTGAGGAGATTCCACCTGTCCCAAGTCCTCATTACCACGGCACCCCAAATACTAAAATACTAATATATCTAATATGAAGTTGATATTAGGTACATCAATTATATTACTAATTAATAAATATTTCACCTTACATAACAAATATATACGAAGTATATCAATTATATATATTTCATATTAGGTATATGACTGGTTAATCTTCTCGAAGTAAAAAATTTTGGTTTAAGTAAAATTGTAGATTTTTTTTTATATACTCCGTTTTAGGCATGTTGTGATATATCTAAAATGAATGTATATCCATACKTTTTAATTTTTTTTTTCTCAGGGCTCAACTTTCTTTTTTATTTGTTTGTTTTTGTTTTTGCTTTATTTATACATGGTAAAAGTAGTTGCTATATTTATAATTATCTATTAATTTTTTCGCTATTTTTAACTAGGCTCTTTCTTTCTCTTTTCTAAAATAGCAACTCGAGTAATATAAAATATTAACTTTGATATATTTTAGATGGATGAAATTATAATTGTGACTTCTATAAAATATAGTACAATCAATATAGAAATGAAAGATTGAAGTTTTAATTTAGAAAAAGATGAAGCAATGAAAGATTGAAGTTCTTTCAATTTAGGAAGAAGAAGCAAGGCTTAGGTTTTTCTTATAAAATTACATTTATTAAAAAGTTCACTACATTTTTTATCACACGAGATTCAAAGAAATCTATGCTGCCAATTTGAATCTAACTCAATTGGTTAAGRTATGGATTGCCAACTAAAAAATCGTGTGTTCCAATTTTTACYCTCCATATTTTGTTGTATTGAAAAAAGCTGACATAGGAAATCTTACTAATTGGGATCCACGATATTGTTTAATTAATTATGATTTTCGAATACTTTTTCTTTCATGTTTTAATTTTTCCATTTAAAAAAGGTAGTTTATTGAAAGTGCCCACATTTTCATATGTGGAAAGCCTAAATAACTCTAATTTGTTGCTTTATTTAATTCCATCCATTTTTCAAAAGCCTTATCTCTTTTCTATTTTATATGAACATTTTATATTTTCAACTCTAAAAAAGCCAACTTATTGGGTTGACAATAATGATAAAATTGATAATAATAATAATAACAGCCTTTTTTTTTTGTTAAAAATAATAATAGACTTAACATTTCAACTCTTGTGATAAAGACAATAATTTGTACATTAATAATGAAGAAGCTCACGAGTTGCATTCATGTTGAAATAGTAATTAAGTTCAAAAGCTTATATGGTAAATTGATAAACAGACTTAGTTATTTGCTAATTAAGATAAATAAAAGTTAAAAAAGCTAAAACCTGGAACATGAATTAATTATTAATTAGGGTTAGGGGTCGTAAATTCTCACCCCACATTTGTTGTAATAAAAAAAATATATTTAGATTAAAAAACCGACAGCTCAAAGCATGCTTTGAGCACACAAAAACCAAAGATGATGTAGAATGGGAATAAAGATCCCTACCAAATTTAATTTGAATGGATTTGAAAGATTTATGCACTAATACTTTATTAGTTAAATTACYTTTTCTCATAACTCATACCCCTATTAATCCCTCGGAGTTAAATGTTCAAACTTCGACGCTTTTAATTGGTTGTCAAAAGTCTATATATATATATATATAAATAAAAGTAGACACAACGTGGAGACAATATTCTAAATTTATAATTTAGCTTTCATAATATTTTAAACTTTTGAAATTTCAATCTCTATTTTAAATTTTAATTTTTATTATAAACTCTGCATTTGTCTCCCTCTATATAAGCCACTGGCCATCCTCCAGAAAATAATATTTTCTTTCTTCAGCACTTGCTCATTCTCCTCTCTCTCAAAGAAAGAAGGCGTTTTCATGGCCACCGCTGAGGTATCCTAAAAGTTTTTTTTAATATCTTTTTTGGAACGTAGAACGAAGATTCGAACTTCCAACCTTAACAAATTGACCTAAAAATAGTCGTTTATATATATATTTTGATAAGGGAAAAAGAGCAATATAGAAGAATGATAAGAGATATTTTTTCTCTTCSATAAATAGCTATAAAATTTTTAGTGATGATTTTTGTAGACTGTATCTTCCAACTCTGTTCTTTCGGGAGAAACAYCTGATCTTAAAGGGACAGATACAAAAGAAGAAGTGGAGGAAAAAGCGGGGGACGCCGTACCAAAACCGGAAGAGGTAAGGCAGGAGGAAGAAGAGAGCGTTGAAGTTGTTGCTCCGAACGATGAAGAAGTTGAAGTTGCGGCCAAGGAGACTGAAGAGGAGGAAGTCGAGGAAGAAGAAGATGAGGTTGTGATCCTGTCGGAGGACGAGGCGGTGGAGGAATTAGTCGAAGAAGAGAATGGTGGCTCAGACGAGTCAGCGACAATGGAGATCGGAACTCCAGAGGTAGAGGCGGAGAAGGAAGAGGAAGCGCCAGCGAATACGGCGGAATAAAGAAAGAAGTGAGGATTGTGCATGTGCATGGGGTGCTGGCTGAGTTAAAGGGAAAATTTGTGATGAAATTTGTACGTGTTTTTATATTTTTGGCTTTTGAATAATTTTCATATTTTAATTAGGGGTTCTTTTAAGGGAAAACAGTGTATATGGAATGTGAATGAAACTCATTGTAAACCTTTCTCACGAAAAATTTTTATTACTACAGGAGTACCATATTCTATAGTATTTGAAATTTTCTCCTTTTCCACACGTTAGACAGATCCAATTTCAAATGGTTGAGTTTCATTGGGTACGGTTGAGTTTAAATAAATTGATTTGTGTATATGGGTTGTTGTTTGTGTTCAATATTTATATATACACTAGAGAAACAATGATGTTTGGTTCTTTAATTTTATCCTAAAGTATTTGAAAAAAAATTATAACTTTACTTTCACTTTCTGTGCTGGAAGTTTCTTTTAATCAAATCCTTATCATCACAATTAAAATTCACTGATTAAGAATGATGTAAAATACATTTTATAAACTTAATTAAAATCACCCCTATATTTTAAATTTAACGAGAGTTGGACATATTGACCCACAAAATCAAAATCTATTCAATTAACTTAAGGTACGTTTGGAAGGGATGGTAGAATGAATGATTTTTAAAAATGAAATTTAAGTATAATTAATTTTTCAAAATCACCCATACCTTAAAAATCAATTTAGATTTATTTTAAACTTTTTCAAAATCATTTTTTTTAATTTACCAAACATCGGGAAGTGATTTTGACAAACACACTTAAAAAGCACCAGAAATAGCCACTTTCTAAGCTTGTACCCTTTTTATAAAACCATGGTCTTCTTCTACCCCTTTTACAATCTAAATGACTGATTCAAATAATCTTATAGTTTTGTAAATCAACTTGAATATTAATATTATTAAAATCATAAATGAAATTCTGATCGCTATATATAAATAATATCACGAGAAAAAATAATTGAAAACAAAAACAATATGTAGTTAGTTCCAAAGATTTTAAGGATTTTTCGCTCTAATTTTCAAAATTACATGTAATCGAAACTTTTTTCAACAAAGACAACCTTAGTTTGCAAGAATACATATAACATAAATAGAAACATAAATATATATCAAAGAGATTGGATGAATGAAATATTGAGGAAGATATTGCAAAAGAATATCCAGTTCTAACATCCTATTACAAAAAACTGTATTAATCATGGCCGTTCTCAGTTTTGAATAAAATCCAAAACAATCTCAATATGGATAGTAAAACCAGCCCAAATCATTCAAAATTTTCGAGTCCAAAATGTCAGGAAAAAGGTAATAGAAAACACATCACCAAAATCACACAACTTGATAATTCTCTGTAATCAACTGTGTTCTCTGAGCATATTTGGGAGGAGCACTGCCCTTGAGAGGCAAAATGTTGACAACCTGCAACAATGGAGTTTACACATACCCATGCTTAGGAACCCAAGAAAAAGGATGCAAATGAGAGAAAAAGTCAGTCTAATAGTATACACAATAACAGAATAAGAGTAAACCTTTAAGTCGCTAAATGTGCTAGTTGCTGAGAATCGGACAGAAATGGGGAAAAATACTGATGAATCGGCTGGAGGAACGACGAACTCCATTGATCCACTGTCGAAAAGATAATAAACATAAGCATGCAATGATAAAAAGAGTAACAATGTTCAGCAGAGAGGATTTCAAGAACTACATACCTGCGGTTTGAATTATCAATGAGAACTATGGACCACTCCAAGACAGAATTTCTAGAATCATACCTGCCAGGTTGGGCACAAACAGATGTTAATCTATTGGAAAGGAAATGAGAAAAAGGAAGGGTTTTAAATTGCCATAAATTTTGTCTTTACATAAGCTTTTCACAATATGAACTAAAGTTAAGTTTTAAATTATAAATCAAAATGAAATTCTTAATGAACACCGAAAAGAACATTGAGAAATCAGTTAAATAAAAACTAACGGAGTAAAAATCAATCTATACCTCCATTCTCCATCAATCTGCCTCACACTAGGTGCCTCACGAAGAGCAGGAAGAGGCACTGAGATGACAACATTCCGCAGGTCAAACATTGATGAAGCTTCATATTCAATGCTGACATAAGTCTCATTTCCAGAAACAGAAGGCCAGCAGTTGACTGCAACAACAAAGGCCTGATAAATATAGATTTTAAAAAAATAAAAAATGGTATGTGAAAGACTCGGACTCACTTGTTAATGGAACCATTGATTCATCAGTACTTTGCATTCTCCACTTCAAGAGACCAACTCCAGCCTCACTACCTTGACCCGTAGGAAATGGCCTGTTGGGGTCCTTCAAGCCTAGAATATTTTCATTGGAAAATAACTCTTTGTTCATGTTAGGGTGAGTTTTGAAAAGGATGCCAGGGTTCCCACCGGTCTCAATCTGAAAACAAGGCATAAAGAACCAAGATAGCAAAACAAAGCACAAAACCAACTCAGCAAAACAAATCAAAAGAACATCATGAGAACAAAATTTGAGACAAAAAAAAGTGCAAGAGAGGCCGTTGAAAACATTATAGGACAAATTATGAGACAAAAAACTGTGCTATGTGCATAAGTCATAAATTATCAAATGATGAATCAATTTAGCTTCCTACACAAAGGAAAGTTTAGCGTGTACTCCAGAAATTGGTAACTTTTTTTTTTTTTTTGAGATAAGAAATTGGTAACTAGAAGTAGTGAAATAGTGGAAATTATCAGATATTTATTGGTGATACCAATCACCTACGGTCTAGGGAAGTTGTAATATCTGTAATACAGTATCCTTAAATTCCATAAAATGCGCCAAAGTACCTGAACTTGAATGTGTGCATCTTCTTGGTTAAGAATTTGAAGGGAAAGTGTTCCCTGAAGATCAAAGTTACTAACTCCACCATCTCGTTTCAGGGACACATTGAGTTTCTCCTCGACAGACAGAGTAACAGGATCAGTTGGGGGTGGGACAGCTGATCTAGATGGACCAACTTTTGGCTGTACATCTTCAACGATTACTTCACCTTCTGCTTTTAAAGATTCCAAGAATTGATTTGCCCTTTGGGATTTACCAAGCTGCATGCCAAGGCCTTTAGGAGGTGCAGTAGCAGATGAAGGTGGACGGCCTAATAATAGAATACAAAGTAGAATGGTAGTGTCAGCTTAATACATGACAATCCTCATTGGCCATAAAATATATCAATTGCTAAAAGATAATTAGGCACAGTATATAGTGTCGATGTGAGAACCAGTGACTGCCACAAATATGCGTGACAAACCAACAACTCATCATAGATAACATTCCAGAAACACACATTTAAACAAAGAGTAACCTTTAGGCTTGCTAGAAAAGGTCTCCACATCAGCACCCAATCCAAAACCAGAACTGCTACCAAAACCACCTCCACCTCCTGTTGATATGCCCATGTCACCGAGGCTATTCTCAATCTTTCCTGATCCCATGGACTGTAAAGACATAAAGCCTCCTTTATCACCCCTATTCTTTTCAATCTGCAATGTATATGACAAGAAAGAACAGTTATCAACTCTTTTTCTTCCTCGGAAAATGATTTTTTTCCTAAAAAAAATTTGTATTAGTTTTGAGAAAAGACTGATGGTACATAAAATATACCTTGCTTTTGTCAATCTCACTTGCTTTCCGCTTCATGACATCCTTAGTTTCATTGATCTTGCTCTGCAATACCAGTTTGTGCAACTTCTCTTCATGACTCTCCATCTCACAGTACTGCTTAACCTGTGCAACAGTCACGTTTTCCTTGTGCCCAAGAGAAATAACCTCATCGAAAGCAAAAATCAAATCAAAAGCTGTTTTGCAGATTCCTTCTTCATCCATAGAGAGTGAATATTCAGGTACCTGAAATTACTTAAGGACACCAGCATAATTCCATTCTAAGCATGTTTTACACAAACAGTTGTAAATAACTATCGTACTTGAAACTTTTCCAAGTGGTAGGGAACATGCTTTACTAAATAGATAAAGGAACTCTGCATATCCTTCCATATCACATGAATATGCAAACAAAACTCACATATACACATGTACGTGGGTACGACTATGATCAAGGAAATATTCTTGTAAAAACAATTCTTCAAGATGACTTCTTAAGTCAGAAAATACTTGATTTTGTTTCATATAATATGAACTAAATAAAATTTTATTTTCTTTCTGGAGTGCACCTCAAGTATTCATCAAAGACAATTTAATAAACGTCCACTTTGTTTCAGCATATGAAAACTTGGCTAGTTGCCTTGAAATTAACTAATTCAAAGTTGAAGATCTCCGGAAGGCTTATGGAACAAAAGAGGTTAAAGTAGAATCAAGATTGGAAGCCAACAGACCCAAATTCAACACAAGATCATCTTAAAGTGCACCAGAAACAGCTATAGGCCATCTCAAAAAAGGATACAAGCTTAGAAAGTAGCCTTAAAGTGTCCAAATCTTCAAGGATGTTGCTCTGTTTATTCGTTACAAGAAGCAAGTATAAAGCTTCTATTGGCTGGTAAACATAACGAACATTTTCTGTTTCCACGTATGTATGCTGCTTTCCAGTTCCAACCAACTTTGGAAAAGCAGCAAGAAGGCCCTCAATTCTGATTCGAGACATATCAACGAACTGTCTAGAAACAAGAACTGCAAAAACAATACCTCAAAAAAATGGTTAGTAGCAAAGAAAATTACATCAAAACAAAAGACAGCCTTGTAAGTAGTGATTAAAATTGATCATATACTTGCAAAGAAAAATTACAGGAGAAAGGGCGTGTGTTTGGTTTGCATGCATGTGAGGGAGAGAGAGGATAATAAGTATGAAGTGGAAAAAATAAACTATGAAAACCGTCATTACGGAGGAGAAATTTCAAATATTATTAACCAGTGGGGGACTTGAAGATGCTATATAATGGGTGAAGAAAATATCTCACCTTTTCCAGACTTGCTAACAATCGAAGCAGCAAGAACAACCTATGCAACATATAAATGGTTAGTCAAAAGAAATAAGGGGGAAGAAGAAAAGATAAAGTAATGAAAATCCCACTTGAAAGTAAAAGTATGCAACTAGAAAAAGTAAAAACAAGAAACATTGCAATCAAATACATAATAAAATCCAGCTATGTAACAAGCTTGAAAGAAAAATCACTAATGATCTTTATGAGAAAGATGCCCATGCTAGAAATCACTAAAGTAAATTAAGGGTGGATATCAAATTCAGTGATACCCCATTATAAATTATATAAGTATCCTGATCCATTAATCTCAAACTCTAGCAAAATCTTCTGGAAAAAAAAGCACATATTATAAGATAATTTCATATAAATTTCCATAAGAATGTGGATAAGGAGAGACAACAAATAGATTGATAACAAAAATATCTTTACCATTTTTTATGATATGAGAATGCAAACCAACAATCACTGACTTCAGACAGGAGAGAGTTCGTCTTCCGCACCTAGAAATTAAATTTTGTCAGTCAAAAACTATTTAGAAAAAATAAGAAGAAAAGAAATTACCTAAAAAGTTCAATTGTCAATGTTTGGAATAATTAAAGTCAACGAAATACGAAATCATAGATCACCTTAACTAAAGTACATTACAAAGTTTATTTACTGCATTCTTTGTCCTAAATCTTTATCCATTCCCATAATATCTATTAAACTTCACTTAGAACTCTATTACTACGAAAGAGAAAGACTTTAGACCGAAGAACTATTTGAGATCAGGCCGAAACTCTTTGACCTCTTAGGTGTTCAGAACATGCTGAAGTTTGATGGGCTGATTAAATTCCTTCAGAATTGAGTTTTTCCGACTAACTTGGAGCCAGTAAATAGAACAATTTTGAATAGCTACACAATCTAACTTGGGCTCTCTATCTCTCTCTACATTGACTCATAACTGTTGAATATACAAAGTCATAGAGCTCTTTTCTCGATTATATGGTTACATACTTCATTAGGAGAGTTACTTGGAGATTTATTTTTCTTATGTAAGACAGACTGATTGTTGAAAGTTTTGATTATTCATTGCCTTTTTTGTTCCGTCAGTTAGCTGGGTCTATTATATTAAGTTTTCTTTTTCTATTTTAGGATGAGAACAAGGGGTGTATAGTATATGAAATCTGCAACTTCTTTACCACTGCTTGGATGTTTACTACTCCGGTACACCCTTTAGTTAAGTATATTGTAATGCAGACCGAGGCTTCAGCTTTGTATTTTATTCTAGTTTTTAACACTTCTTAGGAAGTACTCTGGGATGATATATAAAGTTGTTAAAAGTTAAGTTCCAAACAATTCAAAACAGACTAATTTGACTAATTTAACATCTGAATTTGGCAATTGGAGTTATGCTGGTTGCCCACTTTTTGAGTTTTCAAGGTAAGAATAACCTAAATGCCAATACTAATTGATCACTGATTGATTCTTTTTTACCAGAGTCAGCAAATGCCAATACTGTATTGATCAGTTCTTCCTGATGGAAAAAGTCGTATTGGTTATGTATTTCTCCAACCCAAAGGCGCAGGAGCAGTTCTTCCTGATGAACACATAGCTCTGGCCATTGCCTTCAATGGTGACATCTTCTGGCAACACGTCGAACATACTCTGGATCCCAGAGAGGGTCTGAATAGGCTGGGGCTTGAAGGCCAAAAACGAGGTGCATAAGCGAGTTGTATCCGTACAAGTTAAGGGCTTGGGATAAGAGGAACGGAGAGAATGATCATAATCTCTATACAGGGCGAGTTGTATAATCTCTATACAAGACGAGTTGTATGTGAAAGAAAGGCGAAGAGCCGGAAGTTGAATGAATGAACAAACGGAGATTTGAACGAAACAGGAAGATTTGGGGCTCAAAAAGATGGCAAATGAGCAGAGCTTGGAGATGGGAAATGGACAAAAATGAAAACCCCAGCTAAAATTGGGAGAAGTTTAATGGTGGGGAAGGGAGAATAAATGAGCACTAAACTCAGAGCTAAGGTGGTCTGAAGGACAGAAGAAGGAGGAAATGATAAACCAGCAAACAGAGCATTTGTTTTTGGGTACAAAAGAATCAGTGATCATTCTGACTCTGGTAAACCCTCTTACAGCAAATGCCAAATTCAGAATTTTCTGGTAAAAGATTCAGCGATAAATCAGTGGTCAATCAGTACTCAGCAAATGCCAATACTCAGATCTGACTATTAAGAAATTTCTGAAGAGACTCAAGCAACAATTTCACCATCTCTAAACATAAAAATATCTAACAATTCCAGGAACCACACCCCATATCCACGCCAATTTCGATCTCCACAGTCCGCACAGCATCGAAAACAAGATGAACAAAAATGTCAAATTAAAGAGAAGAGGGAAAGAAGATTACCTGAAAGCAGAGCAAGAGGAAGAGAGTGATGAAATCGTGAGCGACGGGCGGCGAAATCACGAGAGAGATGAGATCGAGATTGAGGAATGAGAGTGATGAATTTGGAGATCAAATCGTGACAGATGCGAGCGGTGAGATCCAGAACTGAGGGACGAGAGCGAGGGACTATGGCGTTCCGTCTATTTTACTCGAGTTTAGGACTAAATTTTATTTTATTATTATTATTTTTTTTTTTTACATATCTCCTTGTATTTTTTAATTTTCTTTTTAGTTTTAAATATTATTACATATCTTATTTTATTTATATTTATTATTTTTTAGTACATGTGAGGGTGTGAGATCGAACTCACACCCTCTTGGTTGGAGATCTATGCAAATCACCGTGAAACTATGCTCACTTTAACTATTTATATTTATTTTCCAAATCAGCAAACAAACAAGATGCATATTATTGAATAGTGGATCAAACTAAACTCAACCATCAAGTTTTTTAGTCAAAGAAAACATAGCTCAACGATAATTGGTATATATCTTCGATCGATGATCGTTTTGAAAACTATTTTTCATATTTTTCCTATTTAGATTACGAGATTTAAGTTTTTTATTAACACCAAAATTACTCGTATTTATTGCATTTATATTTAATAAAATTTGTGTTTTATTTAAATATTTAAAATTTATTTTTTAATTGAATATTTCCAAATTTGAATTTCTCCTATTAAATATGAAATATTTAGAGTTTCAAACACTAATTTCTGCGTGGCCGACTCATTTATTTCCATAATTTTCTCTCTTCAATGACATTCTATAAATCATTCCATTTTTACGACAATAACAAATTTCCCATATTTTTGTCTAATTAAAATAGACACTAAAATTCTTTAATTTTTTTGGTGGAATTTTCGGACGTATATCGTTTTTATTCTTTTTAGTTTTTTCTGATGTCTTTTTTTCAATGGATGATAAATACATACTTTCTAAAAGCTTATATAATATATACCTTTTATTAATTTATACTAAATTATTAGATTATATAATATATTCTACAATTCTTATATAACATATTTTTCTTTTTAATCTTCAGTACAATAAACATATACTCCTGACTATATACGAAATTAGAGGTTATATAATATATATTTTTGTCTAACTTACAATATGATAATGATATACCTCAATAGGTTATATAATATATACTAGTATATACAATTTTATCTCGTTTGTGACAAATCTATTTTCTTCTTTGAAAAATTAAAAAAAAAATCTAGACACCTTATCATTCTCTTCCTTTGACCAAGCCGCAGCCCCCTATTCCAACCACCACACAACCTCCCTCGCCGAAGATGACTCTCCAGCGATTGCATCATCCTAGCATTTATCCGTGATGGATCATGGGTCGCTCGTTCGTGGGTGTTGTGCCGTAGATCTTGTCGTGCGCTGTTGCACTACAGATTTGGATGTGGAGGTAGCTGCAAATCCAGTCAGGGTTGTGGGTGTTGTGCCGCCATGGAGGTAGTCGTAGATTTGGTCGGATTCGTGTGTGTTGCACCGCCATAGGTGTTGTGCCACTATGGAGGTAGTCACAAATTTGGTCAAATTCGTGGGTGTTGCGCTATGTTTGTTCTTGTTGGAGGAGGGAGGAAGGGGCGGGAAAACAAAGAGGGAGGGAGATTGATTTTTGAGAGAGAAAGAAATTTGAAATTGAAAATCCCTAAATTAAATATTTTTCCATATTTGATTTTTTTCCTTTAATTGTTGATTAAATATATATATTTAAGAGTGTAAATTTGTAAAATTCTAGAGGGGTTGCATCTTATACAAAATTATTTTAAGGCAAAAATGTAAAATCTTAAATATGAACCCATTATGTAAGTTGAATATTCATATAGTTTAGTAATGTACTTATTCCTGTGTAAAAAGCTACAAGCACAAATTAACTCTAATAGCTTAGTAATTGTTAATAGTTAGTAGTTAATTAATTAAATGATTAATAGTTAATAGTTAATTAATTAAATGATTAATCAAATCACATTTAGACGCCTCACGCCTTTAAATATCTCATGATGTTTGTCTTCCGAGTTAGTGTTAATAGAGAGTCTGTCTCCATCTCTAAACGTTCCGATGGGATGATGGTTGTACTAACATTTGCAATAAGAATGATCAATTAACTTGATTGATCGAACAACACAGTTCATAAGAACTTGGTTGTTGACATAGTAGGATGTCTACTATGTCATCCTACAAGGTATTTACATTGCAGTATTGTTCTTTATTTGCCACCGACTCTACCTCTACTTCCGACGCGACGAATTTGTGATTTTTTCGACATTTTGATTATAATGAAATAGTATTTCTACTATGCTATTTTGTTTATGAGTTCGTTTTGTTTCTTTTAATTTCCTTCCAGATCTCTATTTGACTTTCATTGGTCTGTGAGTTTGCAAGGTCATTTTAAGATTTTGCATATGTCTTCGGTATTTTTATTATGAAGGACGCATTTTGAATTGGGACTCGTCATCGTAGAAGAGGATTGCTCGATTCTCTTTAAGTAGGCAATCAAACCGATTACGCCGAACTTTTTTCTAGTTATTGTCGAGTAACCATTCGATCCTTAAGCGGAAACCGCTCAACTACACCACCCGCCACTCTGTATATTCTTCACCGAAGATCTTGCAGGAAGGTTAACCGCACGATCTCCGGAGCGATCCTAATTACTTTCCCTTCCTTATAAATATCATGGTAATAGGAAAGAAACTTACCTGTGAATTCGATTAGAATTTGAATTCAAGATCTATATATTGACTAACAAAAACTTCAGGGTGCTAACTCCCTGTCTTGCAAGATTCCGAAGGCTTTTGGGACTTTTGATGCTTTAGTAAATTTCAAGCTATAACATTTGACGTCGTCTATAGGAAATGAAATAATTGAAGTTACCAATTCTAATCGAGATAATTTGTTCCTCTTTTTTTGAAGCAATCAAGTATTGATGAAAAGTGGTTGCTTGGTCTGTATAGGAGGTCGAGGAAGAGGACACCCAAAAAAATGCACGATCAAACTCCACCAATTCGATGATACGGATGGAGCCAGAAATTACTAGACTGAGGGTAGAGATAAATAAGGTTAGGGCGAAGTTAGGTGATGTTGCAAACCTACGCGTAGAGATAGTAGAAACGACCCAAGCTTTGTGTAGAAATCAAACGGCCTCGCAGACACTTTTAGTGAGAGAAAATCTAAGGCCATCGACACGACGCTAGTAGCTCATACACTCGAAGGGTCTCCCTGTGCTAGAAGAGGATGTTAGTTTGCCTCTTCAATGTGATCCTGCAAAGGGCAAGGGCCCGATGATTGATACTCGGTACAATTATTAGTTCCACCTTTTCAATTTGTATTAAGTAATTATAAATACTTTTAAAAATTGTAACAAATAAATAATCAATTAAATTAATCAATTAACATATAATATTTGATTTAATATAATATATGTTAGTTAGTTTTTAGGATATATACGTTAATTAGTTGACTTAAGTTAAAAACCATGGTACATAAAGATATAGGTAGGACAATTTTGGAAAAGGATTTCAATGGTTGGGGCAGTTTTCACAAATCCAAATAATAATGGGCCAGTGATGTTCTTCACGGCCCATCTGTTGCCCAAGGCCCACGAAGAATGACAATCAAAACGGCCCAAAGATAGAATGGTTTGTGCAGCGTCGCAGAGGATTCTAGCCACCGGAGCGTACGATTCACGACAGCCAACCACGCGTCCGGACCGGACCAACTCGATCTGGAAACTGCCAAATTTGGAACAAGTGAAAAGAAAAAAGTAAAAAAAAAAAACATTCTTTTTAAATTTTCGATTGAATTTTTAATTTATTATTTTTAATTTAAAAATGGAATCAGAATCAGAATTAGAAATATAAAGTAATGTCGTTTCAGTGCAGGAATATGTCGCGCAAAATCAAAATATTCCGACTTGTCGTCAAGAAGCCAACAGGAATAAGTGAAAAAGAAAATAAATAAAGAAAAAGCTGTGTTAAATTTGAGACCAAGCATGTTCTAATGTTTCTGTTCACACAAGTCACACAATTTTACTCCCTTTTAAATGTCAAACATTAAGAATATTTTGCTTTTTTAATTAATAACAATATAAAAAAAAAACAAAGAAAATTATTTCCCTTTATTTATATATATATTTACATGAAAAGTCACTTTATACCTTTTCCATAAAATTTTAAAACTAAACAACATTTTAATCAGTCACAATATGCTTTTATTATTATTATTTTTTGCAATTATAATTGTATAAAACAGTTTCAGTAATATTATTTATTCTAATCGATCTTCATTATCATTGTTATTAAATATTTGCAGCCTTAATAAATATATAGGCTGCAATAAACTTGAACAAAATATTTTAAAATATAGTGTTTCGATCCTTTTGTTTGCGACCTTGAATGTAACATTGTTTTTAAAAAAACCTGAGTTGATTCATAAAATACAATCCTCTAAAAATGTAACTATGTAGACCATAGGTAGTGTATTGAATTTTCATTGAAATGTTGATATTTCAATCAAAATTTTATATGTTCGTACTGAGATTTCTATATATGAATTAAATTTAACCTAACCTATTCGTTTAGGTTTTTAGGTTAGATGGTATTAGAAGTAAAATTTATTTAAGAGTTTGACACTGACATGAGGATTGATCACTCATGAACATAATACGAATATCAATAATTTTTTAACTTATTTAACAAAATGGTCAACTATTTATTTTTTAATTTAGATAATTCGTTATGGATTTTTATTTTTATAATTTTTTGTTTTATAAATATCCATCAACATTGACATTTTATCGATATGAGATCTCGACATTGAATTTTAAAACCTTGAGGGTAGGTTACAATGAATATTTATTTTCAACACTTTATTTAGTGCTTATTTATATAAATCTTTTTCTTTTATCAATTTGAGCATTATTCAACTAAGTTAACATATTTTTTTTGTCAATAATAATAATAAAAAGTTAAGATATTTATCTCCAACTAGAAGGTTGTTTGTGAGTTCGAATTCTCACCCTACACGTACTATATCATCCAGACTTTTTAATCGATAAAATAAATTTAAATAAGTTAGCTTTATGATCAATAAATTCTCGTCATAAGTTAAATGGATAAAAGTTGAAGTTTTTAATTCTATTGAAACTTAAAGTTAAAAGAAAAAAGTTCACTTCAACACAGCTTTTAAGGCACCTATTTCCGATCATCGTGGTTCGAATCTCCGCCCCACATATTATACTTTTAAAAAAAGTCAATAAATCAAATTGTATTTTTCTTTCCGGAAAGAAAATCAAATGATATTAAATACTAATCAATCAATCAAATCAATAAAAATAGTGGCAAACCATTCCAAAACAATTTGTGATAAGAAAAATAATAACGATTATTGAAATAATTTTCATTGTCTACCATATTGACATTGAAATATAATTAATGTGTCGGTAGGTTTGATAGCTTAATTCCACATTTGTTATAAAATTAATGACTAAGAAAACGTTGACTCTCACCTAAAAGAGAGAGAAAAATAAACCACTTTGTAATTTTGTTTAATATAATTTGGGTTATGCAAATTCATGAACTTAGTTGAAACCTTTTTTAAGCCAATAATAATTCCACTCACACATCTATTCAACTATTTAATCCTCACATGCTTGTAGTTGTAGTTTATAATGTGGGAATAAATTAAGATTATCTTATTCGCTAATTTTAAATAGGTTCATCACAATTAATTTGCTATATATTATCACTAGAAGACATTTGAGTTTTTCAATCATCGTCAAAGATCAATTTAATCTTCATATGTTTCATCTCCAAAGTAATCTACTGTGAGGAATTTTTATTTGGTCACCAAAAAAAAAAATAAAAGTTTTCAAAATATACTAAACTTTTGGCGACGAAACATATATTTCATCGCTAAAAGTACCTTATTGTGACGAAAATTTCGTCGTAAAAAACTTTGTCTCCAAAACCGAAAATTCCTGTAGTACATCGGTTTATAATAACATTAATTTTGTAAAAAATAACATAGTTGACCAGTAATTGACATATATCTCCAACAGAGAGATTGTGAGTTCGATCTCTACCCCAGATATTGTAGTAAAAAAAGAAAATTAATTTTGTCTAATTTCTTTTGTGCACCTTAATTGATTAAGTTCGATGATCCAAAAATGTTGACCATATCAGTGTGATCGATCTCCCAACCTGTTTAGACAAAGTATACACATTTCAATCTACAGCACATGCCGACTTATGTAGCTCAAGAGTAATTTATAAGGTCAACATCATAAACAACAACTTTTTTAGTACAATAACATATGAGAATCATGGGAGTTCCCACATGCGACTTTTTGATCGAAAATATATACCTTAACTAATTGAACTAGTATCAGATTGACACGAAAGAAATCTACCGAAAGTTTCTAGCGTAGGAATATGTATGTATGATTATTATTATTTTTCTTTCTTGCACATTATACTCGGAAGTGGTTGGAAAAATGATCATTTTTGAAATGTAAGTTGTGATATTAAATAAGGAAAAACATTTGACAAAGTCGAAAAATAAAATGAAATTGGAAGGACATAATTAAGTGCAAGTTGACAGCAACATAAGAGGGGCATAGTGGAGTAGCACTCAGTGCCATTATATATTTTTGTTTGTGGTTCAGTCCTTATCAATAAACACTGCACCTACCTATTTCCTTCTTCTTTCCTTGCACTATCTTTTCAAATTTTCTTAAAAAAAAAAAAAGAAATTTATTGTATTATTTAGAAAATTAACGACAATGACTAAAATCATCATCGGTTCAAAAATCTAAACGAAGAATGTTTAAAAGCTTTCACTTAAAATACTTTTAATTAAGTTTTTTCATTGTCGATGTGAAGAAAAATTCATTTCCCCTTTTTTTTTATAAAATGTATCGAGCTGATCAATTATGATAAGATCGGTGGAAGATTGAGCCTTCGATGTTTAAGTTGATTTTGAGATTTCGTTGTGTTTTTAATATAATGAATTAAAAATATTAATTAAGATGTAATCTAAAGAAATTGAGGAGAATTTAGCCCTAGACTTGATAGATTTTGTCAAACCCTAGCTAGCAAAAAGTCTACATGAGCAATTTTGTTATTATGTTTTACTGTTGAGAGTTCTTTTTTAATAATTTATTTATTGAATCTAATGGCAACACAGACTTTTGGCTATTTTTTCTAACAATCAACCAAATCTATTTTGTGTAATACTAATTTAGTTTAAATGTATAATTTGATATTTTAAATTTTTAATGTTGTCCTAATTTTATATTTCAGAACTTTTTAATTAAATCCTTGCCCAAGAATATTTTTCAAAAGTAAAAAGGTGATGATCTGAATTTCAAAAAGTATTATTTTACTTGACTTATCAGTTAGACATTTTTATTTATCTCACTCCTACCTTAATCCTCTTTCTAGAATAATTACTAAGTTATACTCAAGTTTTGACTACTAGAACTCAATTTAATTAAAAACATAAAACATAAAACAATTCTACTTTAATTTAAAAACTTGCTTAATAAGGTATTATCACATAATACCTCATATATATTTTTTTGATTTTCCGTAATCATTGTGTTGTCTAGGTTGAACAATAATGTGACCAGCGCATAGCTCGAACACAATCTCATGGTAGGTGATACCACAAGCTCCAATGACGTTCTTGCCACTACCATCCCTTAGGGGACCATAATACTTCATATTTTACCTGATTATAAAGAAAAAAAGTTTGCCAAACTAAGATTTAAAATGTCGGTATCAATAGAAATATCGATGAAATGCTGACGTCAGCGTATAATTCAAGAAAAATTATGAAATAAAAATTCATAGCAAATATTTAAATTGACAAATAAATATTCCACACATTTTTTAAACAAGTTTAAAATTATTGATATTAATATAATATGTCAACATTAATGATATTTTATTGATGTTGTTTGCACTTTATCGAGTTTTATGTGGTACYATAGAAATATTGATTCGCCTCTCATGTTGATGCCTAAACCTATTGACATACAAAAATGTCGATATGTACACGAAAATTTAATGCCCATGTAAAACACAACTCACCTAGCTCAAGAATTTGGTTTAAAAATTTCTAAAGTAGATGAAAAGTTTGAACTTTGAAACGATAGGAACCAAATAATATACTATGTTTCACCTATTAATGAATCAAACTTTTACCAATTTAACACAAAAGAGAAGTTTTTTTTTTGTTGTTCTTTCTTTGTTTTTGAGTACACAAAGATCAGAAGTTCTTGCAATTAGAAACCAAAACTCTTGAATTGAACCCCAAAAGAAAAAAGGAGAAAAGTTTTGATTTTGTGAATAATTAGGTAACATTGTCGGCATATTGGGTTAGATTAATGGACCCCAAATTTTTTTTTTCCTTTTCACAAATTTAAAAAATAACACACAATCAAAATTCAAAGGTCTTTAAAAAGGCAACCATAAACCTACATGATAAACTCCACCACTCCAAAAAATCTCCACTTCCCACACCCATTATTATTAAAATCCCACCTCCAAAAGTTTCCTCTTCAATCCGATCATGTGGCGGTTGGCGGCGGAGCTGAGGAGAAACCTCCACAACATAAGGAAGAGCCCACGAGTGGCAGATGAAAGCATGTACGGCGGCGGCGGCGGCGACGGCGGCGGAATTGTGGCGGAAAGAGACCGGAGAGGAGGGAATTCATATGGGTTTTCGATGATTTACAGCGTTCTTCGGACCCCATTTTCGGTTCTGTGTTGCTTCTCTCAACCGCACGTTAATGGCGCCGACGGGCTGTGGGTCTCCGGCGAGTTCGCCAGAATATCGGAAGTCAACCATCTTATGGTAAGCGACAGCATGAGATATGCAATCTTAATGTAAATAAAAATATGGAAAATGGAGGCTTAATTTCGATTGTATCTGGTTTTCAAGGACACAAATCGATGCTACCACCATAATTATAATTATTATTATACACCCATTGGAACAAACATAGCTTGGGTTCAACTTTTTTTTTTGTTTCCCTTCTTTCCTTAGAACATAGTATTACGATTGTGGGTGGAGATTGAAATCTTTAATGGAAAAGTTACTGATGTGGAAATTGAATTATGCTCAAATTTTACAAGTTTAGGCTGGACTTACGATGATGTTATGTATGTGTGGATATGTTGAATGTATATAAAATAATATATTTGTTCATAGTTTACAAAATTTTTCAATGTAACTCAATTTTGTCTCATTTTTCACTAGAAGAAGATAGAAAGCACAACCTATTAAGGTCATATCTCTCTAGGCCAACATGAAGAAAGAAATAAGAGGCACTAATCTCATTTAATCTACTCTTTAATAGATAAATTTGGGATTTGCGATCCTAAGTAAGATCGGTTTAGGAGGAAAAGATCGATACATCTAGTAGTTAAAGGTTTGACTCAAACATATGGTCAGCTCGATCCTCTTTCTCCAATAATAAGGTAAGGTTATGAAGTCCTTCCTTCTACCGGTTTTAGCTTGCTCCTATAGCTGAACGTTAATTAGCAATGTACTTTTAGAGTTGGATCCCTTCTACTCTTAAACTGTTATACTAAAAAAGGTTATATCTCTGTGGCCATAAAATTAAGAGGAGTAGTAGTGGGAAATCGGGTGAGAAATGATAAGAGGGAAGTCAAAGAGGTAATTAAAAAAATAACAAAACTATGGAAAGAGATGTCAAATTGAGAGAAAACTCAATTAAAGTTTCTAAAGTTTCTTTTTTCCTTTTCGTGGGAGCAAGGATTCCAACCTACAACATTTTCATTGAAAATAAGTGTCTGATCAGTATAGACTCAGCTGAAATTGAAGATCAGGTATGATGAGGATTTTTGGGTTGTGACCATAATAATTAGGTGGGAAGAAACAAAATAAAAGAGAGTCAACACCTCCAATAACTTTGCTTTAATGGTGGCTAATGTGCACTTGAGTGGTGGTGGAGTGGTAGTGACTTCCACTTCCTCTCTTATACAATGTAATTTTTTTTTTTTTTTTTTTGCCTTCAATTGAATGTGATCATTATTATTCTCTCAACTTTTTAATATATTCCTACTATAATGCATGTTGTGAAGAGGATTCCTTTTCATAATTTTTCTTTGTTTGGTTTAAATCATATTATTCATGCCCACGATGGAAGATCTTTTAGTTTATTGAACCTAACCTTTATTTAGTTGTTTTTTGTGTTCCCAAATTTTTGTTGCTTTGGGTCAAACCATATCTAGAGATCTCCAAGCCTTATGCACCTTAAAACTATTTAAGGTTGGGAAATTTAGAGTTATGTATTTGAATTTCTATAAAAGAATTAATGAGTTTCAAAAAATTAGATTTTGTTTGTGGAGTTTATGATTTGTAGAGGTTAATTATTAGCTTGTAATTTGAGAAATTAGTTTTAGAAGTTCAAATTAGCAAATTTGTAGCCTTGTAATTAAAAAAAAAAAAAGAACCCACTAATTAATTAAATATTAGGTATTGATTTCTCAACTCTCCAAGCTATGTATAGAAATTAAATTCACGAAATAAAAGACCTTTAAATAATAAAATCAATTCTATCTCATATATGGTAAATCCCTCTTTCATTCTTCTTAACGAAGATTAACTTATGTGTGGTAAAATTTAAACTTTTTTTTCTCTTTAAAGGAAAGAGAATTAAAAAAAGAGAGAGAGAGTAAAATTGGAGAACTTTCATAATAAGCATGAAAAATAATTTTCACGTTATGCATAAATAAATTAAAATTACAAAAATACCCCTCAATTTTACTCTTTTGCTTTAAAAATAATACTCCTATATTATTTCAAAAGTTTCAATACAACTATCTTTGAGCAAATATATGTTAATATTCATAAAGTTGACGTGACATAATATTGAACGATATGATAATTAATGTGGAGCTTATTTGGATTAAGTTTAGAAAGAGAGAAAATTGAAATAATAATTATCATTTTTCAAAGAGATTAAAGCAAAATTAAGTAGATAAAATGAGGAATAAATGTTACAAATTTGTATTGTGAACTAATTAGGTATCGCATCATAATGGAGTGTTAAATTATATCATTAATTTATTAGAAATTATATATTTGTGCTCAAGTTAAAGCTTGCGAGAGCAACGAACTTGAGTTATATATTCAAAAAGTTATRTTAAAAGACAAACTTTATACTTTTTTTAAAGCTATTTTTTTATTTTAATATTTATACAAATATCAGGCGTTTAAAATTTATTGATTGTCGTGATGTGAATTWGTGTTTTACTTAGTCCGTAGTAATTTATATATCAGGAATAAAAGTTAATGAAAATTAGTTAACCAATAATTTTATAATTGATTAATTACAATTTGAATTAAGTAAACCAAATTATTATATAAATTCAATTTAGATAATATTATATACACGATTTACAAATAATATTCTATTCTATTGACTATTTTATCATTTTTTTTCCTTAAATTTCTAATTGCAAATGGGCTTTATATATTTATAATGGTGCTTTTGCATATTGCTCTTTATTTTATCTGCTTGTTGCAATTTAATATCAAAATATATTCAAATTGTGAAAGAATGCCGTTTAACGAAGTTTCCAAATAAAAGACTTTCCATCTTGATTTCCATCATTAGTTTCTTGTCCAATCTTCCTCTCTTGAGCAATCAAACATTTGGAGAATTTTTTTTTTTAATTTTACGAGTGGGAGATCGAACTCGGATTGACCTATGCTCGCTTTGACCCTTTAGAAAAAAAAATTAACTAGGATAAGATAGAAAAATGGTAAATGGAAAGAAAAAACCATAACTCAGCAGTAAAGAAATATAATTTTTTTTTCATTCTCTTTTTATCTTTTAATATCCACTCTCCAATATTTGTTGTACTAAAAATAAGAAAATAGAAAGGAAAAAAAATGATTGAAAGCTATAACTTTGGAAGAATGCAAACTTATATTAGAAGGTCACTAATTTCTACATAGTTTTAATAATCGTGAATATAATGTCAATCTGAGCATAAGTGAACTAGATTAAAACATTAATAAATTTGATCAAAATAGTCAATTTAAACCTAGCTCAACAGGTTAAGGTACCTATTCTTCATCAAAAGGTAGTAAGTTCGAATTTTCACCCTTATATATTGTACTAAAAAAACATATAACATTCACTTTATTAGCCGTGTTCGAATCGACCCCATTGAATTGAAAAAAAAAAGCCAAACCAGTTGATTAAAATTCATTAACGACAAAATATACGTTTTGGAGTGATTATAGTTTATACCATGTTTTATCAAGTGCTTTTGGCTAATTTTCTATAAGTAATTTTGAAGAAAAATTCATCAAGCACTTTTGTCATATAGTGAAGTACCATGGAAAAAATGATTTTTTTTTTCAAAAAAGAAGTTATTTAATAATAATAAAAAAAAGAAAATAAACCCAAAGACACTATAAATAAAGCAAACATTTTTATGGTGGAAAAAGTAGCTTTTTACCAAATTAAAAAAAATGGGGTTTTAAAATCTTATCTTTTGCTTAAGGAATACGATTTCCCAAGTAAGTGGTCGGCTTCAATTGCAACCACATCTATTTTCAATTTACAAACATATATATATATATATATATATATAAATTTGAAAATGACATGATAAGAGAATAAAGTATGTTATCAAGGGATGGTGATGGACAATAATTGTGTTGATAAGGACTAACGTAGTGCAATCTACAAAACAATTTGCTCACCACTTTAATCTATGAAATATTTACATTTTTAATTCAAAAACTTAAAATTTTAAAGTTTAAGTTTGTGTGCAACTCTAAAACTCGTCACGAAGCTTGGTGAATTGACCTAGGATTTTGTCTCCTAGCACATGAGAGCGTTAAAATCTATCGGGCAATTTGACTCAACTTAAAAAATAAGTTCGATACGGACATGAATCCAACCATCACACTTTGATCTGGAACGAACTTCTAAACACGAGATCTTGTGATTGAACTTTGAAGTAGAGCCTCAATGGTTCAAACTTAGTTCAACTTCAGAACTTTCAACTGATGTAATTATTTAATCTAAGTAACAACTCGAAATATAAAATGTTGAATTTTTTAGTAATATAGGAGCCACACACGATGTAATTATTTAATGTATATTTTTTTTTACTATTTTAATTAAACCAAGAAAAGTAATTTAATTAGGTGTAAATTTAGTATTTGGGAGTAATTATAGATAAATATTATTAGTTTAGTTCTAAAGGTAACTTGTAACTAACAAGTAGTCCGTTAGGGAGGAGTTATACCAATTACCTTTTTAAGGTTGAAGATTCAAATCCCACTCGTTAAAACAAAATTGTCCTACGAATCAAAAGCGTACAACCCTCTCTTATTTTGCTCTTATTTTAAGATGCGAAACACAATATGAAATTTTGATAATTAAATCATTAGAAATAATCATAATTTGGTTTTATAATTAAAAAGAACGAGAGGAACCCAAAAAGAATCTAAAAATGAAAAGTACGAACCAAATCAAACATTTCATAATGTGATATATATTTTTTTTATATGGATCAGTTTGCGTTGGACTGCGTTTCGAAAAAAATGGCCTACTTAAAAAAAGGACGGGCACTCTCGTGTTTCAACCCCACTATACTATTCATAGTTGTGGGGCACTGTATATTGGCAGCCTCTACGATAAGCAAGTGAATGGGACAGTGTGTGGCGAACGGAACGGTTCATCAAGCCATTTCTTGCCTCAACCCCTAAATAGGAAGAAAGGTACTTTACAAATAGAACGACCTAACACTACAACATTTGATACCAAGAATAATGTGATATTAATTAGTAAAAAATTACATTTTGACAAGACAATCACCCAAAAAGACTTATGTTACATGTAAGCTTCCCTCAAACATTCCACTATCTTGTTTACTTGGAAAAAAGATAAAACAAAGATAGAGAAAATTGCAATGGATAGGTTGTATTCTTTTAGTTACCGTTGTCATTCAGATTCATGAAAAAACATAAGGGGAAGAACAAATTCGAGGGTTTTGTTTTCCACTAAGGATAGGTTTTACATTTGAGCATTGAGATGTAACAGGACCTTGTATTCCGGTATAAGTAAGGTCAATGTCGGTCATTTTAACTTCGTCACATGGTAAACCACTGCTACAAATAAGTTTGACTGCTACTGGAGTTGCAGAACTTCCTCTGATATTCTTGAATGTCACTTTACTTATCTTAATCTTTGATGGAATCTGAAAAGGAAAATGAGATATCATCAAACCAAAATTATTTAGTTCTAGAGTTGATTAAAAAAATTTCTATCGAAGTTTTGAGAATGTGATCAAATACCTGGCGATTGCATTGATTCCATGGGCAATATTCTTGGTCTATGAGAATAGGGTGGCTAACATTGACCATTATAATGTCCACAAAATGCATGTTAGTGGCTGTGCCGGTATCTGCAGAAGCTGGCCATGTTTTGATCCTAACGCCATTAGTGGTGTTCATTATAGTGCAATTTTTTACTATGACACCTTTAACAGGTTCTTCCTTAGTGTATCTCCCAAGACTGCCTATGCTAATGCCATGTCCTGGCCCACATGTCACATTGGTGACTTTTATTCGCTTGCTTCCATCTCCAAGAGAGATGCAATCATCTCCGGTTGCGATTCGAGACTTTGTGATTGTGATCCCTTTTGATCGGCCGATGTGTATTCCATCAGTGTTGGGACTATCTTCTGGTGCAATTATGTTGACACCATGAAATGTGAGGTTGTTGCAGCCTAGGATATTGACATGGAAGTGCTTGCTATCGAGCGATGTTATTCTCTTCACAGTTGAATTGGTAATGAAGTCGAACCTTAAACTCTGCTCATTTTTATGCGAACAATGTCGTGTTAGAAGCTTAAATAAAAGCTTAATATATTAAGAGCAAATTCAATGGTTAAAATTTAGTTCAATTTTGTTGGCTTAAACAATTTCCTACAAAATTATGATAAAATATTAAAGAGAACTTCTAACCAACCCTTTCAAAATCAACACACAACAGATGAGATTATAAACAAAAACTTAAGGTTTAGAGCTCACAATGGGGAGCTTAGCACAATTTATGCTTTTGTGGCAATCATTCTTTTCCCAACCCGCCTTTCCTTGGCCATCGAAAACTCCTCCACCTAACAATGTCAATCGATCAATATAAGCAAAAGTAATCCAACTTTCTCCCTTTGGATGTGTTGGAGCCTGCAATGTTCCTCGAAGTCGAAACTCAATACGGCTCTTGCAGGGACCTCTAAAGTTCCCTTTGCTTACTTTAAATATCCCTCTCGGGATAACTACTGCACTAGGACGAACGGATGCACATGCATCCTTCCATGCATTTGCCAAAGCCTACATATCACAAGTCACATAAATAAGCCAACGATTGATCAATTTAACAAGTGAGAAGTTTGATGTACATTTCAATACATTCTTACCTGACTGACATCAGCACCAGATACTACAGCACCGTATTTCCTCAAATGGTAAACAACATCGACACGAGATCGAGCTTTAGGAGTAAACTCTAACAATAACATCAAGAATGCAGCAACCAAGAAGCTCGATTTGATCGTCCTCATGTTGTCTTTGTTCTGATTTCTCTTTTATGTATGATCCACGTTTTGGAAATCAACATGAGACTATATATATATATATATATCAACGGAGAATAGAAGACAAGAAGCCATGGTAACTAAAAGAGGTTATTAAGGCTGTAAAGTTGTGTGGGACAGATTATCTAAACACTAATTGATAACTAAATCTTGCTATATTGTTAAATTCCAACCCATTTTCATTAATGGTGTGGTTTGACAGCTCTCTAAATCGCCTGTGAACAGTTCAAATTTCTCTAAGAAACAAAATATTGGCAACTTTCCCAACAAAACACCCTCTATGGAGGAGAGAATTAACATGGAAAACAGGACACAAATTAATGGTGGCTTAAAATCCAAAATTGAAGTGGCAATAACAAGTAACAACCTTTAAAAATGAAGGATATTTAGGTCCTCATATATATTGTTATATTATTGATTAAAAGAGGATGTAACAAGTAAATAGACTTGTATCAAACAGGTAATCACAGAGTACCTAGCTAGGATAGTATAATTAATAGGATAAAAGCCACACAATTCGAACCTGTATCGATTATTAAGGATAGACACATTATGATCGCATTTTAGAAGATATATAACATTTATGAAATAATAATAATAATGATAACAAAACTGAAGCCAAAGTTTTGATTCAACTCTTCAACAAAATAGTCCTCTGAAGATGGCGACGATCAGTGTTGCTCAACATTTTAGCCCAGGTAACGAAACGAACCCTGATTATAAGGATCCACAGCGCAAGCTAAGTAAAACAAAATAAACTTTTCAACGAAGTAAATGCGTATATAGTCAATCTCAAGATATGAAGATGTAATAGATAAGGCTTCTCCTACTTACCCAGATAGTTTTTTCATCCCACCAAAACACACAGCTTTTTCAAACTCTTCAACAAATTAAAGTCGCAGTCCACTGACAATGAAGCAGTGATAAACACTTGGGGTCGTGTGGTATCAGGTGCACTGATCACCATGTTGCTCAATGTCTTAACCCGGACTAACGAGCCCTAAATATAAAGATCCACAACGTAAGCCAAACAAAAATAACAAACTCTTCAACGAAGTAAATGCATATACAGTGATCAAATAAGGCTTTCTCCCTATTTCCACATGTTTTTTTAATGTAGTTTTTTCATCCCACCAAATCACAAAGACTTTGGCTAAAACTATAAATATAAGACTCTTCCAAATCTTTCTTGAGCAAAAGATCCCTAATTTGAGCATGACTTCTTCTAACTTGTTTCCCAATCTCATTCCCTTCATCCATCACAATCTTCACTGCCTTACACACACTTTCTTTACTAAACCATCCATCTTCTTCCCCTTTCTCCACCTCCACTCCCACCCCAAGATTTCTCCCCATCATCCTTGCATTGATGATCTGATCCCCAACTTGGGGCAACAACACCAATTGGCACTTATTCACCAATGCCTCTGATAAAGAACCTGACCCACAATGTGTAACAAAGCATCCAACACAAGGGTGTTCCAAAATCCTCTCTTGCTGAACCCACCCCCCAAACACCACCCCTCGTCCCCCGACTCGCCTCGCGAACTCCGCAGGCAGCGCCGCCTCGATCGTGTCCTCTCCAAAAGGCGGTTTGAGCGCAGCAAAGAAGGGCATGCCTGAAAGCTCGAAACCCAGCAAGAGTTCTTGAAATTGCTCCTTCTTTAAGGTGCACTCGCTCCCGAATGCACAGTATATCATCGAGCCCTCCTCGAACCCTGAAAGCCAAGTTTCTAATTTCTCCTCCAAATTTGTGGCGAGTGGCTCAGGTAAGACTGGCCCGGAAAGCAAAATGGGTTTTTTAAACTCTTTTTGGAGATAAGTTACAAAATCTCCCTCGATCTCATGACATGTTCTAAACCCTATTGCATCACAATCGCTGAAACTTATGAATTGGCGATCGTAGAAAAGGATATCACTGCCAAATTTCCATTTCCTTTTGGATGCAAAAGCTCTTGCCTCGTGGAGATGGAGATTTATGGTGGAACTTGGGTAGCCAATTGGTGGCTGTATAAGATCTTCCTCGGTTAACTCATCTTTGGAGAATTGCCTTGATGGGGTTAAAGTGTAACCTATCATGGCTGCACTAGTAACACAATAATGAATGGACTTGATACCTACAAAATAAAATAAAAGTGATCTCAGTTTAGTGATAATTTAACATGATATCAGTTCATCTCGAGACAAACCCTTGAATGTCATTTCTAAGAGTATATTTAAAAGAATAAATTCACCAAACTCAAATAAAATCTATATCACAATCTAATCTATCAGCTCAAAAGCTCAAAGTTAAAGTTTTAGGTTTAGTGATAATTTAGCTTACCCAATTGACGTGCCAATCTGGGCAACCAATGTGTGAAATCGAAGAGGATGATGTGGGGTCTATGAGCTTGAAGGAGGAGCTTGAGTTCGGGTTCGGTCCGGTCCATGGCGGTCATGATGAGGGTGTGGAGAGGGTAGGGGACATCGGAAGTGGTCTCGACCGCGGGCGGGAGGCCATCGACATGAGGAATGGTGATGGGGATGAGGGTGATGAGATTAGGGAAGAGATTAAGAGGCTGCAACTTTGGTAGGGTTTTGGTAGGGATGAAAAAGGAAATTTTGTGGCCCTTTTTGGCTAGCTTGTTGGAGAGGTGGAGAAATGGGGTGAGATGGCCTAGGGCAAACCAAGGATACATTGCAATGTGAAGGGTCTCCATGGGGGAGGCAGCCATTGAACAAAGCTTCAACTTTTTGGACAAAAAACTTGAGAAGAGGATCACAGATTTTTAGTGAGTGTATGAAAGAAAAGAAATATGTATTTTCAAATATATCATAATAGTATAATTTAGATTTGGGTGGAAAATTGGACTCACAATCTATTGGTGGGAAATATATATCAATTATCGCTGGTATAATGTGAAATTTCTATTAAACATATAATAGGTGTGGTTTTTTTTAATGTATTTATAAAATTTCAAACATTTAGCTATTATTGAAAATATATATTTATTTAGTGGCTAGCTAATTTTGGATTACTTTCTTAAAAGCACCGACTTGTTAGGTGAAGTCAAATAAACAAATGAAATCTTCAACTAAGTTTTTCCCAAGATCTCGGTCGTTTTTTTAACTTTTTGAACAAACTTTTAAAGAAAAAAAAATTAGTTTCATAAAGTGTATATATATATATATATATATATATATAACAGATGTTTTTGATCAAATTAAACCTTAAATTATTGTAATTAATACCTTTTAGTATCGTTTGTTTCATTTATTTAAAACATGTGGGACTTATTGAATAATATTCTAAAATATTTATTATTTTTTTATACAAAATGTTTATTCAAATTACGACATTTGATAAATGTAATTATTGTGATATTATTCATACATTTTGTTTAGTTAATATTTATATTAAATTTTTTAAATTCAAAATCAATATCTTGCGATGCTAAGATTTGGGCTTCTTTTTTTTTTTCTTCGTTTTTTATAACTAATATTGTCTTTTTGTGAATCTCCATAAATAAAAGATTATTCTTCTATATAGAATGTCTGTATTTTTCATAAACCACATTTTTTTAAGTAAATAACTTCTTTTTTAAGAATTGAACCATGAAAATTGAATTATTATTAATTTTTTTATCAAGAAAATTGAATTATTAAGAAGTCGGTCTTTCAAAATTTTAAGGATTGAGGGATTTCTTTAGGATTCTAAGGTTGATTATGAGTAAAAAATTAAAGTTATAATTTTTTTTTTGTTGATAAATGAAATCTATTTCTAAACAAACAGATTAATAATTAAACCATTTCTAAAAATAAAAAATAATTAACTTATTCTTTCACAAGAACACAAATCAAATCCTTTTGAACAAAAAGTTCAATGATGGAAATTTAAGAAGTTCATATATTAACCTGTATCCTTAAGGTGAGAAATTTACGCCGGGATGTCAAGTTATGTTAATATCCTATCATTAAGAATAACGGTCAATAGCCAAACCGAGCATAGCTCAAGTGGTTAAGGCACATATCTCCGTCAATAAACACGAGACATTTCAAAATATTAACGTATGGGCTTGATCCTCATCCTTTCTTAATAGTGGTTTAAGGGCATGATCTGTGACATAAAATTATGTATATAATCCAAGTATTAATATTTTGTGCCGAAAAATGACTTTACAATAATATATATGATATGGTTTTGTAACATAGTTACTATATATTATATATACACACCACCACATTGCTCATGTCAATAAAATAAGGGTAGTGTTATATAATTCTAAAATATTTTTGTTAAACATAATTTTAAATAATTGCAAAATGCCTTTATCGTAACAACCATTGTGAAAATATATCACATAAATAAGATTTAACGAGTATGGGTTAAAGGCAAAATTAAAAAATACTATGGTTTATATTTTAAAATAAGAAATTACTTTCAAGCTGCAGTAGTTTAACTATCCAAATTAGAAGTCAAATTTTACCATAACGAGAGCTTTGATTTAACTATGAAAAATACAAATACAATTATTGAGCGTGGTCCATTGTATGCATGAAATGGAGCATACCTAATTAAAGAACCTCAAAAAGAATGAGAAATGCTATGAAAAAAATAAGCTGCAAAGGATTTTCTAATGAAATTATTGTCGATGTGAAAACAATTAATCAGTTGATGGAGCATTGGGAGGGGCAACTTTAGCGCAAATTTTAGGATTTTGCTGTCCGGTAATGGTAGGTTTCACATTTGCACACTCAGACTTGATAGGTCCTTGTTTTCCATTGTATGTAAGGTTAATATCAGCAACTTCCACACCCTCACATGGATTACTTGAGCTGCAAACAAGTTTGACTGCAACCGGAGTAGCAGAAGTGCCTCTTATATTCTTGAAGCTGACTTTGCTGATCTTAATTTTTGATGGAACCTAAACCGACAGATATAGAAAATACATTATTAACATACATAACTTGTATTTGCACTACTTTTTCCATACTCGTTTAATTTAATAATAAATTGAACATGGGTAAGGCATAATTTTAATACATATACCTTTCGATTGCACTGGTTCCATGGACAATATTCTTGGTCTATAATGACAGGATTGCTAACATTAACCATTTCAATATCTTCGAAGTGCATGTCAGAGGCTATGAATGCACCAGCAGAATCTGGCCATGTTTTAATTCTGACACCGTTCGTAGTACTAGTTAATTTGCATTTTTTTACAAAAACTCCAATCACATCTTTCTCCTTGCTGTACTTGCCCAAACTTCCAATGCTAATGCCATGTCCTGGTCCACAAGTCACATCGCTGATAGTTATTTGTGAGTTACTATCTCCCACAGAAATACAATCGTCCCCGGTTCCTATATTTGTATTCAGAATGTTAATATTTTCTGAACTACTTATGTGAATTCCATCGGTATTGGGGCTATGGTCTGGTGCACTAATTGTCACATGTTGAAAGGTAACATTCTTGCAGCCCAAAAGATTGATATGGAAATTCTTACTATCCAAAGAAGTTATGTCCTTCACTACTGAATTAGTGACGAAATTGAACTTCAAACTCTGCTCATTTCAAACAGACAAAATGTTAAAAGCAGATAATTATGTTGGTTTAATTATACGTGATATAAAAAAAAACAAAACAAAAGGTTATTATGATTAGAATTATAATTACCATGGGGAGCTTGGTACATATTTTCTTTAGGTGACAGTCATTCTTTTCCCAACCTGCTTTTCCCTGGCCATCAAAAACTCCAGTGCCCGACAATGTCAATTGATCAATATATTCCAACATAATCCACCCTTCTCCTTTTGGGTGGGGCGGAGCTTGTAATGTTCCATCAACCTGAATGTCAATGGCACTCTTGCAAGGGCCTCTGAAGCTGGCTCCCTTTAATTGGTAACTTCCTTTTGGAATCAACAATTTACTTGGACTAGTCGATGCACATGCTTCCTTCCATGCACTTGCCACTGCCTGAAAAAATTTGAATTCCTTCCTCAAATAAAAAGTGTTTTTTTTATGTATCGATTAAAATGATCTATCAAACTAATTTTATAATCTTACCTGAGTAATATCAGCGTTAGGTTTGGCACCATATTTTGCGACATCGAAAACACCACCAGCACCACCAGTAGGAGCAGCGGGTTTAGCAGGCGCAGCAGTAGCGATTGACACCAACAATAACGACAATGGTAGTACCACAAAGTTTGATCCCAATCCCATTTTTTTAATTTGCTTATTTTCTCTTGCTTCAAATTGCTAACTTAGAAAACGATATGAATGTTCCAATTATCCATTCATCCAACCCTCTTATATACTAAGAGAAAATTAACATTATTTGAAAATTACCTACAAATTCTTATTTTGCTATATTTGTCCTAAATTGTATGCCTATTATTAGCTTTTCTTTTACTAATTCTCACTCCCTCCGACAAAATTGTCTCATAATATGCATTGCCACACCTCACAATTTCCAACACGAGTGGCAAAGAAAAAAATATGACAAATTATTGATTCGATTGAAAATTATCACCCTCAAAATTAATGAACAAAAAATGATTACTTGATTTTCTTCTTTTTTTTTTCTGTTATGAAATGAAGTTCAATATTAATTCTTAAGTTCTCTACTTGGTATACTAATTTTAGTAAATGAAATTAGTTTTCATATTCAATTGATAGTAATTAATACAATTACAACATATTCATTAAAATTAGCAAAATAGCAACATTCTCGCCAAAGCGAACATAGCTCTGTGCTAATTGGCATATATAACTCAATTAGTTAAGGTGTTTATATCTGACAGAACCAATCGTGAATTCAAATCTACACACCATCCAACATATTGTACTAAAAAAAGATAGGAATTAATATAATACGAAAAGGAAATTTGGAATGTTGCTGAAATTTTTATGTATTGATTTATATTAACTAACACCAATTCTAGTACATGTAACATGAGTATATATCTTGAGTTTTGGCTGTGTCCTAATAATTAACGTTTTAATTTTTTTTTAATTTAATTTTAACACTTTCAGATGTTCATACCAGTCCTTAAACTTTGCTTTAAAATGATTTTTGTTATTAATATTTGTTAAAAATTTTATTGCCATATTTATATTCTACTGACATATTTTTAAATATTTTATGCCTACTGAAAATTTTGTAAAGTTAATTTGTAAAAGTTAATTATTCTATACGGCTTATATATGTAAAATAACACAAATAAATCTACCACTACTGCACACATGAACTTTATCAGTGTTATATAACGATATATCTCAAAATTTTGAACTTTTTATTTAGGTTTTTTAGTTCTGGTGGGTATCAAACCTCCGACTTTTAAGACAGGATTAAATTATTCTCATGTTTGTAAACTATGTATTTAATTAAGTTATTATTATTTTTGTCAACCTGAGTATAGTTGAGCCGATAACATATATGTGTTCTTTGTTTTCATAGGCAATATCTCTGTTTTTGTTTATGGTACATTTTTTTAATATAATTACAGGATGGAAGATGAAACCATCGATTTTTTAAAGGGTAAAAATCATATTCAATCCAAAAACAAAGGAAAAAAAAATAGTTTCCCTACTTTTGTTTTTAAAATAATAGACATGTGATTTTTTATCCTCATATATTGACGTATAGACATTTTTATACTAATGAAAATATTAAGTTAAATTTACAATATTTTCTCAAAAGAACCTTCTTCAATTTAATAAAATTTCGTGAAGATTATTCTTACAAATTTCAAATTTTATGAAAGACGATGATATTTCTACATTGGTTAAATTACAGGCAATAGTTCTTTAATTTTCATGATTGTGTAGTCAAATATATATGTCTCAACCAATTGAGTTAATAAATAATGATTTAACCAATTGGACTATATCCCAATTCGACAATTCCACATATATTATTTAAGTAAGAAATATTATATCCAATTTCAAACTTTATGATAAAGTAAGGAATTCTATATATGTTGTATCATATATATATATATATATATATATATATATATATATATATATATATATATATTTTGAGTGAGCCATAACATTTGGGCTGCACAACATGAAGGCCTAAAAACAAAAGATGAAGAAAAATCCCATTTGTGGGTTACAATTACATAATTAATCAAATTTAAACTTCACCTCTCATATCATGCTCATTACATTCAAAAGCATAAAAGGGTGCAATAATAGTAGTTTAGAGAATCATTATAAATTTTAATTTTGTTTTGTTTCCTTTTAATTAATATGATCAAGCTGCAAAAGCTCTGGTGCAGGCTGGTGGCACCACGTGTCCAGAAACTACAGGCTTCACATTGGCACATTCTGATATGGCTGACCCATTGGTGCCCCTGTATTTCAAGTTGATGTTTGAAAGCTTCACATTCTTGCAGGGAATCCCTCTGCTGCACACTAGCTTTAGTGCAACCTGAGTTGTGGATGTCCCTCTGATGTTCTTGAACGCCACGTCGCTGATCTCGACTCGGGATGGAATCTACACACGTCGTTCAAAAGAATGTCAGGTTGGTTGCAGTATTTTTAACAATTTTGTTACAATGGTTCATGACCATTCTAAAAGTTTAAACTGATAAGTTACCAGATATATTTACGTACCTTGTGTTTGCACACGCCATAGGGGCAATATTGTTGGTCAATTAGGATAGGAGTGCCAACATTGTTCATGACAATGCCATCAAATTGCATATTGGTGGCGATTCCCTTAGTAGAAGCTGGCCATGTTTTGATCCGAACCCCGAACATGGTGTTGGATATGGTGCAGTTTTTCACGGTGATTCCGGACACAGGCTGCTCGTTTTCGTACTTTCCTAGGCTTCCAATGCTGATGCCGTGGCCAGGCCCGCACGTCACTTTTTCGACGTTTATCTTTTGGCTCCCATCCCCGATCGAAACACAGTCGTCGCCTGTTTCGATCCTGGTGTTGATTATGTTGACCCCAATGGATCGGCCGATGTGGATCCCGTCGGTGTTGAGGCTGTCGCCCGGGGCGTCGACGTTGATGTTCTGGAGGGTTAAGTTCCTGCAGTTGATCACGTTCATGTGGAAGAACTTGCTGTCCGTCGAAGTTATGTCTCGGATTAGAGTGTTGTTGAGGCTGGTGAATCTCAAGCTCTATTCACAACAAAAAAAAACACATCTCAGTTTGAAAGTTCAAAGACCAAAATAGACATTTCGAAACATTAATCCGAAAAAGAAAACGAAACCCGACTCACGATAGGGAGAGAGCTGCATTTGCCAGAAGATGCACATTGATTTTGCTTCCAAGCAATTGATCCTCGACCATCAAAAGTTCCACTTCCAGAGAGAGTGAGGCCATTGATGTACTTGAAAACGATCCAACTGTCTTGAGATTTCATGCTCTGAATACTGGCTGGCGCTTGAAGGGTTCCCTCCACATGAACGTTGATGGATGGCGCCATGCATGGCCCTTCAAACGACATTGAACCAACCATATATTTGCCTCCTGGTATCAATACTTTGCTTGGCTTTGGAGACATGCATGCCTCCTTCCATGCTTTCATTATCGCCTACACGAAACGAACAAAACCCGTCACAAAATCATCCACTTTTACCCTTTCGAAACCCAAAAAGTTACTTAATGTGACTGTCACAATGTGGCTGGCGCTATTCTATACCATTGACTATGACTGTCTTTTGAATCAAACAATACTTCCTAGAAAATTCTTAATGCCCACGTCCCTAGCTAGATTTTTTATATCAATTTATATTTCTTAAAAAAAAAAGAAAAAGACGAGTTCATTGCGAGTAGTAAGAGATTCTTTGTTGTCCAGTCAACAGAAAAGTATCGTTCTCTTGAACCTGAATATCGCGTCATCCTATTCTAATTTAGTTATGCTAATGAAAGAGGAAAATTTTGAGAGAGAAGCATATTTGGCTAGTGATTGTGAGATCCCAATTCTTGGAGGGGACACCAGAGGCCTCTACCCTTCCATCCCTTGGATAGATAGAGAGGGAGAGCAGGAGATCGAGAGCCACTCTTTCCCCTACCTATGTGAAGATGTGCCTCATGTGTCAACAGGACAAGGTCGAGCGAGACAGACTCACAATTATTAGATGGTATGTGAAAGCTTGATTTTTTACCTGGCTGTCATCTGAATTCCCGTTAGCTCGTGCTCCGTATCTCTTGACATGGAAATCAACAGCTTGGCCATTGGTGATCAAACTCAGAAAGAAGAAGAGGATGAATCTTGCAGATGATCTTGGGATGGTTTTTGAAGACATGGTGTTGTAGATTGGATTTGGTGATGAAATTCTCTCTGTGGGAATGAACTTTTTATAGTAGGGTGAAGAAATCTCACACACCACTAGAATTTTTGTGCCTAATTTTAGGTGCCATGATACATTTCTATTTTTGTTTTTGGATCTCAGGCTTTTTTGGCACTGCCATTCATGTGTGTGAAGAAAAATGGAGTTGCTTTTTATAGACATTGAATTAATGATAGTTGAAAACTCCCATGGAAGTTGCTTCCTTGTCCCATGCCATATGTTGCTGAGTGATTAAAGGAGCACCAAGTATGGTCTTTGGGGATGATATAATTACTAATAAATTAGATTTTTAAATTAGGGTTTAAATACTATTTTGGTATACACGTTCTCTTCACTTTGGTGGTATACTTAAAATGTTCGTTTTGATGTCTATATTTCATCTTTGGTCTATTTTAATTCATATACTTTTCAAAAAAATCAAGTACCAATTAAATTTATACCAGTTTAACTAAAAAATGGTGAATTTGACATAGAGATACTTAAACCGTAACACATTTTAAAGTTATTTTTTTAATAAATAATCAATCTCTCATGTGTTTCTCCAAAAAGAATTTTTAATTTATTTATTAATAAATACATTACGTTTTTTACAAAACATTTTTTGTCATCTAAAATCACTTAAAAAAAAACTAAACTAAATACACTTTAGATTAATAATTATTCCAAAAAAAACTTATAAGCAAATATTTTTATTCAATTTTGTTTTTCGAAAAAGTGATTCCAAACTCAATTGCTTTGCTTCCACCGACAGAAAGAATAAGATTCCATTACTTCCCGACATGCATTGTCCAAAAAGAAAACAAAAAACAACTCAACAATTATTTTAATTTAAATAATTATTGTTCTTTTTTCAAGATAGAAAAAATAAATTAAGCCAAATCACATACAAATACAACCCAATTTGACAGACTGTACACCATAAAGAAAAAATTTTAAAAAAAAAAACATCACCGACAAATCCCAGAAAAGAAAAATAAAATCGCCAAATACAGGTGGACTTTTATTTTGCTCTATGAATAAACGACTTCTAGTATCGCGCCACGTGGCGTTTCCATCCTAAAAATCATACGAGCAAAACACCCAACCACAAACTCAACATCATCACCGCGATCGATCTCCGACCGTCCGATCCGAACGCCGCATCTTTATCCGATTTCTGATCCGCCGGCTCGCCGTCGGACTCGTCGGACCCGATCGGCGAGTCGGCCTCGTCCTCCTCCCCGTCCGACGCCGAAGGCGACGGCGCCTTGGACTTCTTCTTCGCTGCGGTCTTCGGCGCCGGCGCCTCCTCATCCCCGGAATTCGGCACCGCCTTAAACAGCTCTCGTGGCTGCAACACCTTGTCGATCTCGTACACCACCAGCGGCTCCGAATCGATCAGCGTCGCCGTCACCATCGCCGTCACGACCTTCGTCTTCACCTTGACGTCCTCGCCGTCGGTCTGGATGGTGAAATCGTACTTGGCGCCGCCGTCGGTGGCGAGCGTGTTCACGACGCCATTGTTGGACTTAAGCATCTGCTGCGACAGGTAAATCGGTATACCGTGGTACAACAGCAGCGACAATTTGTGCGCCGCCGTCAGATTCTTGTATTTCGGGAGGAAGGCGTTGAGTGCGGCGTCGGTAGGGCAAAACACCGTCAATCCGCCGTCGATGTTCGACTGATACGTCTCGGCAGCGCCGGCCGCCACCAGCAAATCGTAGAAGGCTTTGCAGCCTTGCTTCGGCAGGATATCCGTCAGATTTAGACTGAGCGGCGCCGCCGTCGGCGCCTCGGCGTCGGCGGAAGTAATAATCTGAGAATAATATTACCCAAATTTGTAAAACCGTTAGTTAAGGAACGATTTGTCGTCGCTTGTTGAGTGTAAAAGAAAAGATTACGATCCGTAACAGAAACGGACGAGATATTCAAAATCTCGTCGCCAATCCCAAGTGGAATTCGTTTTTGTCGGTGACAATAAAAATTTACAAAATGTGAAAAAAAAATGTTAACAAAATAGATAAAATACGAAAAACATTAACAAAATATTACTAGTACCACCATCACATAAATGCTTGTTTTTTTTTTCAATTTTTAAACATTCGTTATTAATCTTTTTTTAAATATGATGGCAACTATAATCTCATGGTGTTGTTGAGCTAATATATATATATATATATTAATCTAAAGCATTTTGAATTTTATTTTTAATGATTCTCTAAGATCTAAAAACTCATTTAATAAAATTCTAAACTTTTGAATTAAGGGTTTAATAAATTCTTAATTTATTATAATTTTAAAAATTTAGGTACTATCATTAAAAATATCACTTTCCAATCGGTAATATATATTTYTAATCAAGTGGTTGTAAGTTCGAATTCTCTATTCTACCGTTTAAAAAATTCGGCACAGATTTGAATTTGTACATAAGAGAATCATTAATTGAAAAAAAAAAAATGTTAACGCTGGTAAAGTTGGATTTATGGACACCACTAAAATTATATAAAAAAAGAAGAAAAAGAAATAAGAAATCGCAGTTTTGGGAAATTTGTTGTTGGTGTGCCCTACTCTAGAAGATTGCAGCGTACGGAAGAAGTTCGAAATGTGAGTACCTTACTGATCTGCAAGATGGAGATATTGTAGGGCAATTCCATAACCGATTTGACATAAAAGGAATTGAGATCGCCGCCGTTATCTTCAGAGGCGAATCCGACCTTGCCTCCCTTGAGATTGGTGATATTGACGTAGCCGGAAGTTCCGGTGGCGGAGCCGGTGGCCTGAAACAGAGTTGAGGAGAGCGTGGTGCCTTTGGAGAGCTGGTGGAGCTTCTTGGCGCCGTAGTAATCGACGAGGACGTGGAGGGAGAGGACGTTTTTGATGGTGCCGACGGAGAAGTGCTTGTCGAGGAGGGCGGACATGGCGGAGTTGTCGAGGGCGAGGACGGTGATGGTGAGGCGGCGGTTGATCTCGCCGGCGAGGTGCGTCAGGGAGAGGTAGTGGTTGAAGGTGCTGAACTCGGGGTGCTTGGCGAGGATTTTGGTGATGTTGTGGGCGTCGGCGGCGGAGGGGAGGAGGAGGAGGATGAGGAGCAGAGGGAGCGCCAGGGAGACGGCGGAGAGGGGGAGAGGTCGGCGCATGGCGGAGGGCGGTGGCGGAGACGGAGGAGGAGGAGGAGTGCGGAGGAGAGGATTTGAAAGGGGGATTTTAAAACGGAGGAATGGAAGTTTTGAGTGGAGAGTAGAGTTAGAGTCTAACAACCAAATAAAACTATGGCATGGGAGCCAGCTCAGCTCAGGGAGGTGGAGTGGACCCCACACTTTGGTGGGCCATGGTCTTTTGTTAAATATGGTTCTAAATTAATGTGGTTTTTTTTTATCCTTTCAATATCTAGGGGTTTTTTTTCCGCTAACACGTCGATCGATCCATCTTGCTGGTGATTTCTCATTCGTTGTACTAAATTAATGAAGAGTATTGGACTCTTGTTACGACTAATCTTGTGCTGACCACKGTTAAATATTTGATAACGAGAAGGAGAAATACAAAGATAGAGATTGCTGTCAATTTTAATTTTTCAATGATGGTCCAGACAAGATAAGATTGGTTATGACCGGTGAAAGACCAAGTATTATCTAAAAAAAATAATTTTTTTCCTCTCTCTAAATTATTCAAGATGTTCTCAAATTTTAAGGTTAGTTTCAATTATACCCTCAGATACCATTCGATCATTCTACATTCAAATCTTAATTTGTGTAAAACCTCTCATCATTTCCTTATAAAAACATAAATTTTTATAAATTATTTTAACCATGTCTCTAGACAATTTAGGTTAAACATAGGTGCTTTAACCATTTGAACTACGTTCGGCTTGACAAGTTATTATCTTTTTAAGGGATAAAAATGGTTATGTTTTATAAATATAGGTACTATAATAATGATAACGGAGACAAGCATAATAATAGTAAGCTTTTTTTTATTACTTAAAAAGAGGTAGTTTTAAACAATAATTCCTCTTCTTTTTTCTTTCTTTCCTTTGCATATACATAACTAACAATAGTTCTAAAATAATTTGGGACAACTTTTTTTTGTTCGACAATAGTAAGATATGAATTTAATATCTAATTTAGGGAGAGTGATAAGTATTTGAGGTAATGTTAAGAATATTAATTATATATATCTCGGTGAGCTTAGCATATCTTCTCATTTAATCACTTTTAATCATAAAATTTTTCTTAAACGCCTTTTATGAAGGTAATTTAAGCTAAAACACGCTTACGTGTTTAGTTACATTTTCTTACCAGTAATTTTAATCACTACTTTGTTTGGTTGCACTATATCAAATCAAACTCTTTAGAATAATTTTCTGGATAATTCATTTTAAATAATAATTATAAATTAATTCGATTATTTTAAAAAAATACTTTGAACCTCCGAAATTAGAAAAGGTTAATTAAAATTTGAAGCCCATCCTAAGCTAAAAGATACTTGGCAAATGAATTCCAATTCTTTTATAATAGTTAGATGTTGGATAGAAGTAAAGTAAAGATACTTGACTTTGTTTATTTGTTTGTTTTTTTTGGTAATTATTTGAAAGACTTTATTGTTTGATGGGTTGCTTGTGCTTGTGGTTCTTGATATTTGGAAGCTATTGTAACTTATAAGTAATATCAATGGTTCAAAATAAAGAAGCAATCTACAATGTCAAAGTATAGCTTAGTTAGTTAATGTATATATTCTCGATTAAAAAGTTTGGAACTTCGTCAGCATATATACAATTTATGATATTAAAATATATTTTATGAACTAAGTTGAAAATACTCAATATTTAAGCCAAGCCAGGTCTAACTAAAAAAATTGTAACAACTAATTCTAAAATGGATTTTTGTTCTTATATTTTCACATCATATTTCTAACATGTTTACTTTTATTTTTAAAAAATAAATACATTTGAAATAAAATTATGGTCAAATTACAAGTTTAAATTTGTAGAATCATTGAGTCGGGTCGGTATGTTCCTTTATAAAGTGTAATTAATAGGTATCTAATAAGTAGATCACTTTCAACCATTTGTATATTGAATTCCTAATTTGTTTGGAATTTTTAAAATTTAGGAACTAGACATAAAGTTGAAAGATTGGTAGGATCGTATTAGATAAATAATAATAAAAAAATCAATTTTGTGTCCGATGGGTGTAAAAAGAAATCCAATTGGAAGTTAAGGAATTTATTTGACATTTTTTAAGTTAAACGAGTTATTAGATACAAAATTAAAAGTTTAATAACCTATTCGGAAAGTTACGTAAAATTATATATTTAACTTTGAAAATATAAGAAAAATATGAAAGGAAAGATAATTAATGATTGAAAAATTAAAGCCAAAATAGACAAAAGAAAAGGGCAGGGGTGCAGACAGAAGATGTCCCACCTACCACTTTGAGAAGAAAGAAATAGTTCAATTATTAGCTTTATTAAATTAACATTTGGGATCTTCTCCAAGTCTATTTTGATTGCTTTTTTAAAAGAACAAAAAAGAAAAAAAATACTTGGCTTCTCACTAGTAACGAGTTCTTACCACCATTAAATATTTGACAACTCATTATTTTTTTAAAATATTTTTTGTTTTCATATTTCTCTCTCTTAGTTGTCAGATGTTTAATGGTGGTAAGAACAAGATCTCTCCTTACCAGTGAGGAGCCAAGTATTTAATATATATATATATAGACACACACGAGGAATGGTCTAGACCATTTTAGATGGTCTTTTCACAGGTGATTTGTCTTCTATTATTTGATCAATTTAATTATATGCAAGTAATAATATTTTTATACTTTTAAATTGATTATAATTTAACTCAAACTTGTAACAATTTAATCTCTATAGTTTAATATTTGTAATGATTTAGGTACTACCACGATTAGATCTCATCAAAATTAAGTGTCGACTTTTATTATATAACGATTCACACATTTGATCACTTGTAAGTTTATTGATTTACGCATATAAGAAACTCTATTAAATCTTCATAAAGTTTTTCACGATAGAGATTACTAAATCGTTACAAACTTTAAACTACATTCATTAAATTGCTACAAACTAAGTTACTAAATTGTTACTTCTATTGAGGGAGAAATCCGAGCAAGACACGTATCGAGCGCTAGGGACGACAGCAGGGCGGAGACCACAGACGGTTAGCATTGTATGCTGCCCATGCGTACGAGCACGTTGCCACTATAGCTGTGCAAGTGAGACGTCGAGGACTATAGCCTACAAGGGATAAACCAGCAGGCATAGGCACCACCCACTGACTGTCAGAGACGTTTTACCCCTCCGTTAGGACCCGTACAGTTTGGCGTGCCCCTGCAACTTTAACCACCATTCTTCCTGATCGGCCCACCGTGCCTATAAAAGGGAAGGACTCCATCACTATCAAGTAAGTGAAAAACATATCACTAAACCCTTAATGTCTACTCCTATTCCTTTTTACTCTGATTACTAACTTGATCGTTAGAGTGTATTAGGCAGGACAATGCACCACCATCGAGTTTTTTGATTGCATGTTCATTTGGAACTCAACAAGTGAACAATATCCGAGGGACACATGGATCTCTCCGAAATTCGTCGTCAATGACTTCATAAAAGTATTGAACTCAAAAGTGTTTTTTAACCAAGTTTCTAAACCAAAAACTCTGCAATCTGGTTAAGATTTAAAAAGAAAAAATCTTTATAGAAGTAAAATATAAAATAAAGAAATTCAGTCTTGAAAATGGAAAACAGAAACAAAAGTGTAATCAATGGGATCCAAGAAAACTGTTACAAGAATTCCACGTTTATTTTTATAAAAAGTAAGAAAAGTAAATAAAAAAAAATATGTGTGTACATTAAATTTTTACTAAAACGTTAACAATAATACTTTAGGACCAAAACAAAATAAACATAATAATAATAAAGTAGTTGAGAAATCATTGTATTAATTGACATAAAATACATAAAACATTTTAATTGATACAAAATAAATTAATAAAAGAGTAGAATTGGTGAGATGGAGTGGGACCCACAAGTGTCGGTAGACAAGAGGCTCCAAAAAAGGCCAGTCTGGCAAGAGGAGGCCTCATGGAGACAACCGTATTTGTCCATTTAACTAATCAACCTTTTTCTTTAATTTATTATTTATTATTTTTATTATTTTTATGCATACATTCCAAAAAAAAAAAAGTCCATTATTTTTGCCCCTTTCATTCCGCAAAAGGGCAAATGTGTCTTTTCAACTTCTCATTTATTTCTTTGACGTTTGTTGTGGTTTTTTTTACGGTCGTTGTTGTCATGTCAAAATCAAAATATTTTGTCAGAGTGAATATAGTTCGATACTCCACTCTTACATGCTGTAAAAAAATCAAAATCAAAATATTCTAGTAATCATAACAAAACAGTAACAAGAAGTTGTGTCAAGAAATCAAGAAAATAAATAAATTGCAATTTAAAGTCAAACTCGAACCTAGTTCAATTGACTAAGATATCGTACTCAATATAAAAAAGAAAAAGAAAAAAAAAACTTAGAGAGGTTGAATCCCACATGTTTAAGTTAGAAAAAGAAAAAAGAATTACTAGTTATTGAACCTTTCTAGATAAAGAAATGTTGGTCGAAAATGGAGGAGTAGTTATTTTAAAATAATTATACATATATAATTTTTAATAAAGTTAATTTTAACAAAAATGAAAATAAATTATAGTCAAACTAATCCGCTAACAAGTTACAAGATCTAAGAGGAAGTTTTTGTTTTTTTTTTTTAAATGACCAATGATGTTTTGTTTCTTTAGGGTGGTTGAGAAATATATATATATTTATATTTATATATTTCAAATGGCAAATAGAATAAAAGTGCATACTTTTTGACATTTTTGTACTTAGTTAAAAAGATGTTAAATTGTTGATATTTTATCATAAGTTTATATTATTTTCTCATTGATAGACTTTTTACAATTATGCTGTTGATTTGGATGACTAATACTTTCACAATAGAATTGGTGGGGCAATACATGTATAATTTAAATGATATTTATTCATTTATTAAAGGTCAGAAATTCAAATTTCCAGACCTCAAATTCTTTCAACTAAATAATATAACACAATTAGTGGGTATTTTATATTTTTTAGGGTCATATTTATAATTACTTTTTAGCTATCATTTGTGTAATATAAAACTCTTATTTAAAAAAAATAAACATTAATTATTTTTTTAAATATTACCAATTCAAACTAAATGAGAAGACTAAAGCTTATTATTGTCTTAATCTTTTAAGTCTTAACCAATTAAATCATACTATAGTGAAAGAAAAAAATCTCATTTTATTTGAGATTACTTTAAAGTGAAGATTTGAATCCTCGATCTCTAATACTTTAACTGCTGAGTTACTCGGATCGTGGACGAATTCACAATCACACAAATTTAATTAAATCTTGTCACTATTTTAGCAGTATAGATAGAGTAGGACTTATGGGGTTATTTTGTAGAAGATTCAAGAGCTCCGCTACAAGGAGATTGTCTCCATGTCTTGTGGGCCTAATATCTAAGTTTGGGCTTTTTGGCCTGGTTTTGTTTTGAAAATTTTGGCTGTGTAGTGTAGCAACATATTATAACATGTTCTAAATATTCATACATATGTACTTTTGTAAAAAATACAAAATACAAAATACAAATATGATATATTTACGTCTATTATTTTCTTCGAGATTAGAGGTTCAAATCTCTATCTCTCAATTTGTTGCACTAAAAATAATTTATAGTCGTCTTTTGTTTTTTTTATTTGTCGAAGATATCTATCAGGGGAAAAATAAATCGTTATATAATTTGGTTGCGAAGATTGATACGATGAAGATATATAAAAGTTATTTATACACAACCTATGATGTAATATTTGACATTATTGTTAATCTCATTGTATCAAGTCAACATATTAACATTTCTATCAATGTGCCTATGTATTTACGAGTTTGACATCAATATGAGCGGTAAATTGATATTTCCATCATATTAAAAAAAGTCAACAAAATATGAAAATTATCAACAAAATGTTGTTAATATATACCTAATATTAATATTAATTATTTTTAACTTATTTAAAATAGAAAAATATGTATTTGTTAATTTAAATATTTTTTTCGATTTTTTAATTTCTCTAGTTTTTACATAAATATCCATCAACGTCGAAATTTTATCGATATTTTCATTTGAGACCTCGACATTTTCATTGACATTGACATGAACCTTTAAAACTTTGGTTAATCTCTAGACTAAAAAAAAAAACTATATTTTTGGTTTAGTTCATTTTCATCTAAAATATTTGTTTTGATTATTGTAATCTTAAAAGTTGACCATTTCGGTATTGGTTTGAGATAGCTTGCTTTGGTACAAGTTTAATAAATTTAGTGGGTAAAGTGTCATGCTAAAATTTTATCAAAATAAATGAGATAAAAAGAAAAATTAAATGACCAAAATGATCCATTTCTAAAATTAGAGGGACGAAAAATAAACCTTTTGAAAGTATAAAAACTAAAACCTAACCTAAGTTGAAAATATAAGAATAAAGTAAAGCACCAAAATAATGAAAAAAAAAATTAAGTTGAAACTCCAACATATTATAAATTATTAGCTTGATTGGAAAAAGAAGACCCTATATAATAGATTAGGGATGGAAGCAAAAGATCAAGATAGGAGTCAAAGAAACAAAAAGGTAACAATCCATATTTATGTTAAGCTACAAATTAAAGGGTAAAAAGAAGAATTTAGAATAATCTTTTCTCAAATTATTTGGTCTCACAATCCTCCAAATTCTTATTCAACATTCAAATATGTGTCAATTCATTGAAAAAAATATCCTCCCCACGTCATTCCTAATAATATGTCAAATACACGAGTATTCTTATTATAGTTATTTACAAAAGATAAAAAAAGCTAAGCCACCATATCGAAAAGTGCTAAGCGACCATATCGGAGAGTAAACTAATAATTGGACGTGAACAACTTGTTGGGTTTCAAATCAATGTAATTAAATTTAAAATCTTTACCTAATGGAAAATACGAAAAAAATAAAAAAAAAAAGTTCAAAAAGTCGGATCCAAGTATCACTCAATTAGTCAATGCATTTGTAGCTATATTTCAAAATTATTGGCTTGAATTTCCACTTATTTATTCAAGGTGTAATACATAACAAAAAACAAAAAACAAAAAACAAAAAACAAAAGATCCAATCCTCGTTTAATAACTATTTCCTTTTTAGTATTCCATCTCTAAAGATTACGTTTGTTTTTTTACAATTTCATTCCCGAGTTTTTCATAGCTCTTGAAAATATATTTAAATTCTTAAAAATAAAACCTATTATTTGAAAACTTTTTTTTTTAAAATTTGACATAGATTTTAGAAACATTTATAAAAACTATATAATAAAAAGAAGTAAGATTTATGAGAAAATAATGTTTTTAAGTTTAATTTTTTAAAACATAAATTAAACGAGGCCTTAGGAATTCAAATCTACAACTTTTAATGTCTCATATTTCAACCATTAATTTATGTTTAAGTTTGTAAAAGCTTATTTTACCAATGATATGATTAATTAATAACCAATTCACCTGTAAAGTTTCAATTTATTTCGGTTTTTTTTTTCTCTCGAGTGGTCTACACATATTATTAGTTGAAAATATTTACATAAATGTATGAGAAATTAATATATTTACATTTGACGTCAAATATGATATTTTATTTTATTTAGTATAACAAATGCGAGTATGAAAATTAGACTCTCCGACCTCAAACAAAGAAATAAATGTCTTTATCATTGAGCTATGTCCCTGCTTAGACATTCAAATATCTGATCTAAATTTTATCTAATAAAAATGCAAGGATTAAATATTTTTTTTTTCACGAAACATATATATAGCCATAAATATTTACAAATTGATTATTGATTCAAATATACAAGAATCAACAGAAAGTATTTACAAATCAATTGTTGATTCTTACATATATAAAATCAACAAATTGATTTGTAAATATTTGCTCCAATGGACTATTAGTTGACCATTTCTGAACAAATTTTGGCCAAGCCAGGCTTTCGGATGAACAAGTTTTGGGCTTTTGGTCGAGCACAAGAAGAAAGAGCTTTCCATTGTAGCTCTAGCTTTCTCGTAATTCTCTCCAACGAGGATCGTGACAACAAATATGGATGAAAGTTCTCAAACAAATTGCTCTACCGTGGCCAATTGAGGGCTGGAATTGCATATGAACATTGGAAGAATTGGAAGCATCGAAAATTCCAAGCGAAGTGGAAGGACCGAACAAGGTAGTGCCCTGTATTGTAGCTTTCTGGCATACCCACTTTTTTTTTTTTTCCATACTGAAATTGAATAAGCCGTGGCAATTCCACAACCACACAAACATCATGCCCTTTTCTTCTTCTTCTTTGGAATCACTTGCAAGGTGTTTGACAAAATGCCTCACTGGTTAAGTTAAAAAAACTTTTCCCTTAATGGGTCCATTTCTCAACTTGCTAATCAATTATCAATTGATTCTTCATACGAAAATGGTTTGATTCTTTTGAGTTAAGACGACAAAAATCGTAGTTGTATGTATTGTATCTTAGTTGTGAATTGAATCCCCACCGGTCAAAATCATTTTAGAAACTATAGTTTGAAGGAAAGAAACGTTTGTGTCAATAATTGGAAGTTGTTTGTTCTGTTGTTTGAGCCATAGAGTAAGTAAGATAGATTATGTTACATTAAACTTGGACCCTTAAACCACCAAATCTAGATAATTGGCGAATGAGATTGATTTGAATGTGAAGAAACGGTAAAGATTTTTATGGTAGACCAGGAGATGTCTCTGTCTTTTGAAGATCTACATCAAGCACGCTGCTGTCAGGATGGGCCTACGAAAGAAGAAGCAGACTCATGCTGATGCTCTACCGAGAGGGCGGTGTCAGCATCTCCCACTTGGTGATGTCAACATTTAACCACCGAACTCTCAACTCCATACGCAAAAGGAGGGCAGTGGAAGTTTACAATGTACGTGCTACCTCCTAACATGGCCTGCATTTATTTTTTGTTTCCCATCCCTCTCCCGCTCGTTCTCTCTCTCTCTCTCAATCTATCTTTTTTTTTTTCCCTCCTTTCACTCTGATTTCGGTCTGGTGGTTGATTGCTGAGAGAGAGAATCACTTTCATCAGATTCTTGCTCTGCCTTTTTCCCTAAGGACCAAATGATTGCAAAAGTTTAAGCCTAGAATTGGGTATCATTTCCCCTCAACTTTTTTACTGTTTAGCGTTGATTGGATGGACAAAAGAAACAGATGCCACTTTACCTTTTCCTTTTGTTATTTCTGCACTCCTTGGTCTAGTTCATCTGCCATTGGGGCGATTTTGAAGTTTCTTTTTTTAGTATATATAAATACTATATAATCACATCAAATAGATAGGATTTCACTTATCTTTTTTTTTTTTTCCTCTTCTCTTTCTAATAACAGGATCTCTCCCTAGTCCCTTGAATAAAGATTGTTTAGTCCAGCCAAGCTACCTTTAACTTCAATCTTTCTCAAGGTATTAAGTGGTTTGGACAACACTAATCGAGTTGTCTCAATGTTCTAATCAGCATATTTGAACATAGATCTATTTGCACGCTTGCTGTGAAAAGGGTAATCCTTGAGATTTAGAAACAAGTCACATGGGGAGGTAGTTTTACTTTAGGAATGTCTTTCCGTGGGGGAGAGAGAAAGACAGAGCTTCATGGGCTTGCAAAAGCAGCTTTTGCCGCTTTCAGTTACTTGGACTTCCACCGAGATTGGGTCTTTGACTTTCGTACAACAACAGAGACAAGTTTTCTAAAGCGCCACCTTCTTCCCTAAGAAAACTTGTTAAGAGGTCAGGTCAAATATCAAATCTTTGCTGAATTACTGTGGTTACAATTAGTCTTTCTTCGTACCAATGGTTGTAAGATGAATTCTGCAATTTTCTTTTAGAAGGTTTCACAAATATGCACAAGAAGTTGTTATCAGAAAGCAACATCCAGCTCCAATCAACAGCTCATGCTTGATCGTTGTAAGCAAGCGTTTTCTGTCTTTTTAAGGCAATTTTGGCAATTTTTTGAACCTATTTCTAGCCTTGGTGTATTTTTCTGTTTTACAAATTTATGAGTTACCCGTGAGCATGAATCTGAGGTCCCAATAGCGAAGATAGGTAAAACAGTAATTTCGAGCTATTATTTGGAGCCCGTATCGATGCAGTGGCAATTTAGGAGTGGCTATTGGAGGCTCCAAAAGACTCCCTCCAGATGAAGGAAAAAAAAAAGTAATAATTTTGATGACGAGGCAACATTCCCTATTAAATCAGCATAATTACCAACCCACTGAAAAAATCTTCCAAATTCATTGGAGAATAAAAAAGCACTGTTCATCGTGCAGTTGGGTTTTTTTAATCACAGCAGCAAGAGGGGTTTTGGGCTGAAAAGAAGAGGAAAACAAGGGAGAGAAAGTGTCCTTGGGAAGCAAGAGAAAGAGGGAGAGAGGACAAATTGCACTTTCCAAAATAAAACTTAACCGAACTCCATAAATACACAGCTGGAGCCTGCGCAAGGAAGATGCTAATAGAATCCTACTTCCACCCAACTCTTGGTTCGGATTCTTTGTTTTTGTGGGATTGATCGACTGACTTAAGTAGGTGTAAAAATCTTCTGCTTTTGTGCGTTTTTGTTTTTTGCCTGTATATCCCGATGGTTACCCCTTTTATTTTCATTTTGGCCAATTTTTATGTGTTAGAATTCTGATTTAGATTCGTGGTTATTAAATTCTCGTTCTTGTGCTGTTTTACAGCGATGGACAATGCTGGGGGTGGTAGGAAAAATGGAGAAGGTCCCTCTGGAGTCCATAAGTTTCGGGAGAATCATGACCAAAGGATGGACTGTRCAGACGATCCAGCACACAACAGCTCCCGCACTTGTGAGTTTTCAGAGTCAAGAATTCAGATTTCTCCACAAAGCTCTGGCGCTCATCGAGTCCTCATCTCTAACCCTCAGGTTTGTTCTTCCATAACTTTCTTTGTATTTTAAGTTCGTGCTGTCTCTCTCTCACCCCACTTCCTTAATTCTTCGAAAGAAATATTTATGTTTGAAAGAAATATTTATGGACCTGTTTAATTGAGCGCATCCACATTTTCTTTCCGAAACTAACTTTGGGATTTCGTTCTAAGCATCCTGATGTGTTAAATAATTGATTATGCAGATTATTGTTTCTCTTTGAGTCTTTTGTTAATGCTTTAGTTACATTGCAAACAACGGGTCATTGTAACTGTTCTCTTTTCTGTGAATTGTTAAATATATTCTTCTCCTTCACTCCAGATGAAGGTAACTAAAAAGGAAAGTTCTGCTTCTGATATTTTCTGTCAGGACAATCACCGTCTTTAACTTCATCCTGAAAATTGCAATTCATGTTCAGTTAGATTGATCGATGCAGGCTCCGCTACATGTAGCAAACTGCCCTTCAAATATTTATTTCTTTATGAAAAATGGAAAACTCTTCATTTGCTTTTTGTGAATAATAGTAAGTGCAGTTCAGGCTGTAAAGATTATTGATCATCCTTTTTTTTTATTTGTTGTCTGAAAGTACAGAAGAAAATAGAGCACCTAAAGTTGGCATTAATAGCCTAATAACTATGCCAAAAGAGAGTGTCTACACTGAGTGGGACCTTGTATTTATAAGAACAAATCTGCCAAAAATATTGTACCTACTTCGGTTTATTCAACAACAAATAACACCCTCAAATTTCACCCCTCTCGTAGTCTTGTTATCGTTCCCTCTTCTCTTCTAGTACGCTACAGTTTCCTTGTCAAGTCCTGGTCTGATGCTACAACCTGAACCTCAATCTTTGCCACAGTGTGCTGCTGCATTCGGTGAAAATGTGTTCCATGAGACAGCGACACAAGTGAGGATCTCGTGGAATCATGGTGGCAATCAAGTGGCCGTCGTAGGATCATGGGACAACTGGCAGACTAGGTATTGAGCTTTGATGATGTGATTAGTTTTTCTGGTTCTTTTTCTATCCTTAACTTGAACAACTGTGTTTAATTTCCGGTATTTCTGTTAGGGAGCTCCTGCAGAACACAGGTGAGCAGTTTGTGGTAATAAAGACTCTGCCGGTCGGTATCTACCGCTACCACTTCATTGTTGATGGGTGGTTGGTTTATGCTCCAGATCTACCCTGGGTTTCTGATGATTCAGGGAGTGCATATAATATATTGGATTTGCAGGTAAGTTTCCGTGGCTTCCCATTGAGAATTTTTGTATTCCTCAAGAGTGCTGTTACTGCTGTTTCACATGATTCTCATTAAACTGAATTTTTCCAGGGGCATGTTTCTGAATTGCCTGAAAGTATGTCTGAGTTCAAAGTTCCTCCATCCCCGCCCTCGAGTTATGACAACCAATACTTGAACGAAGATGATTTCAGCAGGCCTCCGCCAGACCTACCTCCGCAACTTCAAGGAACCATTTTGAACGATCCATCTCCTTCGGTTGAGGGTCAACGGTTGCCAGTTACACCTCGGCGTACAGAATTAAACCACCTCTACGTTCAGAACAATGTCCGAGATCAGTTTGTAGCACTTGGTTCTACTCACAGGATTCGTGAAAAGTATATAACAATGTTGCTATTCAAGCCTTTGTCAAGAACAAGGTGATATCCACACTCTTTTCCTCCAATCAATTTTCATTTTCAAAACCGAAATTGAGTAAAAGCAGTCCTAATGTCGCTGGAAGAGTTTCCATCCTCACGAGTTCTGTAGGTTGAGGAAGACTTAGTGTAGCTAAAAGAGATTCTTTCACACTGAGCATCATTAATTCAATTGCTATTTATTCTGGAGATTACTGTCACTCTTGAAAAATCTTTTTCTTCCCTTCAATTATCTCTATTAATATGTTCTGCTCGTATTCAATTACCGAGGTCGGTGGAAATTTTACTTATGAGTTTGGTTCATCTGAATCAACACAACCATATCAGAAGCTCCTTTACTTACCCTGTGTAATACTAGAGTTGCTTCAATGTAGAAGAATACTCTAGTTGTCCATTTGAAATAAGATCGGTTCAAACTTAGAATTTGCGATCTCGAGTAAGATCAGTTCGAGATCACGAGATTCCTTTCTATCACATAGAATAAATTACTGCACAAGAGGTCCTTTTAAGTAATTGTTCCATCTACCTCATTCAATCATTCATGTAGCGAAGGGAGTTTCGATCCTATATCTACTCATCTTTGAAGTGATTTTGTGGGGCAACACTTAAGTTAGCAAGTTAGGGACAACAAGTCGATTGTTCCAAGAGCTCACATCAATGGGAAGGTTTGACACCTAGATGTCGGTTTTTTGCCACTTAGAGCTGTAGTAAGCTATGTTTAGAGCACCGTAACACATAGGATATGTATCTTTTTAGCTATCCATGAACTTAGAGATTTGGGATTGTGGATGGTAACTGAATGTAGCCAGGAAATGGAGAAGTATGAATCTGTTTCAGATTTATGATCTGAAACATCACCATCTGAGGCAGTAAGAGAAGTGCAGTCTGTGGTGTGTAGTAATGGCTCAGAGTCAGAGCTTACTCTGTCTTTCTTCTCAGGGGGGATGGATGAACTAGGCCATCCTTCTGCTGACCAACTCTTCACTTAAATTTCTTGTTTTCTTCTTACTTTAAAATGGCTAAATTTGTAATTTTGTTCCATGTGTAAAGTTTTTCCTTTTTTGTTTTTCCATGGCTTTTTTCTGGATGGCTTTAAACAATTTTAAGTGATTTTATGTTTTCTTAAAATCAATTTTTAATTTGTCAAACATGATCAATGGAAATGGAAGTGATTTTGACAATGACAAAAGTGATTTTACCATGTCAAAATCACCCCAAACACACCTTAAAATAACTTTAAATTGATTTCTAAGGTAGCATTTGGATTGTAATTTGGAAAATCTAGTATACTTAAATCTTTTTTTTTTTTTCAAAATCATCAATTCTACCATCATTTCGAAAAACACCTTTAAGTGTTTTGACGATGAGTGATTTTAAAAATCCTATAAATATTCAAGAAAAACTTTAAATGCTTTGGGAGGAAACACTAGATTAAATGTTCAGGGAAGAAAAGTTTGCTTAAAACATTTTTTTCCTCTTTCAAAAACCATTTTAAACTCACTGTTAATATTTGTGAGGTTGGTCTAGTGAAAAAGAAAAAAGGAAAGTTCAATTTGTGGAAATTGGAGAAATGAAGAAAGCAAGCACTTGAAAAAGTTTTGTCCTTTATGAGGGTGGGCCTTAAGATTTCAAAACATCATATAAAATGTTTACAACATTTAAGAAATGTGATAGAAACCCAAAAGTTATATTAAATATTTGTTAGAAAAAAAATACATTTTTATGAAAATTCAAACTCAGGACCTTCTCGTCAGATATAGGTCTTAGGTTTGAATAGTAGTTTTCAGGGAAGGGATCCGAACTCACAACTTCTTGGTTAGAGGTATATACTAACTACCGCTTAGCTTTGCTCACTTTGACAATAGTGGTTTCTTCTTTAATATTTGAATTTTGCTATAAAATTTCAATTTTTGCTCTTTCTTGTGATACAAAGTGGAGTACATGAACCTATAAAAGTCTTGTGATACCACATAATTTTCAATTAAAAATAATACAGAAATTAAACCACAAATAACCAATAACAACTTTGATGAAAAGTTGAACTATTAAGATGGAGAATATGATCCTTTAAAAACAAAAAAGAAATTAAGTATGAAAATTTAAGATTATATATTTCTGCCTAATTCTACCGTTGGAGCTATGATTACTCTCTTTCAATGCACCAAGAACATGATCAAGACGCAAAGTACTTTCTTACTCCTTTAGTAAGACCAGTGTATACTCTTCTTTCTGATATGGTGATAAACGTCGTTTTCAAACTTGCTAAACAATCAAAATGTTAAAGGGGAATAGAAAATGATACTCGATTCAATGTCAGGCCTATATTTCTTGGTTTCAATAGGACTCCTTACGAGCGTTGTTTCGAGATACTATTAGATAAAAATAATCAAGTTATTAATGATTGGATGAAACCAAGAAAGAACCCCTCACGTGAGAAATGGAGAAGATCCCCTTACAACAATAAGGATCAAACAATTCCATTGAATTGAGAATGATTGTATGTGTGATAGTATCTACTATACCAGGAATATCAATGAACCCAATTATTAGAATTGTTCGAAAATTTATTGATAGTTTATAAATAAATAAAAATTGCCTTAATTCATCCCAACAATTGTATTTGTGCTTTGTTAAAGTTGATATAAAAGTCAAGTCAATAGGCAAAAATCATACAAGGCAACCCAAAAAGAATAATGGAGGTCCACCCCATAAGGCTAAAAGAAGAAAAAGGTAAACAAAAAAAAAAACACATAAAATGACCAATAAACACTTCAAAAGAAGAGGAAGTTGTATTTTTAGGTACCATTTTCACCATTGGCACAAAATTCATCTCTTTAGCCAAATTGGGAGAATGAAATTCATAATGGGTGGATAATATGAATTGACCAATCAATTTTAAAAGGGCATCTTACAACATTTTATATTATAGATCCAATAATTGTTACAAATTTAAAAGATGGGAAACATCGTTTTATAACGACAAGGACAATTCAACCGATAAAAATTAGGGGTATCAATTTAGACTTCGAATATATTTATTATTAAATATCTTTGTCAAAAGAAAAATTGACTAGAGAACGATTCAATTATTTCTAGAATTCTTCTATTTTTAAGTGTTTATAACTCAAAAAGAAACCTTCACCGTCCTTCAAGAATTCTCCAACAATAGAAATTAGGATTTTTGAGAATTAAGTAAGGTTGTAAAGAAAAATATTGATTTAAATATTGAAGGGGAGATCTCCCGTCCCATTCAATATTTTATTAATTTATATATTTTTTATATATGATAATATTGATATATATTAATTTTAATAAATATTTTTAAATTCTCAAGCCTAATTCTGATTTAGCCACTTTTTCTTTAATTCTAACTTCCATAAATATAAAAAAATATATAAAAAATAAAATATAAATATATTTATCGTGGACGGGGTGAGGATGGGGATGGCCTCTGACCTCGTTGTCATCCCCAATTTCAAGAAATCTAGTGAACAAAGTGTTATGATAAAATTTTGATAGAAAGAAATGAGATAAATATGAAAATAAGTGAACCAAAATGACAATTTTTTAAGAGTATCCAAAACCAAAACAGACAGTAGATACTAAAATTGAACAAGAATTGAAAGTATATAGACAAAAGTGAACATTTTAAAAGTACAGAAATCAAAATAAACTTAAACTAAAATTACGGGATAAATTTACTTATTAATGTAGTTTTAAATATTTATTAATGCCAATACCTACCCATATAAGTAGCATAAATTAATTGTGTAAGTTAAAATATAATAGAAAGTTTAAAATTCTTTAAAAATAATAATAACATAATTCAAAGAGTAATTTAGATATAATGTAAAATACACTCATATGCTATGGACTTATCTCAAAAAATAAATAAAGGTGAAGTAGTTTATCACAAATTTTATCTTATGATTTGTGATAATTTTCAATATAATCATTGCACTTTCATAATTTTCAATTTAATTGGTACGGTTTGAGTTTAATTTCAACCTAGTTGTCATGAATTTAAAATTTAATATAATCAATCTCATGAACATTCATCCAATTATATAATTGAAAAAATTAAGTAGGCTCTTTGAGACGACTACTGTATTAAAAGAAAAGAAGTAAATTTTTGAGATGATGGGAAAAATTAACTAAATTATAAGAGTTGAAGATTCTAAATTCATGCCAAATCTAACTTAATTAACCTGACATGTATGTCTAATTAAAAATTTGTGAATTTGTGAGTTCCATCTGTTGTTGTTGTACTTAAAGAAAAAGTTCCAAATTCATAAGGATAAATTGGAAACGAGATTCACATTTTATGATATTTTCATCAAGCTTGAACATTTTTTGGACTAAACAAAAGCAGCTTCCAGACAACCTTAAACCTCGCATTGTAGCTCGATTTGGAGCTGAGAGCTGGATCCTTCGAAAAATGTTGAGTCCATTGAAGAGAAATCCCAACTTTCGATCCTATTCCATGGAGCTAGCGGGTGCGAAGGGCAAGAATTCAGCCTTCTGATTGACTCAAAACTTTTCCACGAAGAAAATTCGTCGCTTGTGGCACGAATTCATCTCTTTCTACCTCAATTTCCCTTTCATATTTCACTGTTCAGCTGAGTCTTTCCTCTAACTTCCACTCCATTGATTGCTTCTGAGATAAGCCACCATTTATTTCCAACGCCGAAGTGGGAAATTTCACCTTCGTCCTCTTCACTTTCTCGCCAAACCCCTCGAATCGCCGCCCCTGATCTTCAACATAACCCTTCTCCGAAGCAATTTATTGCTTCAATTCCTATTTTCCGGTGACCCCACGTCGCCAACAGTTGGTGGAATTTCTTGAACAGCCTTGTTTTTGTTCCTTTTTTTCCTTTTTCCCATCTTGTTTCTGCGTTGGCAAAGCTTGGCTGGTGAATCAGATTTGGGTCTGTGGAGAGGAGCTCTGATTCTGGTCATGGGTTAAGAAGAAGAAGAAGAAGAAGATCTACTTGCTTCGAGCTTGGAGGCTGTAATGGAGGTTTTTGATCCTTACTCTTGTGTATTCAGTCTCTTCTCGAATGGTTAAAGGCTGTTTTTTATGTTTCTGTTTTGAAGCCATTGACGCCTTTGCTTTAGCTCTAAATAGCGGTATTTGAAGCTCTTTTGTATTAATTAATCATGGCTATTAATCAGAAACCTCGCCTGAAAGATGCTGCTCTTAAACGTTTTAAATTGGTAGTTCTTGTGGCATTATTGGTGTTTGTGCTGTTTTTGATCCTTGTGGAAACGAATTCGTTCCAGAATTTCGGTCCTTGGTTTTCTGATGATCCTTATCTTGGTTATGATCATTTTGATCCTAAAGTACTCAGGCTGCCCAAACAAAGTGAGTTGTCGATTCGTTTGGAGAAGAGAAACTGGTTGCCACCCCGAAACTTAGATCTATATCCAAAGCTAGCCAAGGATCATATACCTATTGTACTTTACGTGCACAACCGACCGCAGTATCTCCGAGTGGTAATCGAAAGCCTGTCCAAAGTTGTAGGAATAAGTGAAACCTTGCTTATTGTTAGCCATGATGGATATTTTGAAGAAATGGACAAGCTTGTCCAGAGCATTAGATTTTGCCAAATGAAACAGATTTTTGCCCCCTACTCTCCTCATCTCTTTCCCAACAGCTTTCCCGGAGTGTCGCCTGGAGACTGTAAGGGCAAGGATGATGATAAGATAATACATTGCAGAGGGAATCCTGATCAGTATGGAAACCATCGGTTGCCTAAAATCGTTTCGCTAAAGCACCATTGGTGGTGGATGATGAACACAGTGTGGGATGGGTTGAATGAGACGCGAGGGCGGTCAGATCATGTTCTGTTTATCGAAGAGGATCATTATATATTGCCAAATGCATATCGGAATCTGCAAATACTTGTAGAATTAAAGCCTAAAAAGTGTCCTGAATGCTATTCTGTGAATCTAGCTCCTTGTGATGTGAAATCAAGAGGAGAGGATGGGAATTTTCTTTTTGCCGAGAGGATGGGAAATATCGGCTATGCTTTCAATCGGACGACTTGGAGGAAAATCCATAAAAAAGCAACAGAGTTCTGTTTTTTCGATGAATACAATTGGGATATAACGATGTGGGCAACAGTTTATCCCTCATTTGGTAACCCTGTTTACTCACTACGAGGGCCTTGGGCGAGTGCAGTTCACTTTGGCAAATGCGGTTTACACCAAGGTCATGGGGAAATGGATATTTGTTACGACAATGGCGTGTTAAACATTGACGTTAGAGATGTCGACAAAGTTGCCAACATTAATTCTGAGTGGGAAGTAGATTTCTTCAAAAATCAGCCTGGCTATGGGGCTGGTTTCAGAGGTTGGGGAGGTTGGGGCGATGAAAGAGACCGTCAGTTGTGCCTAAATTTTGCTCGCATGTATTCTTCCACGTCGAACGTCTCTCGTTCCTGAAGGTTTGATGAGTGAATAGTTTTTCGACTTGAACTAGCCTAGCATAAGGATAACCAGACCCAGACTTCTGTGTTGTTTTGTTACATAATTACTCAAAACTCATTATCTGTAGGTCTATTGACAGTGTCTGTACTTCATTCAAGAGTCACATTTTCGATCATGCATGTAACGGGAATGAGGYTTCCGATGCTTATGGAAAATGATATGGTAGAACTATTCCTCTTTCGAGTGAGGTTTCCGATGCTTATGGAAAATGATATGGTAGAACTATTCCTCTTTCGAGTTCGGGTTATAGACTGTCAATAATCTTCAACTTCATGACTGTTTTCCTTTCAAAAATGGTTTTTATGATTCAGTAGCACATCTTAAAACCGCTCTGAAGGATGGTTTACTTTTTAAAGAACTTAAAAAATCATAGACTTGCTAATTACTAAGGAGAGGAATATTAGTTTTACAATCTGACAAACAACCATAATCCTTCATCCGATCCCGTTCCTTGTATCAAGGACTTTGGCTTCGTTGCAGCATTACTTCGTTTTTAACATGTTTGGGTGCAGGTTAAAATACATTACAACAACACAGTTTGTGCATTATGGTTCCCAACAGGCAATTGTTATTTTGACTGCAAGCGCAATSCCGAGCCTCCGATGAAGGATTAGACGAGGTAGTATCAGCAGGATAGCAGAGGCAACCAGCAACCAAAAGGTAGTGAAGGTATAGAACACTATCAGCTATACACACTCTTCTGTCTCTCAGTTAAAGATTGCTCGGTTCAGTCTGCTCGAGTTCGATTACTCGAGTCAATGCAACGAAAAGGCTTTTGGAGAACTGGGAACACATAAGTACCATGGCAGTATGTTCAGCTGAGGCTGCTGTCATGTCCACCAAACCAGATACCTCTGTTTTTATGGCAAGTGTTTTCTCTTTGGGAAATCGTTACTCGACATCGATTCTACCGCTCGAGTCTGAGAATGTTGACAACATTTACAACTACAAATTTTACTTGTTTGGACAATATTTAGTTGTGTGGAAAAAGAAAATACATGATACAGTTAGCTGTGAAGAGAGTGGTCTGAAGGTTTAGATTTTAGAGTGCTTCTGAATTGAATGAAGGCCAAAAAAGAAGAGAAAAAAAAGATTAATATATGAAAATATTATTATCTATAGTTAAGCATAACATTGTTGCACTTTTATTTCACATCTTTAGAAAAATATGCATTGTCTCAACCATGTCAGAAATTGCCTTTTCAAGATTTATTTATTTTTATTATATTTGGGGTATACATGTTGTTCCCATGCTGCTTGATAGAGTTGCGTTCTATGTGACTTGAACCCACTACGTCGAAGATATTCCTTGAGGCCCCAAGCCACAAGCAATCCCTGGGAGATAATTTCGTTAATTTATGAAACCAAACTAAAAATAAAACAAAATAAGAGTAAATTTTACGGAAAAAAATTTTCTCTCTTATTTACTATTACAAATTGCTCAAATAGTTTTAATCTATTGAACATAGCTAAATTGGTTAAAGTGTATGTATATTCTCGATCAAAAAATATTGAATGTTCGAATCTCACTTGCACGTTGAACTAAAAGGAAAAGATTTAATCATGTTTAAATTAATTTTTCTTAGTTTGAGAAATATTTTTTTTAGTCCACAAGTTTCAAAATCTTACTACTTAACCCCAAGATTTCATACATCTCCCATTTTGGCTCTTCCAATAATAGATATGTCAAAGCTCACTAATAGAAAAAGGTTGATTGGGTCTATTAACATCACAAATGTTCTGGTGACATGACTTTTTTTTTTTCTGTTATTCTTTTTACTTTATATTATTTTCATATTGACATGGCAATAAACTAAAATAATAACAATTATTCTCTCTCCTTACTCCCAACAACCCACTTCTCTCMAGAAAAAGTAGTAGGGCAAGACAGGGTCTAATAATAATTTTAAAATTCATTTTCTTTTTTAATTCAACAACTACAGCAAAATAGTAATAGGTGTATTATCCACTTGAGATGTCTTATCATACCTTAAACAATATGATAAAGGTTGTTATGAGCTCAAATAAAATACCACACATGGCCCCAATCTGATAGCTCGAGGTAGAAATTTTACTCGAGTAGCCTTGCTCATCCATCCCTCTTGGACAAAGACAAACTGGTGGGATCGCCATTGACATTCGGTGAAAGTAAGATCTTAGTGTGGCAAAGCGGCAGAAGTATGATTCCATCAGCCAAAACGTCCCTATCACCAAACCATTCCTCTCAACTCAATTGTACGGTCTGCCCTTCCAAAACGCTTCTCTATAAATGAAGAAGTTAACCCTTCTCAAAGATACGTATACATTTTTCACAACACATTGCCTATCCTTTTAGCTCTCACGTACTAAGTTCTAACTTAWGCATCAGAGAACACTAGATAGAACATTACATTGATGATGAATTATAAGCTCCCACACCGTCCTCCAACAATCATGTCACCTAATCAAATTTCAACATCAATAGAGATATTTAACTTTCGCCCCATCATCATTAAGATCAGTTAAAATACGCCAGATCATCATTCTAACGTATGCTATTTGAAAACATTCCACAGACTTCAAAAAGTTCAAAACAGGGGCAAGAATCAAGATGAACTCTCTAAGAAATTAGAGTGAGTTGAATTTATTCCTTTTAGAAACTTGTCAAAATTTCCCAATTTGTAACGTGGGCCAATATAGTTCATTGGGTGCTCATGCCAGTCCAAACGCTGTTCCCACAGCCATATTTACCGAAACTACGGCCAACCCAGCTCACGTCTCGAGGACCAGGGGAGGAGGACGACGAAACTTTTTGCAAAGAGTGCGTGCGGACTGCAGAAATTTATCAAAACCCATCTTCCAAACCATTTCCAATGGATGAAATCCGCAAGGTTTGGAGTCTCCTGTTAACTTTGCCGTTTTCACGTGTTGCTAATCCGTATTGCGCAACTTGGGTGCTCCGTCAGACCCGTATCTGTTCGCCCATTTTGTATGCATCCCCTTTCTAATCTGTATTCATTAGTTTTTGTCTCTTTCTTTCCCCAATTTTCTTAATCTTGTCATTCTGGGAACTATATGGGGTTCGGAAATTCGAACTTGTGATTATGTGCTTGCCAGCTTGTTGCCCAAATGAATGGTTCTGATTTCTCTGGGAAAGTTGGCTTTGGGGTAGGCTGCGTGAGTTTCTAGAAGTTACTTTGTCAGTAATTCTTCGAGGAAGCAGACTGGGGTGAGTGGTGGAGAAGATGTGTAAGAAGAAGAACCTGCTCTGAGTTATGTTTGAAAGCTCGTTTGTTCTGTTCTTAGTTCCTCTTATTGTTCTTGCTTATTTCATGCTACCCCTTTTGGTTTGGACGAAAATCTGAGGAGATTTCACTGTTCAATTCTCTTTTACTTCGAACTTCTTTCTGGGTTGTTGTATTTGAAGTCTGTGGGTTGCGTTTCTGGAGAATAGAATCGTGGGAAGATCTTACTCTCTCTCTTTTATCATTTTGCTTCGACTGGTAGGTTCTGTTCTGGCATGAATATCAAGTAATTTGTTGTGTTACTTCTTGGATTTGGTGGTTGGTAAGCGAAGMTTTGGAGAGCCCTCAATTGGGAGTTTCATGTTTGGGGATATAGGTGGGTCGTTTGGTTAGTGGAGGGCAACAGGAAATTCGGAACTAGGTAGAAAGATGTCTTCAACGTCAACAAATAAGGCTGTGTGTTCTAAGAGCACCTGTGATCGGTCGAAACATGGGGCTCATGTGGTTGCACAGACCCCAATTGATGCAAAGCTTCATGTAGACTTCGAAGGTTCGGAGAGATACTTCAATTACTCTGCATCGATTGATTTGAATGTCTCGAGTTCCACTAGCAATGTTCATGCCTCCACTGTACAGTCATACCTTCAAAACATTCAGAGAGGAAGTCTAGTTCAACCATTTGGTTGTATGATTGCTGTTGATGGGGAAAACTTGTCGGTCCTTGCGTACAGTGAAAATGCCCCCGAAATGTTGGATTTGGCCCCTCATGCTGTGCCTAACATCGAGCAGCAAGAAGCTCTAACTTTTGGAACAGATGTACGGACACTTTTTCGTTCCCCAGGTGCTGCTGCTTTACAGAAGGCAGCTGACTTTAAGGAAGTTAATCTTCTCAATCCTATACTGGTCCATTGTAGAACTTCAGGTAAACCATTTTATGCAATTTTGCATCGAATAGATGCGGGATTAATTATAGACTTGGAACCAGTAAATCCAGCTGATGTGCCAGTAACTGCAGCTGGGGCATTGAAATCTTATAAGCTAGCAGCTAAAGCCATTTCTAAATTGCAGTCCTTGCCAAGTGGGAATATATCTCTTTTATGCGAGGTATTGGTTAAGGAAGTTAGTGATTTGACAGGTTATGATCGGATAATGGTGTATAAATTCCACGAAGATGAGCATGGAGAAGTTGTAGCTGAGTGCTGCCGACCTGACTTAGAACCATATCTCGGCTTACACTACCCAGCTACTGATATACCTCAAGCTTCAAGGTTCCTTTTTCTGAAGAATAAAGTTAGGATGATATGTGATTGTTTGGCACCTCCAGTTAAAGTGCTTCAAGACAGAAGATTGACTCAGCCATTAAGTCTATGTGGATCTGCACTGAGGGCTCCTCACGGTTGTCATGCTCGGTATATGATGAATATGGGTTCTATTGCATCTCTTGTAATGTCTATCACAATCAATGAGAATGATAATGAATCAGAGAATGATCAAGAAAAGGAAAGAAAGTTGTGGGGTTTAGTAGTTTGCCATCACACAAGCCCCAGGTTTGTTCCATTTCCTTTGAGATATGCCTGTGAATTCTTGATTCAAGTATTTGGTATACAAATTAACAAAGAAGTGGAGCTGCAAACTCAGTTGAAGGAAAAACACATATTGCGAATTCAAACAGTTCTGTGTGATATGCTGCTAAGAGATGCCCCGGTAGGAATTATAACTCAATCTCCCAATATTATGGATCTTGTTAAGTGTGATGGTGCTGCCTTGTATTACAGAAAGAAATTTTGGTTACTTGGAGTCACCCCATCAGAGGCACAACTTAGAGATATAGCTGTATGGCTTCTGAAAGACCATAGTGGAAGCACCGGCTTAAGTACCGATAGCCTTATGGAAGCTGGTTTCTATGGTGCTTCTGCCCTTGGTGATGAGGTTTGTGGAATGGCTGCTGTTAGGATCACGTCTAGGGACTTCCTTTTCTGGTTTCGGTCACATATGGCGAAAGAAATCAGGTGGGGTGGTGCAAAACATGATCCTGGTGACCAAGATGATGGAAGAAAGATGCATCCAAGATCATCATTCAAGGCTTTCCTGGAAGTGGTGAAGCGGCGTAGTCAACCTTGGGAAGATGTGGAAATGGATGCCATCCATTCACTGCAACTGATATTACGAGGTTCTTTACAGGACGAGGACAGAATTGAAGAAGAATGCAACGTGATTGCAAATGTCCCATCAGTTGATGAGAGGACACAACGGTTGGATGAATTGCGTGTAATCACAAATGAGATGGTTCGCCTAATTGAGACCGCTGCAGTGCCCATTTTGGCTGTAGATGTCTTAGGCAAGATCAACGGTTGGAACTCGAAAGCTACTGAACTTACAGGACTGGCTATCCAGCAAGCCATTGGCATGCCCTTAGTTGACTGTCTCGTGGATGATTCTGTTAAGGTGGTAAAGAAAATGCTCTCCTTGGCCATTCGAGGTGATTTTACACCTTAGGGTATCACCTTTGTTCCATTGATGTAACCGTTATTTATGTTTGCATCTAGTGCATTTTATTTTATTTTATTTTTTTCTAGTATCATATATGATATATTTGTCAGTCAGTTCTCCACAGTAGTAAATGGGATTAGAGATATGATACCGGACAGGAAACTATTATATGAAGTTAACTCTTTAACAATTATGTGTAGTATTTTAGTTCATTTAGTTATTTGTTTGTGTGGTAGGAAACCAAACGTTTTACTAGTGACATATATATACGAACGAAAATCCTTGAAAAGCTAAAAGAGTTGCAGAAGACCTCTCCGATTGGCATAGATCATTGAAAAAGAATAGTTACAATCTAGTACTTCAATTTTGCATCCCTCTGATATTTTTTTGTGGATTTTGTCAGGTATTGAAGAGAAAAATATAGAAATCAAACTCAAAACATATGGAACTMTGGGTCATAGTGGTCCAGTAATCTTAGTGGTTAATTCATGCTGTAGCCGAGACCTGAATGATAATGTTGTAGGAGTTTGCTTTATAGGCCAGGATGTTACTGAACAAAAACTGATTATGAACCGATACACCCAGATCCAAGGTGATTACACGGGGATTATGCGGAACCCATCTGCCCTTATTCCTCCAATTTTTATGACTGATGATGATGGCCGGTGCTTGGAATGGAATGATGCAATGGAAAAGTTATCTGGTTTTAGAAGAGAAGAGGTGACAAATAGGATGCTTCTTGGGGAGGTTTTCACACTCGAAAATTTTGGCTGCCGTGTGAAAGATCAGACATTAACCAAGCTTAGGATACTACTGCATAGAGTAATTTCAGGCCAGGATACAGATAAATTTTTGTTTAGGTTCTGTGACCGTGAAGGAAATTATGTTGAAACATTGCTTACAGCAAGCAAAAGGACCGATGCAGAGGGTAATATCACCGGGSTTTTCTTCTTCTTGCACGTGGCTAATCCAGAACTTCAATATGCTTTAGAAATGCAGCGGATATCAGAAGAAGCTACAGCTGATAACCTCTATAAATTAGCATATCTGCGTCAACAAATCCGAAAACCACTTGGTGGAATTATATTTATGCAGAAACTAATGGAGTCGTCTGACTTAAGTGAAGAGCAAAGGCGGCTACTTAAATTGAGCACTTTGAGTCGGGAACAGTTGCACAAGATCGTAGATGAAACTGATATTCAAAGTATTGAGGAAAGGTATGATTATAGATATATCAAACCTAATCAACGAGAGTGATTTTTTTTTCCCTTTTTTGGCTTTAATACATTGTGCTGTCCTATTATTGATAAAATCTTTGATCTTTGGGGTAATCCCTTGCAGTTACATGGAAACAAACTGTAGCGAATTCAACCTCGGAGATGTTGTTGGCGTTGTAACGAATCAAATCATGATTTTGAGCCAAGAGCGCGAGGTGAAGATCATTTGTGAGTCACCTGCTGATGTGTCATCTCTGCACTTATATGGAGATAACTTGAGGCTACAGCAGGTGCTTTCTGAGTTCTTGGCTAACACACTTCTCTTCACTTCCAAAGGATCATCCGTTGTCTTCAAAATAACCCCAATGAAGGAGCGTATCGGGAAGGGAATCCACATTGTTCATCTTAAATTTAGGTAAATATCATTTTTAATCATGGCCAAAGTTGTTTTTGTTGCTTGATTCACCTCAACTCCACCACTAACAACAATAGAAGCAAGAAATAGTTTTCACATTACATTAATGGCATGTTATAGAAGACTGATTTTGAAGATTTCTAGAGAGTATCTTCCGTCTTTAACTATTACATCTTTATGATTACTAAATCTCTAAGTTCCCATTGTCCGTTACGGTTGAGAAATAAGTAGAATGATTATATCCTTTCTTGATGGGGAGATCTTGGCTATTGTCTTTCTTCATTTGTGGAAGTTTAAAGTCCATGTTAACCAGATATAGAATGCTCAGATGATAGCACTGAATGCATGATGGGGAAAGTTGAAGTTAATGGCAAGATTTTGGTTGTGATAATTCTTTAGGATTTTGAGTCTACGACCATCACTTCCTTCATATTGTGGCGCCAGTAGATTGAAAATCCCAGAGCTAGCCTTGAGTGAGCGAAGCCTCTCGAATGCAAAGAGTTCTCCCCTCTGATACCCTTTCTTTTCCCTCTAAAAAAGTAACCTTGGGATCTAATAAATCCTAGAATAGTAAATATCTTTTAGAACAACATTGAGCTGGATGAATAGAATCTCGGAAGTTATTTCTGAATGGGGATCATGGTTGGTATGCTTTATGCTTTTTTATGTTAGATTTAGAATCAATAGATGACCTTACTTGAACCATGTCTGTTCTATAGATTGTACTACTGTGTCCTTGAGTTCTAAAGAATCACGTATGATAATAAATACATTTTTGTGATAATAGCTGATCATTGGTTTTGCTTTATCTAYTTGCAAACCACTTTTTTTTTGGCATATGATTTATCGGCTTCTTGTTGGAGAATATGGTACGCGAAAACGATTGAAAAGAAAACGGCATTCATGTACAAGCATCAACATTGAGTGTTCTAAAATGAAAAAGGAGCTACTGTTTATTTAAGTGTGGTCATTATATTATGTAGGATCACCCATCCTGCTCCAGGAATTCCCACGCACTTAATCCGAGAGATGTTTGATCACAACAATGATTGCTCGAAGGAAGCCCTTGGCCTATGCATCAGCCAGAAGCTCGTTAAGATCATGAATGGCACTGTACAGTATCTTCGAGAGGCCGAGACCTCGTCATTCATCATCCTCATGGAATTCCCCTTGGCAGAGCATATTTCTTGATGACAATGAGGACTAATGATCTACACGGCATGATTCTCCTGAAGACGCCATTTCTCTTTATCTCATCTCTCTGGTATATCGACAAAACAAGCTTTGACATTACTCGGTATCAGACCGGGTGGGATTGTTTGAGAATACGAGTAGATATTAGAGTGAGTGAAACGAGATTATAATAAACGTTCTTGCAGGCCGGTTAGTTTCAAGCTTTAAGGAACCAAAAGACTCGAAAGTTGTAAAGACGACGTCTTCTTTGGCCATCTATGGGGCCTCTGAGCGCCAACAAGCCCAGGAACTGTTTCGTAGTTCATTTCGAAATCTGAGTTAGAAGCAGAAGTTTGAGAGCTGTTGCTGAGTGTTGCCATTTTCAAGTGTGAATGGGTTCGGAAGTGCCTGAAATAAGTGAGTGAAAACTGAAGTTGTCAACTTGTTTATAATGGATGGGCAAATTCTCATCCCTCTTTCAGTTGAAATAATATGCAGTTGTTCATTTCTCAGTTGATTTTCCCCTCCAACCAGCTCCATTCTTCTCTTCATTTGCTCATTTCTACAGAATCAGATATTGTTTTCCTTTTTCATTGCATGAATAAATGCTGAAGGACAGTAATGCTAATGATTCAGACTTCCTTTTTCCATAAATCCTGAAGTTCATGAAAATAATGTTAGAGTGCAAATAGATGTTTAACGATTTTCTTTAGTAACAAWTGTACGTAACTATCGAGTTTGAGATGATAACAAATGTCTTATTTATAACACAAATATAAAGCATTAACCCTTGCAAAAATAGTATTGTTTTAACATAAAAGAGGGTAACTAAAGGTGTGTACGTTGTTCTCTCCCTTTGAAATACATGTTTTATTCATAGTTCATGAAGACGAGGAGGAACAAAACCAACATACTTAAGGTGGAGTTCATCTCGATGTTACATGAGAGGAGGATTCTGTCGCAGAAGTTGAATGGAACTTCTATTTGYATCYTGTTTGTCACCTCGTGCAAACGAGTATGATTTGATTAGTTATTCAAGTTTTAAGATTGAAATGAGAAGACAAGCATGAGTAAGTTTTTTTAAAGTGATATAGATCCATTTGAATTTAAAAAAAAAGTGGAGAAAAATACAATTTTATCATTGTATTTTTAATAAAGTAACAATTTTCTTTCTATACTTTAAAATTGATTACAATTTAGTCTGATCATTAAATATTAGGTTAAATTTAACAAAATTTGGACATGACTGTCAACTTAAAGTCGGTTTAAGATCGGGTCGATTTAAAGATTAAAAAAGAAAAAAAAGAAAAATTAAACCGCTCCCGACCCTTGTTTGAATGAGTAGCTTGTTTGTTTGTAATTGTTTTTCCCACGTCACAAACAGAAACACTAGCACTGATTACAAACTCCAGTTAAATGGTTACTGTTGAAAGTGGGAAGAATAAATCGTTGAAGTTGAAACTGTATCAGCTCATTTTATGGGATCGGATGTCATTTTCTTGACTTTGTTTTGAAGGTTGAGTTTGGAATGGATTTCGGAGGCAAAATCCCGAGTCCCACCGGCCACCATAAGTTTGTAAAGGCGTAACCACAGCTACATTATTTACGAATGCGCCTCCCATGGCCCGGTGATCGGACATGGAAGCTCGCATTTTCTGCTTTCCTCACGTAGCCCACTATTATGTTCCGCTGCTTCGCCCACAGCCATAGAAGAGTAGTCGCTTTCCGCCATAGCCCTGTTTTTATCTCTTCATGCTCTGCTTCTTCACTTCCAGTTTCGCAGCATTACCCTCTTCTCTTCCATCCCATTAGCAACCCTCTCCCTCCGTCTTCGATCCCGTTGCAAATCTTGGTTGCTCAGTACAAATCATCCCAACTTCACCCCACAACTCAGTCCCCACCCTTCCCTGTACAGCGCGATGAAAAGATTGAATCTCTCGCTTGGCGGTACCGGTATTCTTGCTGCCCGAAAGATGCGGAAGAGCTTCATTTGCAGGTTTTTAAAAATGGGTTCGTTAATGATTTGTTTTTGTGTAATACCCTTATTAATGTTTATGCTAGAGTTGGTGACTTGGGTTCCGCCCGGAAGGTGTTCGACGAAATGCTCCTTAGGAACTCGGTCACTTGGTCTTGTTTGATATCGGGCTTCACTCAAAACTGTATGCCAAGAGAGGCTTGTGAGCTCTTCCGGAGAATGGTTTCTGGTGGTTTTGTGCCTAATCACTATGCTTTTAGCAGCACAATTCGAGCTTGCCAAGAGTGTGGCGAGTACGGTTTGAAATTTGGGATGCAAATTCATGGGTTGATGTCAAAAACTCAGTATGCTACTGATGTTACTACAAGTAATGTTTTGATTTCGATGTATGGAAGTGTTATGGGTATTGTTGATTATGCTCGTCGTGTTTTCAACAGAATATGGCCCAGAAACTTGATATCTTGGAACTCTATGATTTCTGTTTATTGCCAGAGGGGAGATGCAGTTTCTGCATTCGAAATATTTTCAACTGTGCAGCAGGAAGTCATGGGAGATGGTCTCAAACCAAATGAGTATACCTTTGGTAGTTTAATATCTGCTACCTGTTCTCTGGTTGATTCTGGTTTGATTTTGCTTGAACAGATACTGAGCAGGGTTGAAAAGTCTGGTTTCTCACATGATTTATATGTAGGCAGTGCTTTGGTTAGTGGGTTTGCAAAGTTTGGGTCGATTAATTATGCCAAGGATATTTTTCAGCAGATGAGTTATAGAAATGCAGTATCCATGAATGGTTTGATAATTGGACTGGTTAGACAGAATAGAGGTGAAGAAGCAGTTGAACTTTTCATGGAGATGAAGGACTCGGTTGAACTGAACCTTGATTCTTATGTGATCATTTTGACTGCCTTTCCTGAGTTTTATGTTCTGGAAAATGGGAAAAGAATGGGCAGTGAGGTTCATGCATACCTCATCCGAACAGGCTTACTTGRTGCTAAGATTGCAATTGGGAATGGTCTTATAAATATGTATGCTAAATGTGGAGCTATCGGTGATGCTTGTACGGTTTTTAGACTCATGAATGATAAGGATTCAGTCACGTGGAACTCCATGATAACTGGTCTTGACCAAAACGAGCACTTTTTAGATGCKGTTAGAACTTTTCAGGAAATGAGGAGAACAGGATTGTTTCCTTCAAATTTCACAATGATTAGTGCTTTAAGTTCCTCTGCAAGCTTGGGGTGGATCATGATTGGAGAACAATTACATTGTGAAGGACTTAAATTGGGGCTTGATTTGGATGTTTCTGTTTCAAATGCTCTATTATCTTTGTATGGTGAGGCTGGGTATGTGAAGGAATGCCAGAAAGCTTTCTCCTTGATGCCTGAATATGATCAAGTTTCATGGAACTCTTTGATCGGAGCTTTAGCAGATTCTGAGTCATCAATGCTTGAAGCTGTGGACAATTTCCTGGTCATGATGCGGGCCGGATGGCGTCCTAATAGAGTAACCTTCATTAGCATACTTGCAGCGGTATCTTCTCTTTCACTTCATGAACTGAGCAAKCAGATTCATGTTTTAGYCTTGAAGTACAATGTTGCAGCTGACACTGCTATAGAGAATGCCCTTTTGGCTTGCTATGGGAAGTGTGGTGATATGAGTGACTGCGAGAATATCTTTTTGCGAATGTCCGATAGACAGGACGAAGTGAGTTGGAACTCCATGATTTCGGGTTATATACATAATGAGCTCTTGCTCAAAGCTATGGATATGGTCTGGTTTATGATGCAGAGAGGCCAAAGACTGGATGGTTTCACCTTTGCAACCGTGCTTAGCGCTTGTGCAACCGTTGCGACAATGGAGCGTGGCATGGAAGTCCATGGTTGCAGTGTAAGAGCTTGTTTAGAATCTGATGTTGTCGTCGGGAGTGCACTTGTGGACATGTATGCAAAATGTGGTAGAATAGATTATGCATCAAGATTCTTTGAACTGATGCCTGCAAGAAACTTGTACTCCTGGAACTCCATGATTTCGGGGTATGCACGACATGGACATGGAAGAAAAGCTTTGGATCTTTTCGCCCAGATGAAGCTACATGGTCCACTCCCAGATCATGTCACTTTTGTTGGAGTTCTATCAGCATGTAGTCATGTGGGTTTAGTTACAGAAGGGTTTTATCACTACGACTCAATGCGTGAAGTATACGGGTTAGCTCCTCGGATGGAGCACTTTTCGTGTATGGTGGATCTTCTTGGGCGTGCTGGGAAGCTAAACAAGGTAGAGGATTTCCTCAACAAGATGCCAATGAAGCCTAACATTCTAATATGGAGGACAGTTTTAGGGGCTTGTTGCAGAGGCAACGGACGCAACAGCGCGCTCGGTAGGAGAGCTGCTGAGATGCTGCTGGAAATGGAACCAAGGAATGCAGTGAACTACGTGCTTCTCTCAAACTTGTATGCTTCGGGCGGGAAGTGGGAAGACGTAGCGAAGACGAGGGTGGCAATGAGGAAGGCGTTCGTGAAGAAGGAAGCTGGATGCAGTTGGGTGACAATGAARGATGGAGTTCATGTGTTTGTAGCAGGAGACAAATCACACCCTGACAAGGACTTAATCTATGAAAAACTAAAGGAACTGAATGCAAAAATGAGGAGGGCTGGGTACGTCCCGGAGACGAGATTCGCACTTTACGACCTTGAAGGGGAGAACAAGGAGGAGCTTCTCAGCTACCACAGTGAGAAAATCGCAGTTGCCTTTGTTCTAACTCGTCCATCAGAAATGCCTATAAGAATAATGAAGAACCTCAGAGTTTGTGGGGATTGCCACTCAGCTTTCAAATACATTTCACAGATTGTWAGAAGACAAATTGTATTGAGAGATTCAAATAGATTTCATCACTTTGAGAATGGCCAATGTTCATGTACGGATTTTTGGTAGTCTATACATTCTTTTTTGACATTCCAAATGTGTTTTTTAGCGACAAAAAATAACGTTTTGTGCATGCATACAAGTTCAGATATATAAAGAATTTACCGATCGTTAAATTTTTTTTTTCTAAATATATAGATTTAAAATCTCTCTCGTCTCACTATAGAGTTGATTTATTCCACTACTTTCATTCAAGTTTCCTTTTCTACCAATGTGATCGGTCTTTGTCCTTATTAGCCTTGGTTCGGAGTGTTGTGATCATCATACTACTATATGTTATAGATGGCCTATTAATAAATCGAGTTCCGAATGAGTTTCTGTTTGAACAATTCAATATGATCTAATAATTTAGAATATTTTTCCGAGTTAAACAATTATGGGACAAGAGATCGACCTTTCAACTCAAGTAAGATATTTGATACCTTATCTACTTAGCTATGTTCAGTATATAACTATTTCATACTATAGTGGCGACGGTACAAATTTTGTAGTAGTATGATTACGAGAGGTACACCTGTCCCGAGAGGACAAAGATCCCAAACAAATGTGGCTGCCATGTCATGCGGGACCCACCAGCTGACATGGCAATATTTATGTAGATCAATACTGGGCCTGGACTGTAATATGTGTGAATTGTGATGCCGTTATGGTAATTGGGCCCCCATTGAGSTAAGACCTTATAATATGATTTATATTTTTTTTATTTAAATCAATTATAAGATAAATAATACGAAAATGAAAAAATATTTTTGTTGAACCCAAGGCTTCAATCAATGGAGGATGTGATCACTCAAGGATTTTGAAGGTTAGTTTTCGTTTTCCACGTATTTCTTGTCGCGGCAAAGATTTCCTGTTTGATCAGTTATTTTCCTCTTCTTTCTGATCGGGATTTCCTTTTTTTTTTTTTTTTTGCTGGAGTTTATTGATTCTCGATCCTCCGTAAACTGTGAATCCTTAAAATCTTGCTTCATTAGTTTGTTTCTCATTGGTATAATCGTACTTCGACCTGATGCTTGAGGAAATTTTGCGAAATTACATTTTGGAGGGCAGTGGAGTTGCATTTCTTGATCGATACCCTTGCTGCCTTTTACTGGGATTCGCAGTTTTTTTTTGTTGTTGTTGCATTTCGTCGAGCATGTGCCGTTCGGTGCTCAATTTTGGGATTTTATTACGTTTTGTTTACATTTTAGTCTCTTCTATCAAGTGCGTCTTGCTTTGGAAATTTATATTTGTATTTTCTGTCGCTCGTTGAATTTCAAGTTTATGAGTTCAGTAATGAAATGTGGTTACTTTACTGTACTGCCACTTAAATAACCTTAATTTTGTTTATTTTTCTTTACTTCTTTTCGCCCTTATCATTTATAGCTTAGCCCTATGTTTTAATTAAAATCAAAGTTATATATGTGCATATGTACACAAAGTTGTTTCTTTCCCTTCATCCAGATGCTAAACTTGGAACAACACACGGAATTGGAAACAGAGAAGCAAAGTGTTTTAAAATTGAATTCTATATTTGATGGGTGTTTTCTCCACCCTTTGCTTCTTGTAAATTGGTATTACTTGATTGAAGCTTTTGGTTGCCAAATCTTCCAGATGTCTGGTTGAGTTGTTGGATCAATTGGATATTGAGAGAAAAATAATAACTCCAATTCAGCCTCTGTTATTTATCTATATTATTTAGGTTCTGCTGGCAAGACCCGGTTGGGGTGATGTGAATATGTTCTTGAAGTGGATTGTAACTTCTGATTCTTATTGTTCAGTTTCTTTAATAYTTAAAGACCAAGCTCCTGTAAGGGAAGTATATAGGTATATTCTTTTTTTTTTCTTTTTTATCTAAGATGAGGCCTTTGCTTCTCTATATTTAAATGATCAACCGAAAATCCACATTTCTTTTTTCATTTTACCAGCATGAAAGCAGAGCATGAAGATTATGTTTTCTCCAGAAATGGCAATGAAGCTAACAGCTAACATTTGGATTCGGCGCCAACAGTGCCCTTGTGGAGATTGGAAATGTTATGTTAGATATGAAGGTGAAGATCAGGCCTCCATAAGTTCKCGGCTCGTGAAGAGCGAGACAGTGGCACCTCTACTGTCATCAGAATCTGTTTTCACTCCCTATGTTGGTCAAATATTCAAAAGTGATGATGATGCCTTTGAATACTACAGCAACTTTGCTCGGAAGAATGGGTTCTCAATTAGAAAAGCACGCTCAACAGAAAGCCAAAACTTAGGGGTTTATAGACGAGATTTTGTTTGTTATCGGTCTGGATATAATCAACCAAGGAAGAAGGCCAATGTGGAACACCCCCGGGAACGGAAATCGGTAAGATGTGGATGTGATGCTAAGTTGTATTTGACCAAGGAAATTGTAGATGGCGCTAGTCAATGGTATGTTTCACAATTTAGTAATGTTCATAATCATGAATTGTTGGAAGATGACCAGGTGCGTCTGCTTCCAGCATATCGGAAAATACAGGAGGCCGATCAAGAACGCATCCTTTTACTCTCCAAAGCTGGATTTCCTGTGAACAGGATTGTGAAGGTGTTGGAGATAGAAAAGGGGGTACAACCTGGACAGTTGCCCTTTATAGAGAAGGACGTTAGGAACTTTGTTAGGACTTGTAAGAAAACTGTTGAAGAAAATGATGCTTTGCTGAATGAGAAAAGAGAGAATGATTTGCTGGAACTTCTCGAGGCATGCAAGGCWATGGCTGAGAGGGATCCAGAGTTTGTTTTTGATTATACTAGAGATGAAAATGGTAAGGTTGAAAATATATCATGGGCATATGGTGATCCTATTCGGGCTTATTCTGTGTTTGGTGATGTAGTTTCTTTTGACACTAGCTATCGTTCTATTACCTATGGGTTACTCCTTGGAGTTTGGTTTGGCATGAACAATCATGGAAAGGCAATTATACTCGGTTGCATCCTGCTGCAGGAAGAAAACTCGCATTCATTTTCTTGGGCTCTACAGGTTTGTGGACGCAATTTCTTGTCCTCAGTGTGCACCTATCTGCATGTGTCTTTTTCACAGTTTTCTTATTTTTAACAGACATTTGTGCAATTCATGAGAGGAAAGCATCCACAGACAATTCTAACTGACATAGATTCAGGGCTCAGAGATGCCATATCAAGAGAAATGCCAAATACTAAACATGTTGTATGTATATGGCATATTCTATCTAAACTATCAAGTTGGTTCTCCTTGCCCCTTGGATTGCAATATGCAGACTTTAAAGTTCAGTTTGATATGTTGTGGCATCTGGAGAATATAGCTGATTTTGAACATCAATGGGATCTCTTGGTTACACAATTTGGTCTTGCTTCTGATAAGCATATAGCATTACTATATTTATATCGAGCATCGTGGCCGTTTTCCTTTATTCGAAGTTCCTTTCTGGCTCGTACACTGACGGTTGATTTCTTTCAATCTCTAGAAACGTTTTTGAAAAGAATCTYGAGTGCACAAACATGTTTACAAGTATTCTTTGAACAGGTAAAAATTAACTGTCTTATTTCTTGTTCTTTCTTGCCGGAGTTGGGGATTTGTACTGGTTATACCATATCAAACTAATATTTTCAGTTCGTTTCATTTGTTTTGTGCAGATTAGTAACACTGCCAGCTCCAGAAGTCAAGCCAAAGAAGGTATGCAGTATTTACATATTAAGACATGCATGCCTATAGAAGAGCATGCACAGAGTATTCTAACACCTTATGCCTTCAATGTGTTGCAAAATGAAATTGTGCTGTCCATGCAATATGTGGCTACAGAAATGGGAAATGGTTCATATCTTTTGCAACACTATAAGAAAATGGATGTCGAGCGTTTTGTTAATTGGACACAAGATGACGAGCAAGTCCAATGTTCTTGTAAAGAGTTTGAACATTCAGGAATATTGTGCAGGCATTCAATTCGAGTACTTGTTGTGAAGAACTACTTTAAACTCCCAGATAAATACCTTTTACTTCGTTGGCAACTACAGAACTCTTTAGGTACTATAGACGATGCACATTCACAAGGTAGAAGTGAAGTGTGCGCCCAAGCTTTTCATTCTCTTGCTGCAAATCTCTTGACTGAGTCCTTGATATCCCAGAAGCGTCTTAATTACGTTTGTAGAGAACTCTCAGGCCTCCTTGAGCATGTCAGAACCATGCCAGTAGTTGACGAGTTTTCCTTGAACACGACAGTAGTAAACAATGTTAATGAACCATAGATATTGTGATCTCACCTCACCAGAGGTTTCCCAATACCATACTTTCTCTCCACCTGGACTTTGCAATTTCAAGAGTTCAAAAGATCTCGGGAAAGGAAATTGAGTGTAGAATCTGCTGAACTCAGTAGATTTCTCATTCCAACCCTGCGGATCAGAAAAACTGGGATTCTTTTAAAAATCCCTGAAGCATCCATTCTTTCACAAGAGTTGTATTCTTTACAGTAACTGTATCGAAAATGGATACGACAAAAATGAAATTTTTACTCTTTTTCTTTTTTTCTTGTAAAAGTGGGAGAAGTACTGTAAAAAGTGAGCTGGAAAGTTGTCTTTCCTGTTTTATCTATTAAATTGCTTCTAGTTTCAGTTGCCTTTGTATAACCAACCCATTAATAATGCCTACGAGTTGATTCGATTCATCATTCTACTTTGATTTACAACTTGTGCTGCTGATTTACTTTCTGCATCTGAATGATCAGATAAACTGTGGCAAAGAGGGCTTGTAGACACTGATTGGGATTAAAAGTTCCCTTTCCATCTCAATTCTGCTGCACTCATTTGTAAACATTCCCTTTAGAGACTGATGGAAAACATTCTTATTCTTTGTGTCTGTTGTTTGTCAGAAACTCAGCAGACCTAATGAATCTGTAGGGTCCCATGAGGAAGTGGATCAAATGCTTGATGAAATTCAGTGTCCCCCCACACTCAGAATGCTGGTATTTTTGCTGTTTGGTTCCTGAGAAACATTCATTGTGGAAACATGGTTTTCTTGTTACCCCCATGTTCTCAAAAATCATTTTCCAAGTAAATTGCCCCTTCCACTGGTGCAAGTACGTGGAGGAGATGCAATTGAGTGGAGAAAATAGTATGGTTGTTAAGCATGCGGCAAAGGCATTATATTTTGTCAGATTCTCCCATAATGAATGTGTTTGATCCTTGTTTGTTTTGTTTCTTTGAAAATAAAATGGGTGTTTGGTGTAATGGGAAGAGAATGAGAATCAATTAGAGAATTAGGATTCGATTCCCTTTCTTATTTTAACTTTCGTAGATCTGAGAATGAGTTGGAGGAGGAAAGATCGTCCACTCTATTTTGTCCAAGAGTAAGAATTATGTACAATCTAAAAGTTCCTTAGTATAGTTGAAACTCTTTCAAGTTTAGAAACTAGATACCATCATCAAAATTCATAGATATATTGAGAATTAGTTTAAACGAAAATCTTGAATCAGYCAATCAAATCATCACAAGTCCARTTAGTCTTTTAAAGTATTATAATCCCAAATTCACATTAAAAAAGGTAAAGAAGAGAGGATGATTTGAATGAGATGAGGAAATATGTGATGTGGGTGAGGATAAAAAAAGAGAGGATGATGTGCCAACTCATTATGAGCTTTAAGACATGCTCACTCCCCCAACATTGGTTTGAGAGGCTGTCCCTACTTGCCTCCCATTGCACCAAAAGCTTCTTCCAAACTCACACCCCTTCATCTAAGCTTGAAAAAGCAAGCCTTTGTCTTCTCATTTTGCAGTTGATAAAATTTCTGAGATCTCAGCTTTGAAAAAGACTTTAACTCATATGCTATCTCGAGATAACTGAAGTTGTTCTTCTTTCAGATATATTTAAAAATAAAAATCAGAATCCGGATTGCATACCAAACAGACCTTAAATTTTCCATTCAGGTTCTTGAATACTTAGAAYTTTGAAACGTATTTCCGAACATTTTCAAACCCTTACCACGAGGGTGTAGGGTCACCCTTTGAGGGGATGGTGATTCTTCTTTCAAAACCACAAATTTGCACAACATCAACTTTTAAGAAATGTGTCAATCTATTGTAATTGTTCTTTTCCTTTTTGTCTAACAAAGTTAAGTAGGAAAATTTAAGCCCTAAGATGAAACCTTACAAAATCAACTATCAGTGAATAGCTGAATAACCGTTGATGGATTCATCTACAATTGACCATTTGATACGACACAGACAAAGTAACTTCATTCGACATATGGTGACTTTTATGTCTTTTAACCATAGAGTCAATGTTTTATGTTTCAGAAAATGACCCAAAATTTGGCGTTAAGACACCCTTTCAAAGGAAGCTTCTTTGAGAGTGGGAACAGACAGATTAGGACAAACAAGAACACATAAACAAAAATACAAACACAAAACAAAGTAGAGAGACAGAGACCAAACACCAAACCAAAGACAATTACAAGAGAGTGGAAGAGTTGGAGCCGTTTATGTCCAAAATATCAAAAGTTTTCTTCAGCAACATCGGATGAGGACATTGACTCATTGGGACCAACTTTTTTTTTTTTTAATAATCAAACTTATCTCAAAAGATATTGTTTTGTGGACTCTTGTTCATGGGCTTCTGGTGGATTTTTTTTTCTCTTTTTTTAGTACCTTCTAGTGGAAGTTAAGGATTAGAACCAACAAGAATTCTTATTTTATTTTAAGAAACAATAAAATAAAATTTAAAGTATTGTTTGGGTTGGGSTACTTTTATAATAGTGAGAAATATAATATTTTTTAAAGGCTAATGATCCATGTCGGACTCTAATATTTTATAAGTTTCAATTGTATCCAATTTTTTAAAATTTGTGTCAAAAGAATAATCTATTATTAATTTTCATTGAAGTGTCTAATGAGAATTACTGGATCAAGATTAAAATTGAAACTTTCTAGAGGTTGTGGGCATAATTAAAATTAACTACATCTGTTGGGAGTATTTTGTAATTTTTTTTTAAATTTTCAATTAGAGTATAAATTGCTAACTGAGGGTTTTATTTGTAACAATTAAAAGGTTTGGGCAAAATTGAAAATTTTAAAAATTTATGTGTAGAATTGGAATCATCTAAAAAAACACCAATGTTCTAAGTATTTATTTATTTATGAAAAATKTCAAGGAACTAAAAACACTTTCTAAAAGTACTCTGGGATGTTGGCGTACTGGCAAGAGGCTTGAGTATTATCACTCGAAATCCAGGTTCGAGCCRGTTGGAAATATTTTCTACCTCAAAAAAGAAGTATTATACTTYTAAAAAATAACTTAGGTTGGTCAATAACATCTTTATTTTTGTTTAATAATCTACATTTTAAAATACATTTTAAAAAATCCCATTTAAACCTTGAAAATTTACAAAACTCTTAGTAGACAACTTAAATCTTTTAAGATTCTTAGACACAATTATTACCAAAAATAGTTTTTTTTCCCTTGTTTATACCAATGCAATAAATAATTCAATGCTAATTATGCCCAATATGAAACCACACCTCTGAAAAATTTGGCAGGTAAAATTATTTCTATACCCCTCAAACAGAGGGGAAACTAAAATTTACAAGTCAATTAATAAACAAGCACTTGCTGTAATTCAAATTTGATTTCTGCCTTCATTTTCCTAATAAATTCTTCACATTTTTGGTTCAATTCCTCATTGCTCAAACCCCCATCTTCTTCTTCTTCTTCTTCTTCTTCTTCATGTTCTTCATCCTCTGTTATCAATTTTTCACTCTCTTCTTGTTCTGCAACCAACCCATTTTCCCTCTCTTCTCCATCTTCAACTTTGCTCTCAACTTTGCCTCCGCCGCCCTGTTCCTCGCCGGAGCCGCCGATGAGGCCGGAATTTCTGACAATGAAGACGAGGAGGCCATTGCAGAGCAAAAAGATGTAGTTTTTATGGATAGTTGCAGAGATGTAGAGGTTGAGAGAGTGGAGAAAAGGGAGGAGAGAAGAGTACAACACCATGGCAGAGAGCAGAGAAGCTGAGATTAGAATCTTCATTTGTGGAAGAAATTTGAAGATTTTGGCTCAAGATTTGCTGATTTTGGCCAATTGGGTCGATTGGGTTCTTCAAAAATTTCACAAAGATGGAAACTTTTTTGAAGAAAATTGGTGCGACTGGAATTGGGTGTTTAAAAAATGCTTTCTTTTTGCTGGTTTTATAGTGGTTTGTGGAGCCATGTGTGAACACTGAGAGTTGTGATATTACAATATTGCCCTTTTGCATGTGGGGTGGTGTGCAATGATTTAGGGGTAATTTGGGTAGGGCGTGCTGAGTCAGTCAACTTTTTGTTTTATTTCATTTTATTCTTTCAATTTTTGTTCCTTGGAGATTTTTCTTTTCTTTTGAGGAAGACTTTTGATGACGGGTGACTTTTTAATGTTATTGTACGAGAGGATAATTACTTTGTGTTCCATGTGGATCATTTTGGTCAATGTTGTTTGATCATATTATTTCTTTAAACTTCATTAATTGGAGGAATTTTGTGAGCAGGTGAATTTCCCAAACCACCCTCCCCAACCTGGATTCGTCCCACACTTGATATTTTAACAAATTTGCCACTCGAAGGGAATCGATTTCAATCTCTAGCTTGAAAAGGTCAAGTTCAATAGCCATACTAAACTTTCTCTAATGGCCAAAGCTTCGACAACTCCTTCCCACACAAACTAGAGTGCATGCGGTTCCATCTCAAAATCAATTGGCAATAAGAGGAGTTATAAACCATTATAAGATCCTTTTTCTTTTCAATGTGGGATCCTTAACATGCCCCCTCAAGATCGTGGCTCTTTTGGCTCATCGATCTTGGTCGAATCCCATTTTTGGACCGGATGCTCATTTGAGCTTGTTGGGCTCTGATACCATATCAATATTTATGAGGTTCCATCTCATTATCAATTAGCAATAAGAGGAGTAGCCCGTATCTATTATAAACCATTGTAAGGTCTCTTTTTTTTTCAATGGGGGATCTTTAACAAGAAACACTTGGCCTTTTGAGTTTCAAATTACAGCTCCAGTTCCCCTTTGATTGATTGGCGCTCAAATTGCAATGTCAATGTTCATTTTTAGACATTCGTCGGTCGAGGGTAACCAGCAAGCTCATTGAACGTCATTAGTCGGTGTTCATTATAATACAAATTCTATGTATAATGTAGACCCATTAAAATAAAGTTGTTATTATATTTCAAGAAATATATTGAATACAATGTCAAGTTGAAATTGTGATAGAAAAGATGAGATTAAGAATAAAATTAGGAGACTAAAATGATCCTTAAAAATACAACGACCAAAATGAACATTTTAAAATTATAGGAACTAAAATGAACTAAAACTGAAATTACAAATATCAAAATAACATTCGAAAGTAAAAGAGAAAAATAGACCAAAGTTGAAAGTTCAGGATCTCTCAACTTTTGACTTGATTTATTTTGGTCTTGTACTAAAATGACCAATTTGGTCTCAAATTGCAACATAGATTTTATATATAATGGAAATCTTTTAATATAAATTTATGGCTACATTTAAAAAATTAGTGAGGGAGTGTCAAACAAAAATTATGATCGAAATAAATGAGATAAAAATAAAAATGAACTAACCAAAATTATCATTTTTTTAAAGTACAAATGCTAAAATAGAAAATGTAAGGACTAAAATGAACAAAAAATTAAAAATATAGAGACTAAAATAGATATTTTGGGAGAACCAAAAGCATTTAACCAAAGCTAAAATAATGTTTTATTATTTTGGAATTTTCTTTCTTTTTTTTTGTTGCGAAGTTATTTGTTAAATTGAATGATGTATAACTAAATGAAAAAAATATTTTCCTAAATAACTTTTGGAAAAAAAATTAGAAAATATTAATTTCCCAAGATAAAAATGTAGCAAAATTACACAAATAAATTATTTATTTTGTCATATTTATGTTGCAAGAAAATATAAAATCATCTTTGAAGGTTTCAAAATTATTAATGTATGAGTTGCAACAAGTCAAGATCATTTTTCTTTTAAAATTTAATTGTTGTCCCCTTTTCTCTTGACTTTAGTGGACTTGAAAATAATAAAATATAAAAGCCAAGGTGGCTCTAAAATGTGAACAAAGTGAGAGTATGTTGAAATTTAGAACTTTCTTTTGTGTTCACATTTTGCTAGGCAACAACTTCTCCATCAATTGGTCATTAATAAATCAATTGTCTATAAATTTTCGTCGACACGTCTATATTTCTATCAACATTTCTATATGTTTGTAAGTTCGATCTCTGGCCTAAGAGAAGTAAATGAATATTTACATTATATCGCAACAAAATCGATAAAATATAAAATAAAAACAAAATATAACCACGAGAATAATACTAATTTTTAAGTTATTAAAAAATGATAACGTGATTATTTGTTATGATTTTTTTTATTTTTTTTAATATTTTGTAAATATCCATTTATGACATTTTATCGATATATTCATCGAGATTTTTATGAAATTGAAAAATCGACATTTAAAATATTGATTTTACTGATTAACCTAGAAGCTTAGAGATTTTTTTTAAAGAATACAAAGATACATTTTTCTAAATATTATGGATATGATGTTAATATTAATAAATTTTAACTTACTCACGAATTCTCATTTACTATAAATTCTTCTATTTCATGACTTTTCCATAAATATTCATGACATCAACATTTTATCGATATTTCTGTGAAAGACAAATTTATTATGATACACCATATGTTATCGATGAATAGATTTGCCATCCTTTTAAATCTCTCTTCCGATTAAAATTGATTTTTGAAAAAATAATATTTTTTAAAAGTGAAAGTTCTTTTTGAAAAGAATATTAATTACGCGTTTTTCCCTGAAATGCACTTTAAGTAGTTCTTCTGTAAAAATCAAGTGATTAACATTGTGAAAGGTTAATAAATAAAATATCTGAAAAATGATTTCATACATGCTAACTTTGTAAATTTGATCAAATAATTTATACAAGTCTTTTCTTAATAAGAAAGTAAATTGATGCATAAAATTTGAAAATAAAGGAGGCATTACTAAGGTGCTAACTTAAAAAAAAAATAAGTAATTTTTCAATTAATTATACCTTAACTGTCAAAATATTATATGTTTGTTCTAAAAGTTAAAATAAATTATAAGAAAACGTGGGGTTTTCCTTTTGGGCTAAAAAGCCCACAACCCTAAGTTAGTAAAGGCCCACGAGGTTTCGGCCCATAAATATGGACTTGAGGCCATAGTCCTTCAAGACTTTTGGGCTAAAAAGCCCACAATCCTAAGTTAGTAAAGGCCCACAAAGTTTCGGCCCATAAACACGTATGGACTTGGAGTCGTTCAACACCTAATTAATAAAATGTCAAAAAAAAAAAAGAAAAACAAATATTTACAGATTTATCAAAATAGAATTCTATTTATGATGGATTCACACCAGCATTAAGATAAATAATATCAGCTAACCTATAATTATTATCCATGTGAGAGATTTGAAAAAGTAATAGATGAGTAGGATTAGTTGTTCTAAGTGAATGATACATTAGGTATTAAATGAAATAATAAGTGAAATGGAATATGAGGGATTTTTAGGATTGATTGTTCATATTCGCATTTTTATATATATTATAGATATAGATATAGATAAACCTGAGAAGTAAATCGATATTTCTATAGTTCGAAGCGCAAGATTCATTTTAATTTTTTACTTATCTAGAAATGGAGAAATGCTTATTTGTTAATTTAAACATTTTTTGCATTTTGTATTTCTATTATGTTTATAGAAATATCCATAGATGTTGATATTTTATCGATATTTCGATCAATATTCTCATGAAATTGAGATCTCGACATTTTCATTATCGACCTTTAAAATCTTGCGTTGAAGTGACTTGATTCCTAAAAATTTAAAAAAAAAGGTTAGAGTTACCAATTTTATATAATAAAAAAAGTTGATAAATGACTTATCTACGTTAACGTACTTACAAATTAATTATAATTTTAAAAAATTACAAATCTAAGTCACTACTGGTCAGTACTTTTTTTTTCAGTACATTTTCAATTTTGTATCAAAATACATGTAATTAATTTCTTCACTAATATGAATTAAAAAAATATAAAAAATAGAGAAGAACATGATATTATAGAATTTAGGGTAGCATCGTAAATATCTTCTTAAAGAAGTTGTTTAAATCTCATTAATGTTCTAGTTGTATTACCTTACTGGACAATGAAAAAAACCAATGACATGACCGGTCTAAACCGGAAATGGATCGATTCCAGAAATCGAAAATTTTACTCGATGCAATTCTTAAATTCGATTTTCTCCATTTGGTCTTCTTGGGTCGATGGAGTCATTGTCGGGTGCCAAGATCTCTCCGACCTCGGATAGAGGAGACGAAATTCCTGCCAACGAGATTTGAGAAGGAAGGATTCGAACGAAAAACCCGATATGGATGTGTAAGGGGAAATGGATCCAGCTCGCAGTAGGGCGACAAAAAAAAAAGAGAACTCGACGGGAACAATGGCTAACAAAGACCGTGGCTCTACGACTCCAAGAGCCTCAACAGTCTGTCCCGCTCAACCTTATCCTGTTGACACATGAGGTACGTCTTCACATATTCAGCAACATCGTCCCTCACCGATTGAATTTGGGAGGGGACAGCGGAACCAGAGCCACGGATGGCGGGGTTTGAAATTGAAAAGCTAGGGTTTTTTAACCTTGTCCTTTTCTTTTTTCTTTTCTCAACAAAACCATATATGAACTCGGTTCGGTTTGGTTTTTGAATCAAACCAAACCTATCTGTATGGATCATACGCCCTTGGAATTGCCGTCTTCACTGTTTCTTTACTGCAAAATTACAAATTGTCCTTTCCATCGGCCTCTTCGATAACTCAAAAGGTCAAGACTTTTGCAGCTGGTCACATTCGATGGCTTCAGATTAGGGAGCCCCAAATCAAATTCATTGCCGATTATATATGTTCAATTGTAGAAAACAATCCCATTTTCAATTTGTTATCGTTCACGAGCTGCTCAATCTAAGCCATGTCCATGGATTGTCAGTTCAGGTTCCCTTCTTCTTCAGCTGCCTTCGTGCCGTCTTCTGTTAAGAATGACACGATTCTACCCAGAAATTTTATCTTGTCGCCAAGAAAAACGCATTTCCCCTCGTGGGTCTCTCAAATTTCTGTAAGAAATTGTGTTAGAGAGCACCTCATGCTCAAATCGTCTAATGGGCATCCTCTGAATGCAGTTTTTTTACCAGATGGTGGGTAATTTTCTGCATGTGCTTTGTTTTCTGATTCGGTTGTTTCTGGAATTTGTTACAGCTTACACTACATGAAAATCTTTTTTTTTCACCTTGACTAAGATGGTGTTAGAGAGAAATAGTTTTTAATAGTTAAAGCAGCGCTGTTTTCCATATCATTAGATACTCTTTTTGTTGATAACTCTTGCTTGAGAAGTTAATCGTCTATAGAGCTTACTGGAAAGTTAGTGACTTATGCGTTGTTGCTCATTGATCCTGGTATCTGAAAAAGAATGAGTTGACACTTTCTGAAAGCCGCATCCCTCCATGTTTTGATGCTTTTTATTTGAAATATATTCGTTCATCTTGTCTCAAATGTATGTTTTTCTCTTTTTTGGTTATCCATTTTGTTGCTTAAACCTGAGTGGGACATGAACTTAGGTAGTTCGGCAAGTTCCCTCCTCAGTGAACAAGTTGCACTTCAAGAGGAAGACATATCTATTCCAGATTCGGATAAAGTTAAATCTACACTCAGTATAACCGTTGTCGGAGCTTCTGGTGACCTGGCCAAAAAGAAGATATTTCCTGCACTTTTTGCTCTTTATTATGAGGATTGTCTACCAGAGGTCTTATCTCATGCCACAAGTCTGCCTTCTATTTATTTTAATTGAGTTTATGAACTCTGATGAGTCAGAAAGTAAATGTATTCTGAAAGAGCTGACTAATTTCTTTCTTTTCTTTCTCCTTTTCAGGATTTTGTCGTGTTCGGTTATGCTAGGACTAGTATGTCAGATGAGCAACTCCGAAACATGATTAGTAAAACTTTGACTTGCAGAATTGATAAGAGGTATTGTAGTTATTGCTAAATCAATATACATTTATGATCACAAACTTTTGCTTCTGTTTACATATATTGATACACAACATGGAATTGCAGGGAAAACTGTGAGGACAAGATGGATGAGTTTTTAAAAAGATGCTTTTACCATTCTGGTCAGTATAGCTCTGAGGAACATTTTGCTGAGTTGGATAGAAAATTGAAAGAAAAAGAGGTAAACTCTATCCTATCCCCTGATACAAGATGATAACTAAGATTCTATGTATTATGTCATTTTCCATTAGTAATTTTACTGGTGATCATTAACAGAACTCAACAATGTATGCGATCCTATATAAAGCTCCTTCTGAACCTTATCTCAGCCTCAGGAGAGGTGGGTATGGGTTTCTGCTATTGATTAGGTGTTCATAAGGAATTTTTTAACATCTTCCAAAACTCTAGATAGATCCACCTATCCTAGAGTAGCATATATGACTGACTTTTGATTTCTTTTCTTTTCTGTATTATATCTGAGTATAGTGTACTTGTATCCCTCTCCCGTCGCATTGGTTCATTGGCACTGGGGTGGAAATAGGAAAATGAAAACTTTGTAGTTACTGTTGAGTTATTTTAGTTACCATAGATCCACGAGGTGTTGGAGTTGTCAAATGTTGTGCCATTATGAAGTTGGATAAATGGGATTAGTTGAGTTGCATGTAAGTTGGCTTGAACACTCCTAGAAGAGAAGAAGAAGAAACACTGAGTACTGGGTGTTATTTGATTTTACCTCTTGCTTCTGCCAAACTCTTGGGTATGCTTGAACTTTGACTTTTGAAAAGAAATATGAATATGCCATGGTTGTCATCAGCTAAATTGAACTTTTACTCCTTTGGTAACTCAAGTACTGATTTGCATTTTCATCTTGACTGAGGCAATATGTTCTATGTTTCGATAATAAGCTTCTTCCTTTCAGGCTGGAAAATTATCAAATAGGTTATTTTATTTATCAATTCCTCCAAACATATTTGTGGACGTTGTCAAGTGTGCTAGCCAACGGGCTTCCTCAGGAAGTGGTTGGACCAGAGTCATTGTTGAAAAGCCATTTGGCCGTGACTCAGACTCTTCAGGTGAGCTAACCAGAAGTTTAAAGCAATATCTCACAGAAGACCAAATATTCAGGTGAATCTCTTAAACTATTTGAATTGCTAGATCTAAAGAATTAAGTTGACTTTTAATGATAATTTTTTTAGGATTGATCATTACTTGGGCAAGGAGCTCGTGGAGAATCTGTCAGTTCTTCGGTTCTCCAATCTTGTCTTCGAGCCTCTTTGGTCTAGGGACTATATCCGCAATGTTCAACTGATATTTTCTGAAGATTTCGGTACAGAGGGGCGGGGAGGGTGAGTGTTGCATCCATGTGATATTCCAGCTTTTGGAAACGATAATAAAGGAACATAAATTTTTATTTTTCATGGACGAGATTAGTCAACTTCCTTTTGTTCTTTTCCAGATACTTCGACAACTATGGAATTATACGAGATATAATGCAGAACCATCTCCTTCAAATTTTGGCTCTATTTGCTATGGAGACACCTGTCAGTCTAGATGCTGAGGACATCAGGAATGAAAAGGTGCTTAATTATTTTTCTTCATATGCTTTTCGGGTCATGGCAATTTGCTGCTGCATCAAGTAAACATATATAAGGGCCTAGCTTTGAAATTTACTGGAAAGATTTATTTAACTTTGGACATTATCTTGATGGTTTCTTCGTTGTTATATGAGTGATTAGTGTCTTTCGTTGTGATTCAGGTCAAGGTTTTGAAGTCAATGAGACCTCTGCAACTTGAAGATGTAGTTGTTGGGCAATATAAGGGCCACAACAAGGGTGGGAAATCATATCCTGCTTATACAGATGATCCAACTGTTCCTAATGATAGCATCACTCCCACATTTGCGGCAGCAGCGATTTTTATTGATAATGCTAGATGGGATGGGGTGCCTTTCTTGATGAAAGCTGGAAAGGCCCTACATACAAGAAGGTTGGCGTTTTATCCTTTACAAAGATCTTTTCCGCTTATCATTTTGCCTCACATGTTTGTAACGGTGACAATACAGGGCAGAGATCAGGGTTCAGTTCCGACACGTCCCAGGAAACTTGTACAAGAGGAACTTTGGAACAGATTTGGACAAAGCTACAAATGAGCTTGTGCTGCGTGTTCAACCTGACGAGGCTATTTATCTGAAGATCAACAATAAGGTTCCTGGTCTTGGAATGCGATTAGATCGCAGTGATCTGAACTTGCTGTACCGAGCTAGGTATGAGAATTACAGTGGTGTATGATCTGGTCTTGATAGTTGCATTTTCTTTAATGCTTCTTTTCAGCTTCCAGATTTTAGGTTTATTTCCCCTTATATCTGCTACCTTTTTTGGTTTTTAATATAGCATGAAAACGGACGAGTTGAACCATTAATGATTCCTGACTTGTACTTGTAGTACTAGAAAATAAAAAGTAACTCTCTCAAGCACTGATGATTTGAGCAGAGAAATAACATGTATAGGAAATTTCAAACTACCAGATGGCTTCCTGTTGATAATTTAGTGTTCATGTGAAGGTACCCCAGCGAAATACCGGATGCATATGAGCGGCTACTTTTGGATGCTGTTGAAGGGGAGCGAAGACTATTCATTAGGAGTGATGAGCTGGATGCTGCATGGTCGTTGTTCACCCCATTGTTAAAGGAACTCGAAGAGAAAAAGATCGCTCCAGAGCTTTATCCATATGGCAGCAGGGGACCTGTTGGAGCTCACTACTTAGCTGCAAAGTACAATGTAAGATGGGGAGATCTCGGTGAGGACCGTGAACCTTAGGTAAGTAGCTCCATGTACAATTTGGCATGGCCATGGCAAGTAAGTTCACATTCACAGTATTTGATACATCATGTGTACAATGTGCTTACACAGTGGATTAAGGCTTTTGTATTGTGAGGGAGCTGTGGATGGTAGATGATATGCACTCTTGTCAAGTGATCAATCAAATCTCAATTCAAGGCAGATGAATTTGCATAATAAAAGCCTACGAAAACTTGTGGTACCAATGTTGTATCAACTTTTTCAGTGTTATGGAAGCATTGTTTCTTGTGGCATAGAATACTTCCATTCTTAACATATTCTCAATTTCAAATGCTTTCGCTTTGTTATAAACAACAGCAAATAATGGCTGTCATAGCAGATGGTTCAAAAGCTTTCTTTAAATAACGTCAAAGATTTAGATATCAACATCTGTGGAAAATTTCAAGTGAACTTTTTTTTTTCTTCTGGTCAATGCCTTGAGCAGTGAACAATTTTCATCATTTGCATATTAGAGCTGTATGGGCGAAGGAATTTTGGATAAATGCAGATTCTCCTGGTGAAAAATGTAAACAGTAACAATAAAGAGAGCAAAAGGTTGCAGCTTTCAAATTGTTATTTCATATGGGTTTTACAGAAACAAAACTATACAGGGTTTTAAAAGCTAATGATTTTATCTCTAATCATGCTTGAGCAATTCCTTTTTTCACAACCATGTCATAAACTCTATCTACTTTACTTGGATCCACCTTGAACAGGCCATGAACATCGGATTTCTTAGTAACACTGCCCTTTAACATCTCAACTGATATGATGTCCACCATTTTGAGATAATGAGCTGGTAATATTCTGATCTCACAGCAAATTCGTCTCTCCTACAAGATGGCAACATCGAATAACGATTAAATATAATATTGAATAACGATTGATCACCCAAGTAGCAGTCGTAATTGAAGGTTTGCTTCTCTCTAGTTTGATATGACAGGCAAGTCATGCCAGTCATATGCCAACCTTAAAATTTTAGCCCAACAATGTCAACTGAGAATAAAACCAATGTCCAATGAGGGGAAGACAAGAAAAATCTCACCATTTCAGATAGTAAATCGACGCCTGAAAATCCCGAGATGTCCCAGTCGTGAACTGAGCTTGAAATCCATGTCGTTGCCGAGGATGGTTCCTTGTTGCTGCCTTGTGATCTAGGGGATTCCTTAACATTGCCCTCGTCATCATGTTCTCCTTTGAGAAGATTTGATACTGTGTCACTTGGAACAGCTTGACTACTTTCCTTAATCCTCTTGTTACTCTCTCTGGTCTCTTTTCTTTTCTGATCAAAAAGTCTATTTGATTCGGCAACCGTTCTACAGCCAGCAGCTCGAGCTTCCTATACTTACAGGGATTAGTCAAATCATACAACAGAAGGATTAACGACAATATGATTCTGTTTGATTCTGTTAAGTAGTCTCAGAACAAGAAATTGGATCATATAGAGCATATACAAATCCTCATCAGTTCTATTTGTTTTCAACCCAGATAACCACTTTGCCAGTTTATTTCTCATTCCAAACAGCACTACATAATGAACTGATTGCATCAAGCAACTTCATAATTTAAACAAAAAATAGCAAATAATTATACCTGGAGTTCTTGTATTCTCTTCACTATGCGATGTTCTTCAATTAGATTTTTAAGAAGCTCTTCGTGGTCCTCTTTGGAGTGGAACCGCATAAAGACCTTATAGGGCTGACAGATTGCCCTCTCTTCAGGAGATAAATGTTTATCAAACGGGTCCGAGTAAAGTAGATCTCTGTCCAGTATGAAATCCTTCCTACGTTTCCTTTCATCAAGCCTGCCAAAAGGTCAAATGCATATAAATCTTGATGATTGATGATCAATGAAACAAATTTTGCCAAAATATATGCATTCCAAAAGCTGTATACACACTATCACAAAGCAAGCAGGATAAAAGTATTGATGCTTTTGGTTGACAATTTTTCAGAGTTTAAAAATAACCCCTCTAAGATGGTAATGATAATACTAAAGTGTTTTTATTTGTTTATAATATAAATGGAGTATAGAGAGTCTCACTCCTTCCATTATTCTCATGATCTACCCCACTGGTCTCTAAGGAGGGTTTGCCCATCTAAAGGTCACAGAAGATAACAACGGTTTTTAAACAATTAAGTTTTCAATATGAGGCTTAAACCTAAAATATTCTATTAAATCACCACTGAACCCTACTGAACCCTCGGACCCCTAGAGAGCTTAAATTGATGGGTTAAGTTTAATATTTTTTTTATCAATATTTTAATACTTCCCCTCACTTGTGGCCTTTAAAATTAGCACAAGGCCCAACAAGCAGTATCAATATTAAATGGAGAGGAGAAGACATTCTAGGGGTTCGAACAAAGCTACTCCTCAATACTATGGTAAATCATCATTGAACCCAAAAGGCTTAAGCTAATAGGTTATGGTAAATTTAATCGTCAAATACTTTAACCCATTCAAACACCCTTAAGCCCTTTATACCAAAATAACAAGATTCTGAGTAGCAAAATAACCACTATATCTAAATAGTAAAGTGGTTTTGTTGCACCTCTTTGAGTATATGCGTAGAATCCTCAATTTAAGTTCATGGTCAGCTTCAGAATCAGTGTCTTTGAATTCCATATCTGCCAGTAAATGCTCAGCATCATTGTCATACTCAATATCAAACTCCTTCCGCTTGAAGTTATATCCACTCAACTCAACCACGGAAGGCCCAATGTCACCCAACACCCTAGGTTTTTTCTCACTAAAGCTTCTGTCTGCTTCGGATTCTGCAAAAATAAAACAAAAAAACCTTAAGGAAACAAAAAAACTATCTGTAAACGAAGATGCCAAATTAAGTGGGTCAGGTTATCAAGTGCCGTACAATGCTCATGTTCTTGGCAACGATAAGTCACATGGGTTAAAATTCCATAGGCTTCAAAGCAAATCAATTTAGATACAAACCAAGCGATGGTGAAAATATTACAGCAACTCAAGCAAGGAAGCTAAAGTTGACAAAATGCAGAAAGCAAACCTCCTTGTTTGGTTTCATCCTTAATCTGTGGTTTGTTGGACTTCTTTACTGCACCTGAAAATGTGCTACCACTAATTGAACCTACAAACAATTTCACCTAATATCGTCAGAAATTGAACATGTTACAAAATGCAAATCCCTTCTTAGGATCACATTTTCATACACGAGAGTGCAGAAAAAACATAAACATTTACTAAGCTACCTGCAGTTCCACTTGATGAGGTTTGATGGGCAGAGTCTTCTTTCTTTGACTCTTCACATCTGATCAAAACATATACATATAAGAATGTTTAGAGGGACCAAACAATGAAAACGGAGGAACATGAACAAAAATGAAAATAATTATACTTGATTCTCGCTGATGGTGAAGACCCTTCATTGAGGTTATGCTCCCCTATCATAGGAAACTCTGCAGTAAATAATACACAAATAGTCTCCTCAATCTGTACGAGAATATTTAAACGTGTAGCCCTCACAAGAGGAAATAAGAGAATATTTAGCTGGAATCTGCAGCAGAGGAAAAAGAGTGTAATTCCAACAAATATGCATGCATAAATTTCTATTTCAGAAAAATAAGAGCCCACTGGATGACAGTCCAAATGCAATATCAATGGACCCAATAAAGAAATATGTGAGTAGTAGTAGGACTTATAAAAACATATATTATCCTTCAACAAACGAAGTTAGACCACAGTTACACTTAATCTTAGCCAAAAGGCCAAAGAAGGTATAGTTTGTCCACAATTATGCACCAAAACAATTATCAAAAGAAACAGATTCATGAACTTTAATATCAAGGTACCAGTCAACAATGGGAAAGAGACTCACATGGTTCATTACCTTTCTTGACCTCACCAGGGACTGTAGCCATGGCAAGGAGCTCCTCCCTACTCTTACCCATGACATGCGACAGGTCCTAAACAAAGAGTAGTGAAGAATGTCGTTATTTTCAGTCTCAGATGATTGTTTATGTATAGAAGAGCAAAAGCAGCTTATGTTTAAGTTAATCTGACAGACTTACTGGAAGAGGGAAGCAAGGGGAGTTCATATATACGGCACTATAGTGATTGAGACACTGAGACTTGCTTTTGGTTCCAACATGCTCTGCAACTCCATCCCAGTTTCCAAATCCATACACTGCAATGCCCTGAATATTGGGTGATTGTGGCCCAAGATGAGGATTAGTGAGGGTAGCAAGATCTTTGATGGGAAAACTTGATCAAAGTATTTTGAGTAATTTCCAACAGATGTTACAAAATGCCAAAGAGTTGAGCAAATATCACCAACCATCTTAAGTATAGGATATTAAAAAAAAGGCAGAATAAATGATAAATGATGAAGTGGATATATGTAGTTGAAATTTATGCGATCATTAAATAGAATGATATTACAAATAAGCTTTAAGAAACTACAATAATGTTGGCTGTGTATTCGGATCAGTAACCAGACAATAACAAAGCATGAAAGTTGATTATAATTGAGAATGAAAGGATGTGTCGTATTTTTCAGAAGGATGAAATGAGCAACATAGTTTTCTTAGAAAGGGCAGGGCCTTTGTTATGGCAGGCTTGTTTGTTGCCATCTTGTGGGGTGTTTGGTTGGAAAAGGAATAACAGAATTTTTAGGGGAGTTGAGACTTGAGAGGTTCTGTGGTAGGTTTGGGAGACGGTTAGATTTAATAGCTCTCTTTGGGTCTCGGAGTCTAAGACTTTTTTGTAACTATCAGTTAGGTGTCATTATTTTGGATTGAGTTCCTCTTTTATCGGGCTTGTTTTTTGTATGCCCTTTGTATAGTCTTTCATTTCCTCTCAATGAAAGCTTTGGTTTCTCATCTAAAAAAGAAAAGATAGCCTGCTTAGATGATTGAGTTAAGGATGCAATCGTGTGGCCTAAATCAACCTAGGAAAGGAAGGGTAGAGTTAGAACAATACTTGTAATAGAGAGAAAAGATATGATCATGACATATATGTTTGAAACCTTGATCTATGTATACATAAGAAGACGAAAAAGTTCTTGTAGAAGACCTCAAATAATTATCATCATACCTCCAAAAGTAAGATCTCTTCATCTGCATGCCAATCTGGACATATAAGAGGAAATGACAAGTTATCCTGTCAGAAAAGTTTTGGCATTTTATGAGTTAATGTGTGTAAACAACCATCAATAGTTTAGGCAACTCAGATCCATTAAAAGAAAAGAACAACAATAATGATAGATATAAGTTAAAGAAAACTCTTGATGGTACCACTAGGTTCAAAAGAACAATGGTGGGAAGTGTTTGAGTTGGCTATATTTCATGCTTTGCTTTGGGTTTCTTTAGATAGTAAGTTTAGAATCTTTTGTAATACATTCAAATTGGGGTGGATTCTTGTAACTTCCCGGGGGAAGGGGGTATTTCAGTGTAATATTTTTCCTTCTGATTTACTTTGAACATTATAATTTTTGCTTAATAATGAAAATTCTGTTAAAAGTGAAAATATCTTAACCCCCTTTTAGAACTTAGCCTCATTTAAGTAAAGCTATCTTGAAAAAATAAATGGAAAGTTCACCTTATTAATTCAAAATTATAGGCCTTTGGAGGTTAAATGGTTCCATTAGCAAAAATAATTGAACCATTTCAATGACTTAATCTATTTTGTATTACACATCAAGAGCAGGGCAGTTTTACATAATATTTGAACTTCCCTGTCGATATTGTAACCAACTTCTATATGTGACAATTAATTCAACTCATTTATCTCAACTTCTTACTTTAGCGAGCTTTCACTCAAAAGTAAACATCTATGATCTTTGAGTAAGGGATGAGGTAAATAATAAGCCGCTGGTTATATTAAGGAACAATACTACTATTCAAGTTTATGAGCCGATGCCCATAGTTGCCTTATTATCAGCAGAAAACTGTATGGAAAGGACTTCTCAATCCCAGTACAACATATATTTGTTAAAAAACAAGTAGAGGAAGATAGATACTTAATTTAGACCCTTAACGAGGAACCATGCCCAATGGTTTATATAACAAGGGCCAAGGTAATAACATAAGCAAATAAGTAATAACAATAATCATAAGGGCAGCCGGACACTCACCATAACCCTATAAGGATGATTGCTTTTATGAGGTGTAAGCTCTGCTCCAACAGAAAAGCACTCCACGCAAAGGTCAAAATCTGGACATGCCACACACTTCATGCGAATCCTCCCTGACAAATCCTTGTTGCAGTAATTACAATGGTATAAGGCCACTTTTCCATCCCTCGATTCCTGACCTACTAAGATAATAGTTGAAGCTATATAAATACTACTTAAATGGGTCAAAGAATAACGAAAAAACAGCAGAATGACATTACTGATAACCCAACTATAAATCCCATTTTTCATCACTCATTTCTTGACCTATTATGCTAATAGCTCTTACAGGAAAACTGTCGAAAAGGGCCAAGAGGATAAAGAAAACTGCTGAAAACACAATACCAGCATGACTGAAGGGAATTGTGTGGAATGTGGATACTGCATCTATTAGTGAAAAAAGGTACTACAACCTTCGGTAAATCATAAATGAAAGGTAGGACCCATCTCTCTCTCTCCAATAATATTACAGGAGAATACCTGCAGCTGAATTTGTAGCCTCTGTGAAATTAGGCCTTTTCCTCTTCGGTTTACTGAAAAAATGGACTCAGAGAAGTACAACATGAGAGCCACATAGAAGAATTTTGTACCAAATAAAGAATAACTCCATACCAAGTATTAACCAAGAACATGTACTCTTAAAAAAATAATAATGGTGATGATGATAAACCCTCTTGTCACGCAGGTTGAACCAACGAGAGACTAAAAAGGGACAAGAAAAGAAACGAAAAGAAAAAGTTCAGTTCATCGAATGATTCAAACTTTATTCTTACATCCTGATTGACATCCTACACAGCCTACGCCGAAAGCCAAATATAATGCAGAAGCTTGTAGGAAATGACCCTGCAATTGCACTGCTATTCTAAACCATGTGTTTCAATTTAAGTGTCTTTTGGAGGGTAAATGACTGATAATAAACATATTCCAGAAAAAATGAACTAGGAAGACTAGTATGGAAGATTCGCCAACTTTTCAATTGAAACCAATTAGAGCAAGAAGCGAGCTATTAAAAGAAGCTAAGACAGAGCTTGATTAGCTCGTAAAAATTCACGAAACAAAAATTAAGGCATTCTCCATAGCTGAAGTTTCGAGAAACCCAAACAGAAGCAGATTAGCTCAAATTCAAAGCTAGAACGCTCAAATGAAAACACAGACCTCTGATTAGGGTCGTCATCTTCGAGACGCGACACCATCCGAGAACGACCCATCGATCCAAATAACGGAATTTCAGTTACAGAGTGAAGGAGAGCAGAGCACAAATTTTCTTATTACAACTTCCGTTCCGAAATTGGGGCGTCTCCCTGGTTCTTCTCTCTCTCTAGTTTCGCTCAATTTTATTTGGGCCTTGTCACCGCTTCGGCCCACATTCGCGCTGATGCTGATGCACCCCAAGTCGCCATTTTTCAATCCGACGGCCAGGAGAGGTTGAAACCCAATACATCTCCGCCATTCAATAAACGCTCCTTCTCTTCCTCTCGCCGCCGAACGACGGATACCCTCTCGCCGCCGGCGATTCAATTGGCGGAGAGAGAAGACGAAGATGGGTGAAAGGAAAATTTGCAGTCGTCTCTAAATTCAATCAAAGCTTCTGTGGGCTTTTGGTTTTGGCGGATCACAGTAGTGGGATTTGCAGCGAAGAGGTAATTTTGTTTAAATTTTCGTTTTTTTCCCCTTCTTTCGTCGTCTTCATCAATCTTGCTTCTTCCTCCCATTGCTGTTGTCTTCGGTGGACCGGTGGTGCTAAAAAGGCCGGTTACATCTAAGACCTGACCGAACCGGTCTAAACCAACCGGTTTGCTTCTCTTTTTACTATTTTTGTTTTTATGAAAGGGGGCTGTTATTGATATTATATTATCTAAATTAAAATGGACAAAATAGATTATCAGTTTCCATGGGATAACGACAACTTATGTCTTTCAATATACATCAATTTAATATTGATAAAACAAAATCTTTATTGAATCAGAAATAAAAAATCATTTTAATTGTTCCAAAATCTCTATACAGTTTTGAAATTGTTTTAAAAGAATAAAAATAAAAAACATAAGTAGTTTTCCAAAAATTAACAAATGAAAGTCATCAAATAAGTTATTATTAAATGGATCTTGAACCATCAATATTTTAAATTTAAAAATCAAATAGAAAYTTATTTTTAAATTCGGGATAAAAAACCACCGAGGAGGTGGTCGAATGGGGATACCCTTTTCAATTCGAGCTCGTTGAACACATAGTCGGAGCTTTCCCCCATATTTGAGGACGAGTCGCGATTATAGAAATTTAAAATCACATGTCATCAATTTTAGGTTTTAAAAAAAAAACTAGAGATAAAAATGTATTTCATCTTGCCAAACAAATAAACTTCAGTTGCATATATGAGAAACCGAACATTTTCGGTTGGTTTTGTTTCTAGACTGATAAAATCGAACCGAATCGAATCTATATAWAAATCAAATATATGAAATAAAGCCAGGCCACCCTGACCCCTGTGTCTAATCTAACCAAACCCCTAAAAAAACAAAGAAAAGCCAAACCAAAACCCTAAAGTTCCTTTCTTTCATCTGCAACTGCAACAACACCTACAATTCTCCCTCTTATCGATTCATTTTGCCGCCGCTGACACCCCAATTCTCGCTCCCCGCCGGTGGCGTCTCCTCCCACTCTGTCGCTCACCGCCGACGCTATTTAGTCATTCTGCCTAATAAGGTAATGCCTTGAAACCCCCTTCAATTGACAAGCCTACGACGCCCAACCCGGACCCAAAACATAAAACCGTTAGGTTCGGCCGAAATTTTGGTCTTGTTTAGTGTCGATTTAAGCAGAAAACGAAGAAACCGAACCGCTGTTCACCTCGGCATTGGATTTGCAGGGTTTAAACTGTGTGAAACTTGGACGCGACAACATATTTTCTTGGTAAAATAAGAACTGGGTTTCACAGTTTTACTTGTACACTGTATCAAATTGTTAGTGAATCTAATTCTCGGTTTCGGCAGCTTCTGTAGAGAGCAAACTAAAGAAATCAATTTTTGCTCTGTATTTGTTCTCCTCCTCTTTGGGCCCTTCTTATTTCCTCTCTCTTTGCCACTTTCTTCTGGGTCTAATTCCCAGCCGATTTTGTGTTCTTCAGCAGAATCTTTTCCTGGAAATTAGGAATGGTGGGGCTTTCAATTGGAGAGAAGCAATTCATACAAGGCGGTATCGCGCAGGACCTTCGCTCTGATGGTCGAACGAGATTAACTTACCGACCCATCTCTGTAGAAACTGATGTGATCTCTCAGGTACTGTGAAACAGAGTACTCCTTTAGATCTTCTTTACTTTTTATTGTCCTCTTTGTGTTTTTGTTTCTCAATGCTCTTATGATTAGGCCAATGGTTCAGCAAGGGTCAAAATGGGTGGTACTGAAGTTATTGCTGCTGTGAAGGTATTAATATACTCTTTGCTAGTTTTTAACCAAGTGACATGTTCCTAGTTCTGCTGCAAAAGATTGCTACTGCTCTGTTTCGGTATGAAGTTGACTACTAAGATATGTTTGAGTACAGGCTGAACTTGGAAGGCCAAATGCAATGCAGCCTGACAAAGGGAAGGTTTCGATCTCTGTTGATTGCAGTCCAATTGCGGAACCAGCGTTCGAGGTTTGAAAACTTTCTCTTGCACGTCTTGTTCATCCATGTGTTGTAGGCTAGAAATGTTAGAGAAATGGGTTGTTGTATGCAAAATGGTGTTTTGTTAGAAGCAAGATGGAATTCCTTTTATGTTGGAGAGAGAGGTAACTTGTTGGGCATTAGGAGCTGAGCTAGATTTGATTATTTAGTATGGAGATCTTCGTATTTAAATTTTTTGAACTGTGACTTGATTTCTATTTGGATCCCTAAAGTTCTAAACCACTGATTGGTTTAATTTGGTTTCTTATTCTTGATTACATTTCGAACAACATAGTTCTTCAATCCTAACAATCGAACTTGTAAAAAATGCTACTCATTAAGCCTACCTTGTAAACTGGAAGCTCTTATTTTCAATAACTGCATATCATTCCTTCAAATTTCATCTTTTCATATTAAGTTGAGAAGCAACTTCATACTTCAAGGGAACCATATTAGCAGAGATAATGAAAGTGCAGAATTCTCACACTCAATTGAGGATGAACGTGGGAATTAAATTTGGAAAAGTTGAGTGGCTACAACAGACATTAAATCAAAGTTGGTATTAAAACAGTAATCTAGCAGAAAAATCATTATATACTTACAATAGAAAATGTTTACATGATTGGATTGCATGTGGCATCATATCAAATTGTGTAATGTGTTTTCTTTCCATGTATCTTTTTTCTGTTATGCTTATAAACATATTCTGTTTTCAATGACTATAGGGTAGAGGTGGTGAAGAGTTGTCAACCGAACTCTCAGTCGCTCTTCAACGATGTCTCTTAGGTGGAAAAAGTGGTGCAGGTTTGACTCGTGGCTAGAACAGTAGACCGATAATATGCACTTCCCACATAGAATCACTAACGATCAGTAACATTTTCACGTAACAAGCATGCTTTTGTTGCCTCAGGGGCTGGGATTGACCTTTCATCTCTGATAGTTGTGGAAGGAAAGATTTGTTGGGATCTTTATATTGAGGGCCTCGTTGTAAGCTCAAACGGCAATCTTCTAGATACCCTTGGCGCTGCCATTAAGGTATATTTTCATCGATTACTTCTAATAATAACAGTGGCTATCTGCAATATTCTAAAGTTGAAACTAATAAACCTGGAAACTATTCTTCCCAAGGCTGCTTTGAGCAATACAGGCATCCCAAAGGTCAACGTTGCAGCGGAAGCATCAGCCGACGACCAGCCCGAAGTTGACATAAGCGATGAAGAATTTCTACAGTTCGACACATCCGGAGTTCCCGTCATAGTCACATTGACAAAGGTGGGTAGGCACTATATCGTGGATGCCACTTTGGAAGAGGAGTCTCAGATGAACTCCGCCATCTCCATATCCATCAACAGGCACGGTCACATCTGCGGGGTGACCAAACGAGGGGGCGCCGGGGTCGATCCGAGCATAATCCTCGACATGATATCCGTGGGCAAACATGTGAGTGAGCAGTTACTGAACAAGTTGGATTCAGAGATAGCTGCTGCTGAAGCTGATGAAGAAGAATGATGAAGCATTTAGATTTCTAACAGTTATTTGTCTACATTGTAGAATTATCCTAGAATGACGATATGAATTGGAATCCTAGTCCTAGATGGTATAGATGGTTGTAAGGTAGTTATACTGTAGAATTGGCAGTTCTTTAGACCTTTGATTCTGTCAACATGGTTGCCTAGACTTCCTAGTTGGTTTTTTGAGACAATTTGAGCAAATTGTGCAGAAAAAAAAGAAGTCAGCATTGGCAGGATGAAATTTGATTTATTGACTTGTTGTCTAGCCACCCACAGGCATCATTTATGGCTACATATTCGAGACCAGAATGTTCAAACTCTATATTCCTCCAACTCAAATTACTATGTTTGTATGGAAGATACTTTTTTTTCTCAAGCTTATTTTACATCCAAGTAAATATTTTAAGGTTCATTTAACTAAATAGTAGTTTCTTTCAAGTTAAAAGTTCAGTTAAAAATTGCCTAGTGGGTTTCCTAAACTATGAATTTTATGTCTAAATCTTTGAATTTCAAAAGTGTTTAATAAATTTACGAACTTTAAATTTTATGTCTAAACGTCATTTTAAAAAACTAATGGATCTATTAATCAAAATTAATTTTTTTTCCAACAGAACCCAAAATTTTGTGCCTAAAAGTCCATAAATGTTTTAAAATGTTAAATAGGTAAAAACTATCCAACACAAAATTAAAAGTTAAAAACCTATTAAACACAAAAGTAAAAGTTTTATAATCTATCATACATGTTTCTTAATTTTATAAATTTATTAGACACAAAATTTAAAGTTCAGAAACTTATTAGATACTTTTTTAATTGATGTAGTTATCATGCACTRACGTGAAAGTTACTAAATTTATAATTTTAACAAAATTTTTTAGTACAACAATGAGTTTTGAACTTTTAACACAATTGTATCTCAATTAGCTTAAAAGTAGATTAGTTTCTCTGAGTAATGTGGTAATCTAATCCAAACCCAAATAGTTTGAGTTGAATTTGTGACCAAAGCCAGCTTTACAGAAAACATCAAAAGAAAAGACCAAAAAACTGTCATCAAGCAAATGGTCATTTATTTATTTATCATTTGGTCATTTATTTATCTCTCTTAGTGAACTTAGCAATTCAAAAACACATTCAACAAAATTAAAAAATTTAGAGACTTATTCCACCTTTTTTTTGGGATTCATAAACTTGTTGGGACAACAGTAAAACTTAACATCTCATTAAACACATAATTTAATTTTATATCTAATAAATCCAAAAATGTTGCAATAGTAAAATCTACCTAAATTAAAAGTTCAATGTTGAAGACATTCGATACAACTGAATTAAACTTATAATTTAACCAAAGCTTTCCTACCAAACTTGCAATTTTCAGATTTTTTTTTTCTTTTCCCTTTTAGGAGTTGAAAAAATTTGCAGAGTTATTTATTACTTGGCGACTTGGGCTGGATAGGATACCATATGTCACTTTCTTACATCACCCATAGCTCCCTTTGACTTGAAGATGCGTCCAATTTCCAAATGAGAAAATGAAGACAATTTTATGAAGAAAACGCCATAATCTTAAACAATCCACAGTGGTCAAGAAAAGGAAACTGGCTGTATGCTTGTGTTTCCATTAAATTATTCTGAAGAGATCATCGAGTTTCAAAGCAATTTGGTGGTTATAAGCCAGATTTTCTTTCAACCCAAACCCAAACTTCAATAACCTTCCATTACCCATAAAAGAGAAAATATCACTACCCCCAATGGATCCATGGTTTTGCTTTTGCCGTCTAGTTTTCTTCTCATGCCTCCTCTTCTCTGCAACTCAATGCTCGGCGGCAACGTGCCGCAGTTCAGAGAGGTCTGCCCTGTTGCAGTTCAAGGATAGCTTCGCCGCCGACCCTTCTTGCTCCGGCGATCCTCCAATGGTTGCTTCGTGGGCGGCGGAAGGCGGAGGAGACGACTGCTGCTCGTGGGTCGGCGTCGAGTGCAGCAACCAGACCGGAAACATTATCGGACTTAACCTTGCCGGCGGATGTCTGTACGGTTCCATTGACTCTAACAGCAGCCTCTTTGGACTTGTTCATCTTCAAACGCTTGTTCTTGCTGGAAACAACTTCAATTTCTCCGAAATCCCTGAAAGTATTGGACGGCTTTCTGATTTGACGCGCCTGGATCTTTCTGCTTCTGTGTTTTCTGGGCAAATCCCTTCGGCAATATCGAGGTTGTCCAGGTTATCATACTTGGATTTGTCTGGAAATGTTGATGATTCTTTAAATCCATTGTTGGAGCTGAAGAACCCTGATTGGAGAAATTTGGTTCTGAATCTTACTAGCTTGGAGACCCTGCGTCTCAGTAGGGTTAATATCTCTTCTGCTGTTCCTGATTTTCTTGCAAATCTCTCTTCTTTGGAGAATCTCTTCCTGGGGCAATGTGGGTTGACTGGAAATTTTCCTCAGAAAATCTTTCACTTACCGAATCTGCAGCATCTTGTTCTTCCATACAATCCAGGCCTCTCTGGTACTTTGCCTGAGTTCAACTTGAACAGTTCTCTTGTGAGGATATGGCTCGAACAAAGTGCATTTCATGGTGAAATACCCTCTTCAGTTGGAAATCTTAAGTCCTTGACTTGGTTGAACTTAGCAGATAGTAACTTTTCTGGGATAGTTCCTTCCACAATTGGTAACCTTACCAAACTCCAGCTGTTAGACCTTCATTTAAACAACTTTACCGGGCGAATTCCTTCGTCCCTCGAACAGCTAACCGAGTTGGATCGTGTACTTCTTAGCTATAACAATTTTAGAGATGCAACCTTGTCTTGGGTTGGTAAGCAGAATAAGCTTACTTACCTGGGACTTTCTGGGATCGGTTTGAGTGGTACTCTGCTGCCCTCTGTTGGAAACTTGACTAAGATTGTTTCGCTACTTCTCGGCGAAAATCGATTGACAGGTGAGCTTCCATCTTGGATAGGTAATTTTACCCAGCTAACTGAATTCCATCTGTATGGGAACAAATTGAGCGGTTCAATCCCGCAGTCTTTTTCTCAACTTATTAACCTTCAGAACCTTTATCTTCAGTATAATCACTTGAATGGGACTGTGCAATTAAGCATGTTTTTGAAGTTCCCGAACCTTACTGAACTTCACCTAACTGCCAATGATTTGACTGTTCTTGACGATCATATCAGTAGCCCAAATGCAACTCTTCCAAAGTTCAACTTGCTAGGACTTGGATCGTGCAATTTAACTCAAATTCCAGCGTTTCTTGAACATCAAAATCAGATAGAGGTATTAGAACTTGGAGAAAACAATATTCAAGGCCAAATACCCAAATGGATGTGGAATATGAGCAGAGAAAGTTTGAAGGTTTTCAACTTGAGTCACAACGCCCTGACAGGGGTAGAAGAATCTCAAGACGCTCTTCCTTGGGTTAATCTCTATGTATTAGATCTCTCTAATAACAGGTTACGAGAATCATTTCCATTTCTACCTGCCATATGCAAGCTAAGTTCACTTGTGGCCCTTGATTTGTCTAGTAATCTAATGAGTGGTGTTCTTCCACCGTGTATTGGGAATTTCAGTTCTTTGGATATCATGAATTTTAGACAAAACTCGCTTCATGGAACTATTCCTGATACCTTCATAAATGGGAGCAAATTAAGGTTCATTGATTTCAGTCAGAATCAGTTGCAAGGTCGAGTACCAAGATCATTAGCCAATTGTAAGAGTCTGGAAATCATTGACTTGAGTGACAACCAATTGACCGATGGTTTTCCTTTTTGGATTGGAAATCTTCCCATGCTAAGACTTCTAATTCTACGGTCTAATCACTTCCATGGAAAAATCGAAGAACCCGACACAAATACCGAGTTCCCCATGATGCGAATCGTTGATCTCTCCCACAATAACTTTTCGGGTAATCTCCCTTTGAAGTATCTAACTAATTCRAAAGGAATGGAGATTTTCAACAATACTGCTTCAACATATAGAAACACATTTGTAAGTTTCTCATTCAACTATGTTTGGGCACTTGAATTTTTCTACTCTACCACAATAACCATCAAAGGTTTTGAGAGAAACTACTCAAGGATCCAAGAAGTCTTTACGAGTATCGATCTCTCAAGTAATAGATTTGAAGGTGAAATACCAGATCTTGTTGGGAACCTAGAAGGCCTCCAATCTCTCAACGTTTCCCACAACACGCTCACTGGCCGCATCCCACCATCGATGGGGAATATGGCACGACTTGAGTCTTTGGACCTTTCGCACAACCAACTCTCAGGACCAATACCTCAGCAACTCTCACGGCTTAATTTCCTTGCAATATTTGACATCTCATACAACAACCTCTCCGGTCCGATACCACAAGGGAACCAATTTAACAATGTCGATAACAGTTCGTATGCAGGCAACATGGGATTATGTGGAGCACCATTGTCAAAAAAATGTGGAGATTCCGAGCCACCTTCATCGGGCTCTGACGAGGATGAAGATGAAGAATCAGATTTTCACATTAGCTGGAAGACGGTGTTGATTGGATATGGATGTGGAGTGTTGGTTGGAATGGTTGTAGGGAACTATATTCTTACAAGGAAGCAAGAATGGTTCAACAAGACCTTCAAATTTGGAAAACCCAAACAGTGGGAGGACTGAATGACAGCAAGATGCATGAGACTCGGGAGTGGATGACACTGGGTACCTCAGATGCCTGAATCTGCAAGATAATTGAAGAACATACTGCTGCTTTATCCTACATTTTTGTTTTTCTTTGTGTAAAGTTTTGCTTCTTTTACACACGTAGGGAACAGAATTGGGAACTGTACCATATTGTTGTAGTATATGTAATGTACAGTATTTCTAATTCAAAGACAGTAAACTCCCACCATCTAACAGCTGAGTTTGCAAGTTATAGATGCTTCAAATGGAGGATTTTCAACTCTCCTTGTGAGTTCTGACAGGGTGAGTTTTAGAATGATTTTTGGAACGATGAAAAGTGCTTTTCACTAATTAAGTTCTTACTTCTTTACTAAGATTCCAATGAGTTTTTGGGTCATAGAATGTTGGCCCTATCATTAATTCCAAATCAAGAGGAGATCCACCCCTAAAAATCTTAGTCCAAGACTGAAGTTCAGAGCAATTAATGGAGGATTATCATGAAAATGTGGAATAAAGAAGCAAGAGAGGAAGCAAGTTGTTCATCAGTAGACAGTGAAGGCAAAACCAAAACAAAAGAAATCAAATGAACAAAGCGCAGGGCACCAGGGCAAGGGTTATGAGATTACGTTCGAGGCATCGGCAATCCACCGCCCTTCACAAGAATCGCACTCGCTCACCAAGCAGTCCATCCCGGCCATTCGGCGCCGGCCACCGGCCACCGTCAGTTCTTCTTCTTCGTGAAGCTTCTGTAGTTGAAGCCCGCCCCTCACATAAGCGAATCATGGAGCTTACTCTGGCAATTCGCCGGTAGAACGTGGGTTGCATAATTATCGCCGGCGCCGGCGGGCTGAATTCTCCATCGGAACTCCGGCGGGAACCCTCCGTTGAAACTGTCGCACTCTGTTTTTTTCCATGAATAACAGCTTGCAATTGCAATTGTCTGTTTTTGGTGGGAAGGGGAAATTTTCAATTTCACCTACGCACGTTGAATTTGTTTATTCTTTTTTTTTTTTTTATCAATTTCGTCAAATAGACGTTTTGCAATTTTTAACTCTAAATGCTCTTGAATTTTAATTTTAAACGTAGTTTGATAGTTTGATGGGTAAGACATTTTAATTTTGCCTAATGAGACTGTTATTTTTAAATAATTTTTTACCATGCCCATAAAAAATATTATAATCTTCATTAAATATCACCACATCATTATATACCAAATAAATATATAAATAATGTGATAAGATAGTTAAAAAAAAAAGGAAATTTAATTGGAGAGACCAGATAAAGCATTATTAAATTGAAGCCTCCAAAAAAAAATTTAAGATTTTGAAATTAGGGGAAAAATAGAAATAAGATTGCCAACCTATCTCTGAAATTAATTATGTATTTGACATAAGCACTAAAATATTTAAGGCCCATTTTTTAATGTTCGTGTTTCTTATTTTATGTTTCTCGTTTGTTATTTCAAAACCTTCAAAGGAAATGATATGATTTTATTGGTTATCAATTGGGGTAAATATCCTCCCTTCTATCATTATAGTTTTTCTTCCCTTCTATCCAATTGGATTGGAATTTCCCTCTTTCATAATTTCATATAATCGATGATATTGTTTTTTATTAAAAAAAAATACTATCAAATAATCTGTGACATGAAAGACCTTAGGCTAATTTTGCTAAGACTTATTCACCTTCTTGTTCAATTCAGTCAACTAAATCCTGTCAATTCTGCTTAGAATTTAACCAAGCCAAAATATTTGGCCATTGACTTCTGTGGTAGATATTAGAATACAAATATCATTAACCTTCCACAACAAGTCTCAATTGACTTCTTTTTCTTGCTGTGCATGACTTGTAAGTTCACCAACAATGTACAGATGTTATAATTTGCTTGATCAAACTCTTCAGGGTTGGAATGCTCTCTGTTTTCGTACCTCTTTTTTTCCATATCTTTGAATCACATGGCACTGAAAAATCGGGTCACTGGAACGATGAAGTTCGACAAGCGAACGGGCTCCATGGATGACATTTTTGGACATCAAAATCTTGATTTCTATATATAGAACAGAAGCAATTTGGCTTTTGTTGCACATCCCAGTGTGGAATTCCCTCTGTTATAGCTGAAAGATATGAATATCATGAAGATATCATCACTTTCTTCTTATTCTTCCCTTGCTGCTTCCTATCTGGCTTTACTGTCAACTTTGCTTTTTGCTTTAACTATTGCTTTTCTTCTACTCATCCACTGTGCCATGATGAAGAGAGGAATGCTCTTTTGCAGTTCAAGGGAAGTTTTTTGTTTCTGCTAACTGTTCTCGCACTTCTCCGAAGATCAATTCTTGACGAGTCGATGGCAGAAGAGGCAATTGTTGTCTGTGGCGTGGCGTGGCGTGGCGTGGAGTTTGATGAGGAGACGGGTCGTGTGGTCGGCCTTGACCTCAGCAGTAATTGCCTCTATGGTTCCATAGACTCTGATAGCAGCCTCTTTAAACTTGTTCATCTTCAGAGGGTTGACCTTGCACTCAATAACTTCAATTTCTCTGAGGTTCGTGAAAGTATACAACTTATTTCTAAATTTGATGCTTCTCAACCTCTCTGGTTCTACATTTTCAGACCAAATTCCAGCTGCAATTTCTAAGTTGTCCACCTTGTCAGTCTTGGATTTGTCTCGAAATGTCGACATCGCTTCAGGAGAAGAGTTGTTGGAACTTAAGAATCTGGACTTCAAAAACTTTGTAGCAAACCTTACTAAACTTGAACATCTTAGTCTTAGTAAGGTTGACATATCATCCACAGTCCCACATTTCTTGGCAAATTTATCTTCTTTAAAATCCCTTCGGTTGACAGATTGCAGGGTGCGAGGCCAATTTCCCGCCAAAATATTTCAGTTCCCAAAACTAAAAATACTCGAAATACCATTCAATCTGAATCTCGTCCGGTATTTGCCCGAATTCAACTCGAGCAATTCACTCGAGGAACTATGTCCCAAGGACTCGGGAATTTCTAGTAAGATGCCTCATTCAGTTGGAAATCTATAGTCCTTGACTGTTTTTGATATATCAGGATGCGACTTTTCAGGGACTGTTCCTCCTTCACTTGGAAACCTCATCCATCTCAAGATACTAATCCTCCATTCAAACAAGTTCAGTGGCAAAATTCCTTCTTCCTTCAAAGACCTCTCTCAGTTAAAGTTTTTACCATCTCCGCTCCAATTATTTCACTGATCCAACCCTCTCTTGGGTTGGTAACCAGACAAAACTTGCATATTTGGGTCTTCCATATATCAGCCAAATAAAAAATAAACTGATGTATAATGTTCCATCTTCACTCTGCAACTTGAGTTCTCTTGTTTACCTTGATATCTCTGGCAACTCCATTGGTGGTTTGCTTCCCAGTTGTGTGGGAAATTTCAGTTCTTTAGAAGTTCTGAGACTAAGTGATAACAAGTTGTCAAGTTCCACGGAAGCATTCCCGACACCTTCGTTGGCGAAAGCAATCTACGGGCAATCGACTTCAGTCAGAATCAGTTTCAGGGTCAAGTCCCAAGATCATTAGAAAACAGCCAAATGCTGGAAAATATAGACCTCGGCCACAATCAACGGAATGATGTTTTCCCCTCTTGGCCGGGAGCTCTTCCAGAGTTGAGGCTCCTCATGTTGCGATCCAATCAATTCAACGGGATCATTGGAGAGCCAAAACCAACCATGACTTCTCGAAGCTGCGCGTTATCGATCTTTCTTATAAATTTTCGGGTAACCTGCCACTCAAAAGCATCAGGAATTTGAATGCCATGAAGGTTACTACTGCAGCTACCAACTCAACATATATGAAAGCAAATAGTGCATTTTTATTTTTTTTTTTGCAAATTATGCTTGGGCTCTCGAGTATTACTACACAATCACCATAATCAATAAAGGGTAGAGAAGTTTCTCAAAGATTCAAGAGGCTTTCACCAGTATGGATCGAATCGGTGAGTTAAAGGGTCTTCATTATCTCAATCTCTCTCATAACATGCTCGGTGGTCGAATCCCGTCATCATTGGGGAACATAACGGAGCTTGAATCTTTGGATCTTTCGAACAACAAGCTTTCAGGGGAGATTCCAGAAACACTGGCATGGCTCACTTTCCTTTCCACTTTTGATGTCTCTCAAAACAGGCTCTCTGGTATAATACCAGAAGGAAACCAACTTAACGGGAAATGTGGGATTGTGCGGGAAGCCATTGAAGAAATGTGGGGACTCTGAGGCTGAGGAACCATCTTCTTCAACCTCAGGAGAAGTTGAAGCCTCTGTGTTTGATTTTGATTGGATATGGGTGTGGGGTGGTGTTTGGAATGCTGGCTGGGAATTATGTAATCAAGAGGAAAGAAGAATGGTTTCTGATGGTTTTCAGAGTTGCACGACCAAAGAGGAAGGAGATAAGAAGAACAAACCATTAAAAGAGTTGTTAAAAGCTCTGGTTTCATCCAAGAGTGAATTCGAGATAGGGTGAAAAGTATTTTTAGTTCTACGTGAAAGCATGGTTGCTTCCAGAAGTTCTTATAAAATAGGTATTTCACTTAAAAGTATTACTTTAAAAACTCAAATCTAAAACTCTAAGGCCCTTTGAGATAATGACTTTGTTTTCAGTTTCCAATTTGAAAAATTATACTCGACTCCTCGCAACTTTTCTCATACATTACACATTCAAATTCTTTGCCAAATTTCAAAAACAAAACAAGTTTTAATAAATATTCATAATACATGAGAGTTACTTTCTCATACATTACACATTCAAATTCTTTTTCAAATTTCAAAAACAAAACAAGTTTTAATAAATATTCATAATACATGAGAGTTACTTTGGTAAGCAAATGTAGTAGGATCAAACGGTTGTCCCGTGACTTCGTGAGATTAATCGAGGTGCGTGTAAACTGACCCGAACATTCACGGATATCAAAAAAAATATGTATATATTCACAATACACGTGTTATTATTGTTACATTAGACTCATGGAAACAACTTTTTTTATTTTCAAAATTTGACTTACATTTTGAAAATGATAATAGTAAAGCAGAGAAACACATAGGCGGTTGACGTTTATAAGCTTAGTTTTCCAAACTAGAAAACCAAAAATAAAACGGTTAAAGGGGACCTAAATAATGACTTGAATTTCAATATCAGTACCATTTATTCATCAYTCCCCTGCATAACCATTGGCAGCCATTAACCCAAAAGCTAAAAGAGGATACCCAAAACAGACCTCATCTTAAATTTGTCAAGAGAAAACACAGTGAAGAACAAATACATTTTTTTTTAGATAAGAGTGAAGAACAAATACAAAGAAACAAAAAAACACAAACCATGAGTTGAGCATAAACCCTAATGCCATAACATTTGAGTATATGATGAGATGAGTGGTGACGATCAGATGGACACAAAATAGAGCAGCAGAGCAACCCCAAACATAAACCGAAAGTGAGGAAAAAGAAGAAAAAAGGAAAGAAAGAAAGGTCAATTCGAAAGAAGAAGGCCTAGAAATGTGCAAAGGATAAAACAAGAACAAGAAACAACAAATCTGCTTACCCCGAAAAAACCTTTATATTTAATTGCTACACACCAACGGAGCTCTCCACCCATCTCTTCCATTGCCTGCACCCTTTCAACTTTTCCATTTGGCCCCATCTTCTCCCTCTTTGATACCCTCTCTCTCTCTCACAAGAAAGACAACAAAATTAAATATAATTCACCCATTTAAATTTAAAAGATGATATGAAATGTTAAAAATGTTTTCCTTTTTTCTTTTAAACCACAGTGGAAAATTGTGTGGTAATAAATGTCTTATCTACTGAATGAGAGTAGAGGTTCGACCCTCTATTTTTTTTGTCGATGATAAATATCTTTACTCTTGGTCAAAGATATATACCTAAATCAATTGAGTTGTGTTCGAGTTGACCTATTAAGTTATATTTGAATTGACCGTCAAAGTATTATACACATGATTAAAATAAATGTGATAGATGCAAAATAGGATTCTAAATGATTTCTTTCTTTTTTTCTTTCGTTAAAAAACACACTTAGTCCCATACTTTTTACTAAACCAACAAGGATAATATCATATGTACTAAAAAAAAATAACATATTCCTCAAACTAAGAGGTTGTCACTTCGATCCTCCACTTTTTCATCTACTAAATAAGAAACTTACCATAATAATTTTATCATAAATTTTAAGATGGAATCGAACTCAAAATCGAGATATATGTAACTTAATCGGTTGACCAATAATTGGATTGGCCGGTACTTTTTAGTTGGATCCTTTTTTTTTCAATTTTTCAATTACCTTTTTTTTTTGGGGCCGATTTTGTCCAATAATTAATCTCCTCCATCGCACAAGTCAAATCCCTTGAACCATCTGATCCTTTATATTTTTGCCTCAGCATTGACTTCAAAAACACACAAACAAGAAACCAACAACAAGAACAAGAACAAAGAAGAAGCTTAACGATGCAGAGAAATGCAGCCGAGAAGAACAACAAGATCAAGAAGAAGAAGAATTTCAAATTCTCAATCAACGATCACCTCGACGTTCTCACCGAAATCCTCCGGCGACTCGACGGCCCCTCCCTCTGCGCCGCCGCCTGCGTCTGCCGCCTCTGGTGTGCCCTAGCCCGCAACGACGATTCCCTCTGGGAGCACCTCTGCCTCCGCCACGCCTCCTCTCCGCCTCCCTCCGCCCTCCGCTCCGTCGTCCTCGCTCTCGGCGGCTACAAGCGCCTCTACATGCTCTGCCTCCGCCCCCTCCTCGCCACATTCAATCGCCGCCGCTCCCATTTCGTCCGCCGTGTTTCCACTCTCCAAGATCACCTCCAACTCTCCCTCTCCCTCTTCTCCGTCGATTGTTACGAGAGAAGCGGAAGGATTGCCGGCGATGCGGCGGCGGCGGCTCCGTCGCTCAGATTCCTCTGTAAACCGGTGAACGTATGATTTCTTCTCATCCTTTCAATTTTTTGTTTCGGCGTTTAAATTGATTGAATCGTCTCATTTGGACAATAAGGGACTCCTTTTTGTTCTTCTGAATTTAATTTCAATTTACTTAACATATTAATAAATATTACCATTTTTCTTAACAACTTTTATTCTTCCAATAAATCACTTTAATTAACTAATTTAGTTGCTTTCCAGTGGAGTATAGTGAGTTAAGTTCAGGTTATTAAGTCTAATTGAAGTAATAAAATTTTCATTCTTCCAATAAATTACTTTAATTAACTGTATATTTTCAAGTGACGGYTCTTTTCGTCTCTTGATAGTTGGAAGTTCTTTAGATCTGGGTAGAGCTTTCTACACGRTGTGGGGATACGGTTCGAATTCATGATATTTTGGTTAGAAAGAGRTGTCTTAACCATTTGAACTATGCTCGATTTGATAATATTACTTAAATCAAAATTTCAAACTTAGAAAAAATTTATGAATGAGGTATATAACATATGTACATGTATTTTATATTGGGTAGTCAATAATATTAGTGATATATTTAGTATTTAGTATATCATTTATATAACTAAAATATTAAACTCAAAATTTTTTTTATTAACGATATACTACATAATGTCAAATATCTCCACAAAATCGAAATAACAAAAATAAATTTTTTTTTGTCATATTTGCCGAACTAATAAATGCTGAGCATTGTAAATATATTTTAATAATAGTTAAAAGTATCTTTCAATAAAGCTAAAAAAAATAACATAATATAATGATTTAAAAAATTATATTATAGAACAAATAATTGGTTCTTCATCGAACATATCTTAACTCAATAACTCAATAATTATCTTGTTTCTTCCATAGGATGGGAGGTTCAATCTCACACCACACCACGACATCTATTGTACTGAAAGAAAAAAAAAAATTTCAAGAATAAAAAATTAATGAAGTACTAAATTCACTATTTTAACTCTCTTTCTTCTTTTTTTATTTTCCAAGTAATTGTCAATTTTTGTGTTGACATTTGTTGTGTTTCATCATTTTTCAAGTATTCCGTTGTATGTATTTAATTTATATACTTTAAAAAAAGTTCTAATAAATTTATGAACTTTTAAGATTATGTTATTTTCTTCCTATATTTGTCTCACCATTTTTCAAGTGTCAAGCACGCTCAATAGATAAAACATTTATTACCATCTTAAAGTTTCATAGTTCAAATTATGCTCTCACAATTATTGAACTAAAAAGTTCTCAAATTTTTAATTTTGTGTTAAAAACGTTAATAAATTCTTTTAAAAAATAACTTATAAATTTCCTCAACCCACTTGAAATTAATCAATCACACCACATTTTAACTCGAGTGACCAATTAGACATATAATCAAAACGATAAAGATCTAAAAAAATTCTTATTTCATAAAAAATTTATAATAAACAATATCAAATAAATAATATTCTGATTTTTTATCATATTTATAAACAAACGGGATTTAAACTTGAAAGTACAAAGATTAAATGGTCATCGGACTCGAAACATAATAGAAAGTAATGGAAGAGAAAAAGTTGGAGACTAAGTTTAGAAGCATTACTGAGAGAGAAAGAAAGGTGGGGGGTGTGAGAGTGAGGGTTCATGGCAGCCCTAAATCAGAGAATCCGACGCTTCTATTCGGAGTTTGGTGTGCGGCAGAATCTTCTTCTCAACAAAATGGTGCGTGCGGCTTCCACCTCTCTCTTTCCATATCAGATTTTGGGGCCCGGGTCGGGATCGAGACCCGATGTCTAAAAGTGTTCATGGATTAGATTGAGTTTTCTGACATTTTAGATCCAACTCAAACGTTTTGGTTGTAGATTTGTACAACTCGAACAATTATTGTTAAAATTACAAACTCAACCCAAGCCAATCGGTAAAAGTTCGGTTGGTCGGATTGATTCGATTCGAGTTTTAGTCAAAACTCACACCTCATAAGTGTTAGGTGCAGTTACGTAACCCTCAAGTATGTACAACTAATTATAGCTATACAATTTGGTTCGGGTTTAAAATTAATTTGAGTTAGAAATATAATTGAGCTGGAAATGTGAGTGATTTTTAAGTTAATAATAAATGTGTAGCTCGAGTATTAAATTTTCATTGACATTTTTATATATTCGACACAGGACTAAATTGACATTTGTATTTGTACAGTATTGCAAAAAAGTGACAAAATATAAAAATTTATCAATCAAATATCATGAATATAAACATAATAATAATATTAATAAATTTTAACTTATTTGAAATGAATCAAATTGTTACTTGTTACCAATATTTATATTTTTATAATTTTTTAAAAAATATTCATATACATTCACATTTTATCGATGTTTTCATCTACATTTACATAAAGGTGAGATCTCGACACTTTCATAGACATCAACATTAAAAATGTTTTATTCTACCAAAGCGAGCATAGCTCAGTAATTGACGTATATTTTCAATTAAGAGATTTTGGGTTCAATTCTTCATGCCATATGTTGTACTTAAAAAGAAATTTGATCGTGAATCGGGCTGGATTGATTCAACTTGATAGATTCGAGAATGGAACTAATCTAATCGATTTTTTTTTTTTTTTTATGAATATGATCTCAGTCCAAATTAGTTTTCAATCCAACCCAAATCATATAGGCTGAGTTTTCCATCCGCCCCCTCTCCACTTCCTCCCTGTCTATCTTACCAATTGCAAGTGGACTTTTCCCAAGCCCATTGTCTTGGCCCATTGGGTCTCTTCTATCTATGTCAATTTCTATTTTCACTATATCGGTTTATAATTATCACGCTTATTCTCAATGGATAGACTCATCAAATAAGAAAACTATCGATGTTTGATAGATACGATGGTTTTTTTATACTTCTTAAAATATGTATGACATTGTAAAAAGTTGACAATTATCTAAAGCGGCGTACTTTATTTGGAGAAAATAAAGAGAAGTAATGAATTAGTATATTGAGAAAATTGTTGACGTTGTGTGAGTATAACGATATTTTATGATATGTAACTAGATAGTACATTTGAATTGAAATCACAGACAACACAACTCATTACGAACAAAATGGTAATTTAACACTTTTATTTTGTGTTGAATCCCTACTCAAGTGAATAACAAATTTAAAGGTGTATTCCATTAATGATAGAAATTAAATAAAAAGGAAATCTTGAGTCTTAGGAGGGGTATTTAAGTTAATTTTTCAAAAGTTTGAAAGACTAATATACATAATGGTATGAACTAAATTTTGTAATTCAATATTTAATTAATGGTTAAAAGAAAATCTCAAAGAGAGCAAGGCTCTCATTAGTGATCTTATTGGTTCATTCTTATTGTTTGTGTTATGGGAGGCATTAATGATGATGAAAAAGACCACAAATGTGGATCAAAAAGTAAGATTATTATATTACAACAAACCATTTTTTTTAAATTAATTTCGAGAGAGATGTATATTTTTTTAGTACAATTTCTAGAGGGATATTATGGTTTGACAAATAAAATTAGGGCTAAATTTTATAATTAGTCTATCTACTATGTCTTTATCTTTTTATGAAAGTATTCCTATGAAAATGTACCATAAATATTTGGAAAAAATAATAAAGATCATTTTTTTTCGTCGTACTTTGAAAATAATGGTAAAAATCTAAACATCATCCAATAACCTCACTTTAAAATAAAATAAACTTTAATTCGCTCTCTTTTTCTATTTTACAGTTAATTAGTAATATTTTAAAATATAGCTTAAATTCATGTTTTTCGACTAATGTAACTCGATTCCACGTCGTAAAAATCAAATGTTATCTCATGAAGAACATTTATTGCAACACCCTTGATGCTTTATGCATATGAGCCAACTAATTTGGTACTGCAACTATTGAGATTGCCCGTGAAACCATACTCACAGCCGTCTCAATTGGAAACAAAAGATTATATATAGTTTGTTTTAGTTTATCTCAATAATGAGTTGTGGTAAAACCAGTTTCTATAGTGGCATAATGGCCCTCTAAAAATAGTAATACCTTCGACTTCCTCAACAAACCCAACATACATAATTTTTTTTTACAAACACTTCGATTTTTGTTACTGTCTTAATAGCAATGTTAATGTTCATTAAATTTTAATCAAAGTACAGAGATGATAATACAACTTTTAAAAACATAGACATACTAAATTAAAATTAAAGTCATTAAAACTACAATTCAAGCCTAAAAGCAAATAAAGTTTGTGAATTTGTATATCATATAGTGAGCACACATAATACATAACTTATAACTATTATACTATGCATGTAGATTGCATGAAATCAATGCATCACATTTGGAAAAATTTATTGTTAAAATTAGAGAACTATATATACAAATACAAAAACTTTTATGTTTAATTATGAAATAATGTAAAATTATACTAAACCAAATTCTAAAGCATATCAAAAGCTTAACTATCTCTCAAGATTCAAATGGCAGAAAAACTGATTTGATTTTAATTTAGGCAATGAAGGTAAAATAGAACTTTGTAAAAAAATAATAAATTAATGAAAAATAAAAATAAAAATGCTTTTTAGTGAATAAAGTGACAGAAATAAAAAAATAGGGGAAATAATCAGTGACCTACATTATTGATTTATAGTTTAAACAAAAATGGAAACCCAATAAATAAATTAATCTCATTTTCATTACCTGTTTTCCACTTTTATTTTACTACGGAAAATAAAAAAAATAAAAAAATAAAGTGAATTATATATATTATACATTAAATCAAGAATGGCGCACGTTAGCAGGACGCACCATTAAATAGCATATTACAATCCCATTTTACAAGATTATATTTCATTTTTATTATTATTACACTAATTTTTCTCCCCCTAATTTTTCCGACCGGCGATCGAGGGCCTCCATCCCCAAATTCGTCGCCGCCACTTCTTCGGAGGCAGAGCCGGCTCCGACCCGGATCTAATTCCCCCATGTCCGTCCTCCAGATTTCCCCAATTTTATGAACCCTAATTTACTCTTCTGTTCACTTCCAGTTACATTTTTTCCCCTCTTTTTGGGAAAAAGGAAAAAATTTAGGGGAATTTCTTTTTTTTCGCGGGAGGGAGTTCCTTTGAGTGGGCTACTGCCTCTGGTACAGTGAGATTTGCCCACAGCTGAGCTTAATTTTGCTCGATGTTCTAAGTACACGTGGCGATCTGGATAGTTACCACCTCCATTTGCTTGCTCGGATTTCAGTGAGCTTTTTTTAGGTATTTCTTTTTCTCGAACACTATTGCTTGTCTTTGATTATAAAATTTTAGTTGTAGCGTATGGATTTTTTACATGTGCTCTTTTTGCTTGGTGGGTTTTTTTAATGCGTTTTTGGGTGTGAATTGAGAAATTTTTGGGTGGTGATTTGAAAATTGAACTGGATTTTGTGCTCTCGAGTGGATGTGGATTTATTGCGAAATGGGGTTTCTGATTTTAGTGTGAAGTGTTCGAATGCTGAGCAAAGTGATGGTGAAGGGATGTTGAGGTTTTTAGTTGAGACTGTACTCTGGTTACTGAGAAATGGAAAATGTCGATATTGTCGAATTATTTGGGACCGAGACTGGTTGATTCTTTTACTTCAAAGATCGAGATTCTTGAATCTTTGATTTTTAAAGTTTTTCTTCTTCCCAGAATACTGTAGCTGTTAAACTATTCATAAATTTCCAGTTCGAGATCTCGTCTTTTGTTTCTCTCTCTTCTTGTTAGTTACCATAATGAGAATTTTCGACTCGATTGACTCAAAGATATTACCCTTCTTATTTCGTTGAAAAAAAAAAAAACTCTGCAGGAAGTGTTCGCTTTCTCAAGCTATATTCCCGCGAGAACGTTGACATTTGTGCCAATTATTAGCGAACGTGGAAATGTGGATATGTTTGAGAATGTGGCTTCATGAGCTGTTAAGAACAACTCACTGGTCGTAGTTTTTTGTCTCTGAGTTTTTGGTCTTTCACTGATTTGGATTCGTAAATGGAAGTGAACAAAGAGGAGGCCCTTAAAGCAAAAGAGGTCGCTGAGAAGCGTTTTGCCAAGCGAGACTTCAATGGTGCAAAGAACTATGCGTTGAAGGCCAAAACCCTGTTCCCAGAGCTGGAGGGGATATCACAAATGGTGGCAACTTTTGATGTTTATGTTGCTTCGGAGATTAAGTGTAATGGTGAGGTTGATTATTATTCCATTCTAGGATTGAAGCCATCTGCAAGTAAAGAGGCTATAAAGAAACAATACAAGAAGATGGCTGTGTTGCTTCATCCTGACAAGAACAAGACCATAGGAGCTGATGGAGCATTTAAGCTTGTTTCTGAAGCATGGGCTCTACTTTCAGATAGTTCCAAGAGAAATGCATATGATATCAAGAGAACCACACAATTGGCTTCTGGAGTCAACCAGCCAAACTTGCCTACAGCTCACGCTTCTGCGGCTACAAGTTTTAACAACTACACAAATTTACCCATGTCTCATGGTAGACTCGATACCTTCTGGACTGTCTGCACCTCCTGTAAAGTTCAGTATGAGTATCTCCGGAAATACGTCAACAAGAAACTTCGGTGCAAAAATTGTCGCGGTGTTTTCATAGCTGTGGAAACTGGAGCTGCCCCAGTAAATGGTTCTTTTCCTTACTGTTCCTGGTCAAATGTTGCTGGTAATCGTTATGGAAGTCATGGATTTGAGGGAGTTACATATATCCCGGGAGATACTAGCTTTTATGCCGGACATGGGTATGAGTATGTTTCAAATATGTCATTTCAGTGGARCTCATCCTCTGGAGTTTACACTCAAACATTGGGCCCGAATGGACTGGCTTCGGCACCTGTTGATAATGTTTGTCAAACCAATGGACATTTCAGTACATCAGGAGTGAAAGATAAGGCAAGAGTCAACGGGAAGCGCGCCTCCAAAAACAAGGTGGCTAATATGAATGCAAGCACACCTTCTGGCTGTTATGAATTCTTTGGTTCAGATAGCAATGGAGCTGATAAGAGAAGGAAGGTCGTTGTGGAAGCCAGTTTGAGAAACGGTTATGTAGAGAAGGGATCATTATTGCCTGCTTCAGACTCAGCGTTAGCTAATGGAAATGCTACTGTGAAGCATGAGCCTGTAGTCTCTTCCTCTCCAACTGAGCTTTCTGCTAAGCGCGCCCCTGTTCCTCCTGTATTTGACGTCAGAAAGATGTTAATTGAGAAGGCAAGGACTGAAATTCGCAAGAAATTGGAAGAGATAAGGATTTCCTCAGCCAATGCTGCTGCTCGTGAGAAATCAAAGACAGAGTCTCAAGTTGGTCTGTTTGGAAAGACTGGACGGGCACCTAAAACAACTAATTCTGATATGTCTGGCCGTTGGTTAGACAAAGACAGAGCTGGACCAATCTCAATAAATGTACCTGATTCTGACTTCCACGATTTTGACAAGGATCGCTCAGAGGAATGCTTCAAGGCAAAGCAAATATGGGCTCTGTACGATGAAGAAGATGGCATGCCTCGCTTGTACTGTCTTATTCGCGAGATCATCTCAGTTAAACCATTTAAAATTCTCATAAGTTACTTAAGCTCTAAAACGGATACGGAATTTGGATCAGTCAACTGGTTGGAATATGGGTTCACAAAATCCTGTGGAAATTTCCGTGCTTGGAACTCTGATGTCGTCGAACAAATCAACATCTTCTCTCATGTCCTAAGCCGCGAAAAGGCCGGTAGAGGAGGCTGCGTTCGGATATATCCGAAAAGCGGAGACATTTGGGCTGTTTATCGAAACTGGTCATCAAATTGGGACAGATCAACCCCCGATGAAGTGAGGCACCGATATGAAATGGTGGAAGTTCTTGATGATTACTCAGAAGAGCTCGGTGTCTGCATCTGCCCCCTTGTCAAACTAACTGGATTCAAGACAGTTTATCAAAGAAATGCAGACAAAGATGCCATTCGTTGGATTCCCAGGAAGGAAATGGTACGGTTTTCACACCAGGTACCCTCTTATCTACTCAAGGGAGAAGCAAGTAACCTGCCAGAACATTGCTGGGATCTCGACCCGGCCGCCACTCCCGACGAACTGCTCCACACTGCAACAGAAAAAGAAGGGTCGACCGAAATCCAGTTGAGTTGAGTCCAGCGGGAGAAAGAAGAAGAAGAACAGCAAGATAATGGGTCGGAGTCAATATGAGCAGTCTTAACCAAAGTTAGATCTAACTGTACAAATATGTCTCAAGAATTTGGCCAAACGCCATTACAGACAAGACGAGAAATCTACAGTTTGATTTGGATAATGTCTGCTGAGTCGCTTCTATAACCACGAATTTGGCTTCAAGTAAATGCTTTTTTACAGAAGAACCACAACAACACGATCCTTATGGCTTATGCTCCATTATTCCCTGGCATGTTAATCAGAAGAAGAGCTTTGTTTTTTTTTTTTTTCTCTTTTCTTCTCTACTTTTCCTCCAGATTAGTTTCTCTTACTTTGTTCTAATGGAAACGAACGAGAACTTGCATGTTTAATCTCTTGATTTTGTTGTAAAATTTGATGCTTCAGCTTCACTGCTTTGAGGCCTCATTTCAGACGACAAACTTCTGAACACCCACTTCTTGAAGTCGTGTCAATTTAATCTATTAACTTCCACTAGAATGCCTTCTTGTTTTCTTTGTACGGCCTTTAAAGGACAAAGGGAAAAAAGTCAACTTGTTGACCAGTCTGATGAATAGCGCCGGTCAGGTTCTGCAGAGAGATAAATAGAAGGCAATCAAATCAACGGGCAGCCCGTGCTACCGAGAGACCCTTTTTTCCTTTGCTTCGAACCGATATGTCGGCTGCGGACTGAAAGGAAACAAGGTGGAGGAGAGCGACACATCGTCCCAATAAACGAAGTGAATCAAACCCAGAAAGCAGAGAACAGGATGAACCCACTTCTCTGGCACAAAGTCGCAGCGATTTCTGGTATTATTTACCCTCGATTCTCGCGATTTTAAAATACGATTTTGGGGAAATGTTTGGATTGTAATTTCGGGCTTAACGCAGGCGTCGCAGCTCTTGGATTGGGCACCTATGGCGCCCATGTCTTCAAACCACAAAACCCTGCTTATAAAGAGGTTGGTTCGTTTGATCTTTCGCTTCTTCGATTCAATTTGGTTTCGCCGATGTGATTCGATTCGATTTTTCATTGAAAATCATCGTCGTGAAGGTTTGGCAAACGGCGTCTCTGTATCATTTGGTTCACACGGCAGCTCTGCTTGTCGCCCCTTCCACCAAGAACCCTAACATTGTAAGCTTTTCCCCCTTTCATTTTTGGGTGTAATTTTCTCCTTGTTTGATCATTTTGGGCAAATAATATCAACATCAAATAATATTAATTGAACTATTTAATACCGCCTAACCTAAAAATTTGAGACCTAATCCTTCCAATCCTTGTTATTATTAGGGTTCAAAAACCCTTTGGTCTGTGTACTTCAATCGATTAAGTCGTAACAATTTAGTTCTTATCGTGATAAATTTTATCAAAATTAAGGGTTGATTTTATGATTCAGTTTCTGTAATTTGTAAATACATTTGTCCCTCTTCAGTAGTATATGGACAGTAGGATATGGACTTACTTCTTACATGTTAAAATTTTAGATACTGAACTGTTACAAATTTAAAAATAAAAGTAGTTACAAATTAAAGTTAAGAGATTAAATCGTTATTTCAATAGAACTACACGGACCAAAAGGTGTTTTTTAACCCTTTTTTTTTCTACCCTTACGTTTTTTTTGGACAGTTTGGAGGGCTTTTGACTGCTGGAATTCTTGCATTTTCTGGCACGTAAGGCCCCTTTTTTCTTTTCATCTTTGATATTTGTTTGTATCTCTCTTTTATATTTTTTTGATAATGCATCCATTTGTCCAAGTTTTTATAATTTTGATTGCCTTTCACAACATTTCCAAATCTGAAGTTTAACATTCATATTCGATATGTTATGTTATAATTGGACAAAGAACTCCAAGAGGAGACTATTGAAAATAATGGTACCCCAAATATTTTCTTGAATGTTTTGGATTAAAAGAAGTAAGTACGAGAAAGAGAAAGTAGGTGTGGACAGAAATTAGTGAGATAAATTGACTAGCTAGGAAGAAAAAGTGTGAGAAAAAAGATATTAGTGAGAGAAAACATGTTTAGAGAAATCACTAATCTAATGATTGAGTCGATTCCGGGATTATAAATACATTTTAATTATGTGATTAGAATGTAAATAGCAAAGAACTTAGAGGAATGAATTCAAACAATGGTGGCCATCTAAGAATTTTTAGGAGATTGGAGAGATCTGTAGATTACGTATGGGATCTTATTAGATTTAACACTTCTTTATGGGGATCGGTCACTTGTAATTATCAGTTAGGAGTCATTCTTTTGGATTGGAGCCTGTTTCTTTAGGGGTGTCCTTTTGCTGGGCTGTTTTTTGTATGCCCTCTTTTTGTAGTCTTTATTCATTTATCTCAATGAAAGTGTAGTTTCTTATTAAAAGAAAAAAAACAATGGTGGTCATCTGTCTAAGACTTAATACCTACGAGTTTCCTTGTCAACCAAATGTAGTAGGATCAGGCGGTTGACTCGTGATTAGTCGAGGTGTGTGCAAACTGACCGGACACACGGATATAAAAAAAAAGAGTACATTCTAATTATGAAAAGTGTGTAAATAGATAATTCGAAGAATATTTAAATAGATACCATGTTTACAATTTACATATGGATCTCTATGTCTTTAAATTCCATCTGTTTTCAGCACATCTCTCGTTATTTGAGACTTTATTCATCAAGAAAAGTGTGTGCATATAGAAATTGATGTAGAAAGTGTGTAACGAATAACTAAAATTTTGATAAGAGAAAATGTGTTATCAAAATGTGTTGTAGGGAGCATGTAGATTGCAGTTAAGGAAATAAAGCTTCTTAGTAGAGACCAAAGGAGCTAGGGTTAATTAAGAAGGAATAGGTTCAAATCCCATGATGGCCACCTACCTTAGGAATTAGTAATTTTTATGTGTTTCCTGGTATCAAATGTTGTAGGGTTAGATAGTTGTCCCGTGAGATTAGTCGAGGTACGCGTAAGCTGGTTCGGATACTCACGCATATAAAAAAAAAAGAAAGTAGAGACTGAGTGAGAATGATGTAGTGTGTAAACTAAAGGCGGTTTGACAAACCACGCATCTGTTACTTCTTCTAAATGCAACTCTCAAGTGCTTCGACTTTTTTAGAGAAACCCATCCTTGAAATGGATTTGTATTAAGACGTGGGGATGGAATTAAGATATTTAAACCATATTAAAAGTTAACAAACCTTCCTCATTATGATGAATGACTTCACCACAAGTTTAATTTCTGTCATTTTGTTCCCAACTTGATGGAGAAGCCAAGGACAAGCAATAATATTCTGCATAGTGCAGCTTTGGATTCAATTTGAGAGCTCCTCCAGTTTCCTTTGACATTTTTATATTGGAACTCATCATTCTATTTAAGGTGAGAATAAGAATGTGTGTGTTTGCAGGTGCTATACTGTGGCACTACTTGAAGACAGAAAATATTCTACTTTAGCTCCATTTGGTGGCTTTGCTTTCGTTGGTGCCTGGGCTAGCCTGCTCTTCTGACTCTACTCGAGTTTCGGTTTTTCGGGTCTCTGATATGGCTGAATTTCGAAGCTCTTGATGAAGGTATATGCTTCTTGTAGGCTTTTCTCCGCTTTTTCTTCTTCCTTCTTTTCTCTCCTTATACTGTGTGAAGCGTATGAAGATTGTAAAGACGTGAAATAATCCGAGTGCAGTATACGCGTTTATGGTGTTAGTTCATGCCATTTCTCACATTCTCGAGTCCATTTTCCTTGTAGATTTTAGTGAAAAAGCACAATGCTTCTGTTACAGGGAAGCTTCAGTGTTATTTTAGCTCTTTACATTACCAAATAGGGAAAAGATTATAATCCTATGGTTCAGAATTATGAAGCTTTTGTTGCTAGATTGTGGGGCAGGGATGTGTTCGTACGCAACATGTGAAGGTGACTTGCTAGCCGATTCATCAATTTTATGACAACGTGTTTCACCAAAATTTTATTCAACTCAACGAAAGATCTTTGACTATATTTTCTTAGTTTTAACATATTGAATCGGAAAGTACAAAATTACTAATTCCAGTTGATTATGTCTCTCATTTTTTATAGTCGATGGACAATAGATGAATGTCCTGGTCTTGAATGATGGAGGAGGCCTGGCCAGTAAGGATAAACTCATGTTTCTGTTTTTTCTCTTTAAATTTTTGTAAAATTTTCATATTTCATACCATTGATCTAAGATTTCAATTCTCTTTATTAGTTCCTAGTGCACAAATTTGTGGATAGCCAATTAAAAATGTTTACCAAATCTTCCACCATTCGGGGATGTTCATATTCTAAATGAATGAAAACAAGCATGGGCGGACACTCAACCCACAATGTTTTTCTTTTTTTTAGTACAGCATGTTGAAACTTACAATCTCTTGATTGAATGTTTATGCCAATTATTGTTGAGCTATGTTCGCTTTGGCTCAAACCACAATGTTTAAAACTAAGTTATTAATCCCTTAAGGCCTGTTTGATAACTATTTTAGTTTTTTGTTTTTGGTTCTTCTTGTTTTCAGTTTTTTATTTTTGGTTTTCTGTTTTTGAAAAACAAAACCATATATGTTTGATAACCATTTTTTGTTTTTTAAAAACAACAAATCAGAACATGTTTGGTAATCATTTTTAGTTTTGTGTTTTTTAAAAGTTAGAAAATTGAAAATAGATATTAGAGAAAGAAAATTTTATGTACAGTAGAGATGATGTGGATGCGAGCGAGGATGCTCTCCTTCATTCTCAAGCTCGTGAAAATTTTTAGTCTCCGTCTTCACCTCGTTCTTCGATCYGAGAGATGTCTCCAGAAAAATTATTGGTTTTATAAATGTTTTTAATTATTTTTAGAATTTAAATATAAAAAAGTGTAATAAATATATATTAATTATTTAAAAAATGGAATCGAGGATGGGTTGGGGTCGTGATGTGCATTTTTTATTTTGGGATTCGGCTATACGGAAATTTTTGTCTTCTCCTATTGTAGAGACATAAAAATAGAGATGCAAATAAACTTTTGGAAAATAAATTTTAGAGAGAAAAATAAAAATGTTAAAAAAAATAGTGAAAAAAAAGTTAAAAACAAAAAGAGAAAATTTTTGGAGAAAAAAATAAAGTCGAGAGGAAAAAACATGTTAAAGAAAAAAAGAAATTATAAAAAAACAGAAAATTATAGTGGAAACAAATTTAGAGTTAAAAACAAGATTCAAAATATAAATTTTATATAAATAAATAAATACAAAGACAAATAAAAGTTAGAGTGAAAGAAAATTGAACGAAAAATAAAATATAATTTTTAAAAGAAAAAAAGATTACGAGGAAACATAAAAATTATAAAATATGAAATTTTCGAGAGAAAAAAGTTAAGAAAAATATTAAATTTTTATAGAGAGAAATGAAACGGATAGGTTAAAAAAAAAACAAAAATAAATATGAGAAAGAAAAAAAAAGGAGAAATGAGATTTTGAAAAACAAAAACATGTTTTTGAATTTTTTGTTTTTGTTTTTAAAATTTTAAAATGATTTTTGAAAAATAGAAAACAAAAAATTAAATTGGTTATCAAACAATCCTGTTTTTTAAAAAACCAAAAACCAAATGGTTATCAAACGGATCCTTAATTAATTAAATTATGTACAAGTCTAATTTTAAAAAATGTCTGGTAGGTCAAGATTTATCAAACATTATAGTTCAGCCATTAAAATATCTTATTCATTTTTTAGAGTTGAAGGCAGCAAAAAAATACTTATTGAGCACAAGATTCATGGACGTATTAATTATTAGATATCTTTTAAAGTTTTGGGATTTAATAGACACAAAATTAGAAATTTAGAAACCTCCACTTATTAAATACAAACTTGAAAATTCAAATGCTAAATTTAATTTTACCAATATTAAAATATTTTTAAAAAGGAAAAAAATAAAAATAAAAAAAGCCTACGGATCCTGGGTGGACTCGATCGCACTGGATTACTCCGATCTCCCGCCGGAGTCTCCCGCTTTCAGCTTTCATTTCTTTCACTTTCACAATCACAAGCCAAAAAGCTTAAACCCTAAACCCCGAAATCCAAAATCTTCTTCTTTTTCTTCATTTGATCTTTGTATTATGCAAAAATGTTCTCTCCTGGTACGAAGAGACGCAATTTAAGCTCTCGGACTGACCGAAGTTCGGCGACAGCCGTGTCCGATTCTCCGATTACACCGCTCTCCGCCGCCCGGAAGCCAGTTCTCGATAATCTCGTTCCCAACCGCCCCGGCACCGGCACTCCGGCTCCGTGGGCTCCTCGCTTGTCCGTACTTGCCAGGTATTATTTATTGTTACAGCTTTAATGTTGCTCATTTCAGTGTTTCAACTCTGTAATGATGTTCGATTCGTGATTGTGTTCGTTTTAGGTGTAGTTAAGTTCGTTTCTGTGGGTTATAGATAACAACTTAATGGAGCCGAACGGTTATTTTCATTACCATGGGATGTCACTTTTGCGGTTCTTTCCTGTGTCTGGTAATTGGAGTGGGTTGATGGCTTTTTAGTGGTATTTTGATAATTGTTGGAATGCGTTCTTCAAGAATAATCTGACGAAGTATAATGTGCCTTCATTTTTTTCCTTTTCTCTCTATTGATTTGTGAGAATGGAGAGTGCTTGTAAAATTATGTGTTGAGAGATGCTTTATTAGTTTCCTTAAGCTGGCACTAATGAATGAGTTACTCGTAAAATCTAAACTTACCTACCCTTCTCGAGTTGACTATAACCACAACTTCTCATTCACTCATCAATTGCTTCTGGCAGCACAACTTACCCCCATGAATGTTTAATTAAATCTTTTTATCTTCCTAGAATTTCACCAGCTAATAGAAGTTCTAAGGAAGATGAGACAGATCCAGTCAGGCCTGTCTATGTTGGAGAGTTCCCCCAAGTGGTTCGTGATGAGCAGGCCAGTCTGGTACAGCAGTTTGCCACAAGTAATGATGTTCAATGCAGCAACGAATAGTTTATAGTTGTTGATGCTACTTTTCCTGGGATAAATGATTGATTTTTTTCCTTGCAGGTGGTGCAAGCATGTCGGGTGGAATGGATGCTGAAACATCCCTTGCTTGGATTATATGCCGAGACAAACTCTTTCTTTGGACATATTTGTTACCTGTGGCCACCATGAAGTGTGTCGTTCGTGAACTTCCGAAAAGAATTTTAGAAAGCAAAGATATTGGTAGAAATGACAGCGATCATTGGTTGCTCAGTATTGTTAGTTGGGATAACCAAAATCAAAGTTCAAGAAAGTCAGCTAAACATCAAAGTTCTGTTGGCATTATAATTTGTAATAAGAAAACAGGAGCTGTTGTGTATTGGCCTGATATCTTCTCGGATGGAGGAACTACTCCAGTTACCTGTCTGACATCTTCTAATGAGCCAGCTGTGATTTCTTCAATTTTTGATGGGAAGAGCACTTCTCATAGGCATCGAAGTTTGAATAAACCAAGGACATTCAACTCTTTGATTGCCTCTGCAGTCCCCGAGTCCCAGTACGTTTGTGTTGCCATTGCATGTAGTTCAAATGGCCAGCTTTGGCAGTACCGCTGCAGTCCTATGGGAATTCAATGTACTGAAGTACCTCAGGATATATGTAGTATTCGCAGTCAAGAGGATGGTAGCAATCAACATTTTGCGAGTGATGGGTATCCTAGGTCTCTAACTTGGTCTCGTTCTCATCTTCAACCAGATAAATTTAACAGAAAGTTTTTGCTTCTGACAGATCACGAGATACAGTGTTTTAGTCTTAAACTTTTTCCTGACGTACAAGTGTCCAAGATCTGGTCTTATGAAATTGTCGGTACAGATAGTGATTTGGGTATTAAAAAAGACCTAGCTGGTCAGAAAAGGATCTGGCCACTTGATTTGCAGGAAGATGAACGAGGTGCAGTTATCACCATTTTAGTTGCTACATTCTGTAAGGATCGCATTAGTAGTTCAAGTTATATACAATATTCCCTTCTTACCTTGCAATACAAATCTGGGGCAGGAATAGAGGCTAGTGGTGACAAGAGGATATTGGAGAAAAAGGCTCCAATCCAAGTAATAATTCCAAAAGCAAGAGTAGAAAATGAAGATTTTTTGTTCTCCATGAGACTTAGGGTTGGGGGAAAGCCTTCGGGATCTGCCCTCATTCTTTCAGGTGATGGAACGGCAACTGTCTCCCATTACTATAGAAGCTCCACTCTACTATATCAATTTGACTTACCTTATGACGCTGGTAAAGTATTAGATGCTTCAGTTCTTCCATCTACGGAGCATGGTGAAGGAGCATGGGTTGTTCTAACTGAGAAAGCAGGAATATGGGCAATACCCGTTAAAGCTATTGTCCTTGGTGGAGTTGAACCTCCTGAACGAAGTTTGTCACGTAGGGGGAGTTCAAATGAACGATCTGTGCAAGATGACACAAGAAACCTCAATTTGTCTGGCAACATTGCTAGTACAAGGGGCAGTTTTGAGGTGCAGGATGTCGTGGACAAGAAAAAGACTACTGTGGCTGGGATTGGACATCGAGTGGCTCGAGATGAAGAAGCAGAAGCTTTGCTGCGTCAGCTTTTCCATGATTTCCTGTCATCTGGTCAAGTAAATAACTCTTTTGAGAAGCTAAAGAATTCTGGTGCATTTGATAGGGAGGATGAAACAAATGTTTTTACACGGATGAGCAAGTCAATTATTGATACTTTGGCCAAACATTGGACTACAACGAGAGGTGCTGAGATTGTGTCGATGACCGTTGTTTCTACTCAGCTGATGGACAAGCAGCAGAAGCACGAAAAGTTTCTCCAGTTTCTTGCTTTGTCAAAGTGCCACGAAGAGTTGTGTTCTAGACAAAGTATGTTTTGACTCATTTAATGCAAATTATTTTTGTGGTATGGCGGTAGATATCTATGGCTGTTAATTTTTCACCTCATATGTATTTTCTGTTATCATGTTTGTTATATTGGCATATATGGTCCAGATGCTCCTTCTGTGTCTTCGGATGTATATTCTAGGGCAATAAATTTCTATTTTCTAATTATTCCTGGCACGGGTTTGAAGTGACGATGGAGTTGGTTTGGTTTGGGACTCAATTTTTGTTATTGGATCGGGTAGGTAATCTTGTGAAGAGAAAATATCAAATTCAAACTACTGAACTTAAACTATGGTCCTTATATGTGTAGGAAATTCTTTGCAAATTATCCTGGAGCATGGAGAAAAGCTTGCTGCTATGATTCAGTTAAGGGAACTGCAGAACACAATTTGCCAAAACCGTTCGACTGGACTTGGTTCCTCAAGTTCTAATTCAGAAACTCAGATGTCAGGCGGTCTATGGGATCTTATTCAATTTGTTGGTGAGCGAGCTCGGCGAAACACTGTTCTTCTAATGGATAGAGATAATCCTGAAGTGTTTTACAGTAAAGTTTCTGAGCTAGAAGAAGTATTTTATTGCTTAGAAAGGCAGCTAGATTATGTGGTAAGTGCAGATGATTCATGTGTGGTCCAAAACCAGAGGGCTTGTGAACTCTCAGAAGCATGTGTTACTATCATGCGTGCAGCTGTGCATTACAGAAATGAGCATCAGTTATGGTATCCACCATCTGAAGGCTTAACACCTTGGTATAGTCAACCGGTTGTACGGAATGGGCTATGGCACATTGCTTCTCTCATGCTTCAGCTTTTAAATGAAGTTTCTGAGCTTGATACATCTGCAAAATCTGATTTATATTGCTGCCTGGAACTATTGACTGAAGTTCTTCTTGAGGCACATGCTGGTGCTGTCACTGCAAAGGCAGAGCGAGGAGAAAAAACTGAAAGTCTTTTACATGAATTTTGGAGTAGAAGGGATGCACTCCTCAGCTCTCTTTATAAAAGAGTAAAAGATTCTGTGGAAGCGGAGCTTAAGGTTATTTTCTTGTGTGATGTGTGCTTCCTTGTGATTGAGGTTCTAGATCTGAATCAATATTAACACATGTTTTTGCAGGATTTTAGGGGAGGTTTGGTGGAGAAAAATGTAGAAATCCTCAGAAAGAATTCGTCACGTCTGTTATCTGTTGCAAAACAGCATGAATGCTACAGCATTTTATGGAATATCTGCTGTGACCTTAATGATCCAGAGCTACTCAGGAAACTTATGGTATGTATTTTTCTCTGATTTCTATGCTTCTACTATACCATTTGATTTTTGCAATTTTTTTAATGGTACTCTTTGTATCATATGGTGCTTGCATTTGATTGTTTATCATGTATGGTGATGCAGCATGAGAGCATGGGGCCTAAAGGAGGGTTTAGCTACTTTGTTTTTAAAAGACTTTATGAAAATAAACAGTTCTCCAAGCTTTTAAGACTCGGAGAGGAGTTCCATGAAGAACTGTTGATATTTTTGAAGGAGCATCCGGATCTTCTGTGGCTTCATGAGCTTTTCCTTCATCAATTTTTCTCAGCTTCAGACACTCTCCATGAATCAGCTCTGTCTGGAGATGACAGGCTTGTTTCGCCCCCTGAAGTTGAGGGAGAATTTGAATCTGACCATTGTAATTTTGAATTAAGATTGGCAGACAGAAAACGCCTTTTATACCTCTCGAAGATAGCTTTAATGGCAGGTACTGTTTTGCTTTCGTCATGTCTGCATTTATCCTTATGCTTTCCCGCAGTTCTTTGTTCTTTTCACTGTTTACATCCTTTCTTACGTTCTTAACATATGTATTTGTGCATTAAGTCAGATAGAAATATAATTGTGCCATGTGGAGTGGAGATTGTTACTCCTGAGTTCTCTTCTACCCGTGTGATTGCTGTATAAAATTTGCTAGAGGATGCTTCTTTTACAATTTTATATAAGAAACCTATAATTCAGAAATAATTAGTATGGAAGGGATGGAAATAGTCAATCTTAGCTGACTAGCTGACTTCATTAGGTGTTGCTAATTCCTACCTCCATGCTAATTGGGAATGTGCTCCCCATTTCACATGCGTATGTATAATCCCAAAATGGCCTAATAGTTTAACTTTATGCTATGTGTCATATTTGAGAATTAGTGATCGAATGTTTATCTTCATTAATTATTTACATTTGTAATTCAGCTTCTCCTAAGTCCTAACCTAGGGTTTGTAGGTTTTTTAAAAGCCTACGACAGTGATGAAAAAAAATGGCAGAAATACTATGTAGATCATCATTTGAGATATATCCTCAATATATGCTAGTATCTTTCTTTACTGATATGTAATGGTCGTTGGCGGCTTCTGAAACCAAATTGTCTTTATTTCTACTGTTCTAATATAGCAGCAGCAGGTCAAAATGCTGAGTACGAGAGTAAGTTGATGCGTATTGAGGCTGATGCAAAGATACTTAAATTACAGGTTGGTTTTCTTTATGATATAGTGAGCTTGATTGAACCTGCTTAAATCCTTATATTTTTTCAGTTCTGATTTTTGGATGATTTCTTCTCATCCTATGATATATAACCTTCATTGAATTATTGACTTTTGTCTTATTCTGATCTTAAACTATGGAACTTATATTTTCTTAATATGTTATGCTTTAGAAGAACCTATACTTTATTACTAAACTTTTTTTAACTATTAGAGATTGAAGAAGAGAAGGGTCATTTTATAATTATCAGAGATTAGTTGAGATACGTGCAAGCTAGCTTGAACGCTTATGGATATCAAATATATATCTTTTTTGTTATGGAAATAATTCATAGGATTGAGCTTAAAAAATATGCTGGTCTTCCTTTTTAGGCACGGGGAGGACTACCCAAAATATTTGAATGTGATTGGTGTAACTAATCAAGCTCTTCTCCCTTTTGATCTTATGAACAATAAAGTTTCTAGCTTACCTTGTTCATTGCCTGGCGGTTCCATACCTGATGGTTGATTCGTCCTCTCTTGTAGGAAGAAATTTTAGATCTCTATCATGCCGTTGAAACAGAGCAGCAGCTCGACTGCAAGCTCCTCCACCCCGACGGCCTTATTCAACTATGTCTCAAAGGTGAAAACCCAGCACTCTCATTGATAGCCTTTGACATATTTGCCTGGACCAGCACCTCATTCCGAGAAACCCACCGAAAGCTTTTGGAGGAATGCTGGAAAAACGCTGCGGATCAAGATGACTGGAATCGACTATATCAAGTATCAGTAGCAGAAGGATGGAGCGACGAGGAGACACTAAAAAAGCTGAGAGAAACAACTCTGTTCAAGGCTTCAAGCAGGTGTTATGGACATGGAGCAACAGAAGTATTTGGAGATGGATTTGATGTGGCATTACCCCTAAGACAAGAAAATGAAATTGCTGAAAGTTCCTCATTGAAGAACTGTGCAGGTTCTGTAGAGGCAATTCTGATGCAACACAAGCATTTTCCTGAAGCAGGGAAGTTAATGGTGACTGCCATTATGTTGGGACTGGATTTGGAAGATGATCCTATTTTAATGGAATAAATCACTCTACAAACACTATCCAATTTTTTACTCTAACTTTCTTGAATTCTGCATCCTCCAAATTCTGTATATTTTTTTAGGTTTGATTGAGATTTTTCGAAAATGACGTGTCACTATGTCGGAATTGTATCAGTGTCTTTCTTGTGTTTGCATTCATGCTTCCATAGGAGGAAATAATTGTAGCATCATCATATAGATGATAGAGGTGATGGAAATGGTCAATATTTGTTCAAAATGTCAATATTTTGTTTTCAGAATTTGGCTTCCATAAGTACATATTATATTTTAGATTAATTATCCGTGTAGTTGTAATTTGTAATTTCTAACTTCAAAAAATAAAAAAGGTTGATTTTCACACGCAACCGCGTTACCAAAAATAAATTGGCTAATTTTTTTTAATAGCATTAAATGAGTCTATTAGATAAAATAGCAATATTAGCTTCAATCATTTTTACAAAATAAATCTCAAACTCCTCGTTTAAATTTTGATTTAATCTCGACGGTCCAAATATAATTAGACTATGAAAAAATAATAAATATACAACATATTGAGTATAGATAAAAACATATTCTTATTTTTTTATATAACTTTTTTTTTAATTTAAGCTTTTTTTTTTATCGAAATTTCAATTTAAGCAATTAGTTGTGTTATAGGGAGATCAGATGTGATCCAACTAAACGACAAGAGGCCGAAATTGAGCCGAGGGTGGAGAAGACCTAGATATGCAAACTAAGCTAGGAGGCTGAGACACAGAAGTTGGGCAACCCGAATCAACCAAGGCCAACCACTGTTTGACGTCGACCAATTGACCGACGAGCGATAACTCCAACAACAGCTCTCCAATTATTATGCATCCCAGTCTGAACCTATCTTGTCTTGGTGAAATCCAAAACAGGCACTCGATCCAACTTTAGGTCCACAACAAAGTGCGCAGGCCCTAGATTTCCTAAGACCATCAGGATTCGACTCCTATAAATATAAAGGTAAACAAAAATCAAAGAGATACGCCAAAAAAAAATCCTATCCTTCCTATTCGACTGGTTCGATTCTAACTTAAGTATCGAAGCTTGATTTTGTAGAACCTAAGTTCGTCTCGTATTTCGTTTGGTGCAAATTTGACGAAATTGAATTAGGCATCAACAAGTTGGACTCATAAATTTATGTTATACTAATACACAAACAAAAATAATTAACATAAAGTGTATTTATTATCATTAAAATATTAATTAATTAATCGAAATTATTATTTTTTAATTTTTTTTTTTGCAAAGGTAATCGAAATGAATTTTTATAAATTAACTCGTAAACAATATAAATAACAAAATCATATGTGTGACCATGCGACACGTTTTATTAGTATAAAATATAGGAGTGAAAGATTCGAATTTAGAATCTTTAGTTAACCGTTAAATTCGCCACTAAAAATAATTAACCTCTAAATTCATGTTGTTCGCGCCACAAAGTCAAAGGAAGGAATTTGCGAATTTTCCCAAATGTTGACAAAAATGTCAAGACATTTGACAGAATCTGTAGATGAATTCGTATATTTAGTGTCGGACTCATTTGTTGCTTTCGACATGTTCAAGAAACGATTCGATTCTTGTGGCTAAATCGATAAGGATCTGTGTAAATTCTCGATATCTTAGTGTTCAATTCGTCTCTCTGGATTGGATAATCCACTTCTCTGAAACTAAGGTATGTACAAACAAGTGGTTGTTTGAAAAGAATTCGTCGATTTTTTTCTTGATTGCTAGTCCTGTGGATTCAGTCTGATGCTTTCGACAAATGTTGATGATCTTGCTACTGAGGATGGAGCTCGACCACTTTTGGCTGTTACCGCCACCACCGGCGGCACTTCCTACAAGCCTCTCGGCTTCCGGCAACTAATCTTAACCGTACGCTTCGTGATATGCCTGAGGAAAACCAGATCGCCGCCGTCGGTTAATCAGCCCAGCAGAACCTCCTCTTCTCGATCGTACACGGCTGTTGAAGTACATTCAGATGATAAGGAGGATGAAAGGGAGATAAAGAAGCAGGATCTTAAGCTGATTGTGAAACGGATGGATTTTGAAGCGCTAGAGCAGTTTGGCGGTGTTGAGGCAGCTGTCTCATTTATGCGTTCCGAGCCACAGGTAACGTTCGTTCATGCAATGAATCTCTTACTCGAAAATCTGTAGCTGCTTTCGATTGTTACGTTATGATTATGGTTTTGGGAATTTGGCTTGTTTGGTATTTGAATTTTGTTTCTCACGGCTCTAGGGTTCTGCAAAGGGTGGTTTCGAACTATCAGTTCGTACGACAAGCATCTGGGACTCTGTTTTTCTTTTTTCCGAAGGATTCTGGTACTCTTTGTGGCTGTCCTTAAACAGCTACTCGATCTTCCTCCTCCTAATTGCTTCTGGTTTGTCTTTTGCTATTGGATCGTTGCAACAAGGACTTAAAGATGGATGGCATGATGGCATTGGTACACTCGTTGCAGTTATTTTACTTGTATTTCTGCCTTCGGTGGTAGGTTTTTATCGGAAAATAGCAGAGGAGAAGGAGCTTTTGAAGACTAAGAACAAGTTGGAAGTGACTGTGGAAAGAGGCGAAACATGCCAAATAGTCTCTGTTTCTGATGTTAAGGAGGGCGAGTTAATACGTTTGAAGAAGGGTGACCGTGTTCCTGCAGATGGGTTGCTGATAAGAGGTGAAACTCTAATTTTGGATGAATTAATAAACCCGGAAATTAACGCTGATCGAAATCCATTTATATTTTCTGGTTCTGTGGTTAAATATGGCAAAGGGGTCATGATTGCGATATCTACTGGTGCTGATACTGCTTTGCAAAAGGGGTTGCTCGGTGCCACTGTTCATCCTTCAGAGGAGACACTGTTGCAATCTCGGATGAACAAACCATATGAACTTGTCGAAAAGCTTGTTCTTGCAGTGTCCTTAATGATTCTTTTTGTAGTTCTCGCACGTCTTATATGTAAAAAGCGTGATGATTACTACAACGATAAACCGGAAACAAAGCGGGAAGTAACGATGGGCCTCATGGCAAATGTTTTTGAAAGACTTTTCGTTAAATCTTGGCAGAAGATTTCCTTCTTGGCAACTTTTCTCTCAACCATGTTAATAGGAGTACAAAATGGGATACCTTTTGCAATCACAGTTTCCCTCTGTATGTGGAGGGAAAAGATAAGATCATATGGAGGGAAGTCCCAAAATCTGTCAGCTTGTGGAACAATGGGCCTTGTTTCAGCAATCTGTGTTGACATCTCTGGTAAGCTATCATTTCACGAGGTAGAGGTAGATGAGATTTTGATTGGGAAAGAAAAATTAAAACTTCGACTGCTTGCTGAAAGCCTTCATCCTCATATTCTTGAAGGCTTTCAGCAAGCAGTCGAAGTTTTAATTTTTGATCCCATGACTTCTGTTCATTTTGGAAAAAAATTTCTCAGTTCATGGGAAAATTCAGGATTGGGAATGAATATTGAACCTCTTGGTCCCAAGTTTGATATTATTGATCATAAAATTTTGAGCACAAGAAATTGCTTTGGAGCATTGATGAGGAAAAGGGAGGGTGCTGAAGCAAATCTTCATTTGCACTATAATGGGGATGCATCAACTATTCTGAAAATGTGCTCACAATACTATGATATCAGAGGCATAATACATGACATGGAAAACCATAGAGATTTCTTGGAAAAAGTGATTAATGATATGACAATTAAAGGTTTAAGACCCATTGCATTTGCTTGTAAAAAGACGAATGACCAAGTGTTTGAAGAAGGAGGGCTGAAGTTGCTGGGATTCGTGGGTCTGAAGTACTCGTGTCAAAAAGTAAAGGGGGCCTTGAAAGATCTCAAAGATCTTGGTGTAAAAATCACACTAACATCAGAAGATGAGCTTTGTGTGGCCACAGCCATAGCTGTTGATCTTGGAATTCAGTGTGGCTCCAACAACCAAGTGGTTGAAGGTGAGAAATTTAGGGAAATAATGAAGAGTCCTGGAATGGAGAAAAATGAGCTAATGGAGTCAATTACTGTCATGGGGAAGGCAACCCCTGAAGACAAGCATCTCTTACTACAAGAATTGAAAGCCTTTGGCCATGTTGTTGCTTTGTTGGGAGGTTTGAAAACAAGTGATGCTCCAACTTTGAGGGAAGCTGATGTAGGGGTCACAGAGGAGAACTGGAGCACTGAAGTATCTGGAATGGTTTCTGATCTCACTGTTGAAGCTCCCAAATCCTTAGCTTCGATACTTAAATGTGGTAGATGCGCTTACCTGAACATTCAAAAGTTCTATCAAATTCAGCTCACTACATCCATCTCTGGTCTTCTGATAACCTTGTTCTGCACCTTTATTTCTGGAAACTCTCCAATAACGACAGTGCACCTGATCTGGGTGACTTTGATTATGAGCCTTCTCGGTGGCCTGATGATGGTAATGGAATTGAATGAAGAGGAAGTTAAAAGCCCTCTAGAAGGCGATAGGAATCAATCTCTCTTAACCAAAGACATTCTGAAGAAGATTGTAATCCATGTGTTATGTCAAACTCTTCTTTTCCTGCTATCAGAGTATGTGGGACAAAAAGTTCCTCTACCCAGCATGAACGAGGACGTGCGACATACCATGATTTTCAATACCTTCATTCTTTGGCAGATTTGCGATCTGCTTGGTGTTATGGGACTGGCAACAGAGGGGGTTGTAGTTTTTAAGACTGTGCTGCAAAGCCACTGGTTTCTGATTTCTTTGGTGGGTGTATTGAGCGTGCAGGCGATGGTTATCGAGTTTGCTGGAGCGATTGTCAATGGTGTGAAACTGAGTGCAGTGCAATGGGCCATTTGTTTCTTTTTTGCATCACTGGCATCGATACTAGAATGGGCTCGTAACACTTTCTTAGCCGTACTTGCCACTTTGTCAGCTGAGTTGAACACCGTTTTCTTAGCATCTTTGATGTTTGTATTCTCAGTAACATTTGGTATCCATTTGATCTCGTAAATTGTCTGAAACTGTGCAGTTTAGTTCTAGTGCCGCCCTAAACATAGTTCAAGTGGCAGCCATCTGTAAGTACCTATAATCTCCTTTTTTTGGCCCCTCATTTACAATGAAAATAAAATTTTGCTGTTGCAGCAGAGACCCTTGTACCATTTGTTAAATATCCCTTCATTCTTTTGGCAGTATAATCTTCTCCTTGAATCTTGATTACCACATTCGATACACATCCATTACATGTATACATCACTTTCCATTGATTATAATGCTTCTTCTGAGAATTGACTTTATTTGGAGACTAGAAAACGTCAGAGAAACAACCCTGTTCARTTTTAACAGATAGATAGTGTTGGGAAAAGTGGAGTAAAAAAAATAAAGAAGGACAAAAAACATTTTTTGTCCCTCCACTTTGGCTATTTTGGCTAAAGTAACGGTCCCTATACTTTCATATTGGTATCAATTTCGTACTTGAACTTTAATATGTAACAATTTAGTTCTTGTAATTTAAAGTTGGTAACAATTTAATCCTTATCGTTAAATTTTTTTGTTAAGTTTTTTATATATATTGATAGATAAACTAAAGAGGGACCAAATCTGTCTATAACTAGAAATATTAAATTATTATATGATAAAATTTGACACTTAATTTGAATAAAAAATTTTTCGATAGGGACTAAAATGTTACAAATTTTAAACTATAGATATTAAATCGTTAAAGTTTAGGATTAAATTGTTGGACCCAATATTTTTTTGAATCGAAAAAGAAAATGATAAATTGTTATTGGGCCAGCGAAAACATAAGGCCCAACTTTAGTTTTCTTCTCCGTTAGGAGAGAGAGGTTCGTGGTCGCCATTTCTGACTGAGAGGAGAAGAAACTTTTGGTGGCCGCCATTTTTGGCAGAGAAGAGAAGAAAGTGAGAACTTGCCCAGCAAAGCATCGTCGGCATTCAATTCCCACGAATTCTGGTAAAGTTTTTCATTCTTTAAAAATAAACAAAAATTAAAATTACAACGACTAAAATAGATATTTTAAAAAAATATAAATACTAAAATGAATTAAAACGGAAAGTACCAAGATAGGAATTGTATTTAAACCAAAATCATGGTACAAACGCTATCAAATTTTTGGCTGTAACATTGTTGAACTCAGCAACATCCAAATTCTGTTCATTATTATTATGCTTCAGAAGAGAATATCATTGATTTGGTTTTCAACTTTTGACTTTTCTCAGGTTTTTTGAGTTATGATGGTTGATAATGAGAATTATAATGCTTTAACTAGTTGATCTATCCACAATCGACAATCGTGTGGAAAGAAATGATGCCTCAGTTCCCTTAGAGGAATGTGTGATTAAATGATCTAGATCAAGAAAAATAAAAGGAACAGGAGGAGAATTCTTTTTTTCTTTATTGTATGAGCTTGGATGACAATAGCGAAATGATTATAACCAAGTTAAAATATACATTTGGCCTATGTACTTTCGTAAAAGTAACAATTTAATACATATTAACGTAAGTCTTACGTCAAAGCCAACATAGCTTAACGGTAATTGATATATATTTTCATAACATTTATTTTAATCCTTTAACTTTCAAATTTGTCAAATTTTTAACACAAAATTTTATATGCAATAGAAACCTTTAATATAAATTTACGACCATATTTCAAAAAATTTATTGAGCAAAGTRTTATTCTCAAATTATGATCTAGAGAAATAAGGTAAAAATAAAAATAAATAAACAAAAATGATCACCTTTTAAAAATAAAATAACTAAAATTAATAAAAATTAAAAAGTACACATACTAAAATAAACATTTAGAAAGTACACGAATCAAAACGGTATCAAATCCTTCAGGTATACACTCTAATTTCTTGTTCTATTTGGAATATCAAATTTGAAAGTTTGATTTTTTTAGTTGCAATCCCTGTTATGTAATTCCAGAATCTGAAAAAAAAAATATATTTTTTCCTTATGTTTTGGATAGGTCCATTATTCAGAATGTTGCAATTTGTCAAATTTATTATATTATATGATAGTAACCAACTCCACGTCTTTATAATATATACTTTTAATGTCCAACATCACTTTTTGGATTTTTGTTGCCTTTTGTCTTTTCCCGGACATTCTCTTAATAATGTTTCTTTTAAAACTTTTTCTAAAAATATATTCTCCATCGAACCATTTTCAAAAATAATGTTTTTGTAAACAGTTGAATTGGAAAGCTACACATGTTGTAAGTGGCTTGATGAGGATAACTAAGCTGACACGTCGGAGTTGGCTGCTGGCACAACAGGGTGTGCCTTACCGCACCGCAGGTGAACGCGCGGTAGCGTTCGTGGTGGTGCTTCAGGATTCCAATGTACTGCATCCAAGATCAGAACGAGCTTGCCGGCGGACCACTGCCGTCCCATTCTTGAGTGAGCTGGAGCGCAACCATCTTATCCACTGAACTGGCGTATGATGAAAAATTGTTATGTGGAGGTTTTGAACTCTGAATGTTATAATTAGAATATGAATTTTCATCAAAGTGGTGAAAGGAAAACAAGCAGTGAGTGATTGGCCAATTGAAAATCGATGACTCAACACTTGAGTTGCAGTAAATGGAATAAGCGTACATTTGACTAGAATCCAAGATACCATATGATTTATTTTTTTAAAATTAGATTTAAATTTTAAAATGTTTAATAATAATTAGATAAATTAATTTTTTATTGGTGGTTTTCAAGATTTTGTTAATTTTTTTAATTAAATTTAACTTAAAAAGGTCTGTTTTTAATCATTTCTTTTAAGACTTGGTGAGATGTTTTAGTTAAATTTAATTTAACGTTTGTTTTTAAAAAAGAAATTTCTTAATAATTCGTTTGTTAAGATTTGTTAGATTTTTCAGTTAAATTTAATTAAAAGTTAAAAAAAAAATCTTGGGATGCCAGACCTGAGTTAATAGATTTTGAAAAGAAAAAAAAAATTCAAGAAAGGACCTGCACTGTCACATCACCAAATCGTCTAGATGGCAAATTATTTCCACCTTCATGTGAGAATATGTGAGAATATATTTTTGGAAAAAGTTTTAAAAATAATGTTATTAAAAGAAATCCAGGTTTTCCCACCTTTCTTTGATTCTGTCCATATAAAATATTTATTAAAAAAAAGTGATTAAATTATAGTTTTGTTGGAGACAACTTATCAATTTATCTATTATTTAAAATTGGTTTTAGTCAAATGGTTTTTTTTTTTTATTATCTTAATTTTGGGTTTATAATTTAATTTGGTGATGCTCGCACCAGCAACTATAATTGACATTTGTCTTCTACTAAGAACTGTGAGTTCGAATTTCTACTCTATTTATGGTAAAAAAAAGTTAAACATTCAAAATTTAAAGGATTTTTAGTTAAAGAATTTTTATTAATAGAGTATAACTTAGTGGATAATGTATTTATTATTTTCTTCAAACTAATTTTGGTTTCAATAGATGCTCCCGTTAGCATGGTACTATATATATTAAGATATCATATTTTTTTTAGTGCAGCTCGAGGAGAAGATAGGCAGCTCGACTCCTCGAGTCGTTCGCCCATTAAAGCGGTACGTAAGCTGGGTTCAGAACGTCGTGAGCCCGCCATGTCTTCAAGAACACCTCCATGGATTTCGGGGATGGTTACTAGAAGGAGTCTCCGGCATTGATTTCTTAGTCGAGCCTTGGTCACTACGTTGGCCTTATTTGCCAACATTTCAGATAGTTGGTGGATCGGATCCTCGCATCATTTTTCTTTTATTAAAAGTAAAAAGAATAATATTTATCTCTTAACGGGGAGGATGAATTTTGTTGGTCGTTGCCAATTTAGACAATAATCATAATGGTAATAATAATAATAATTAATATTTTGAAAAAAAAAAGTTATCTGTAATAGCCAAAAGTAAATATTATTGTACTAAAAAAATAAACACTATTAAAAGCAAAATAAAGATAATAAATCAAGGGATTATTATAAAATAATCTTAGACAGTCTATAGGCTTTTTTTTTTTTTCTAAACATATGTTTTGATCTCTAATTTTAGTAAATATCGTGTAAAAAATTTCAATTTAATCCATTATCTTTTAATATTTCTCAACTTAATCACTCAACAGCATGTTAAAATTGACCGATGAATAATGATAAATTTTCATAACACAATACTTAGTGAATTAATAAGCGGAAAACTCGACACTACTACAAAATTTATAAGATAAATTAGAAATTTTAACAGTTTCATCTTTAAAATTCAATAAATTTATTAAACTTATTCTCGGTCAATTTTAAAATTCAATAAATTTATACTCAGTCAATTTTAACATTCACATCTTAGAAAAATAAAATTAAAAAAAAAAAGTTAAAATATATTGTGTATGTGTCAGGTATGACAGTTATTAAACCGTTCGTGGAAGAATCCAAACAAAATTCTCGATCGTTACTCCATTTCCACTGTACCACTTCTCTGAGAAATTGATGGATTGAAGTCCGCCACGCGGTTACCGGAATTTTCCCGGAAGGATCCCACAATGTGGACTTTGGAGATGAGAACTATTGCTCATCGATTTTTCTCCCTTTAAATCTTCGATTAATTCTTAGCATTTCCCAATTTTAACTCATTTTCTTCTTTTCGTCCTGCAGAATCAAGGGTAATGGTTCAGATTAAAGCTCATGATCTTGCTTCTGAAGACGGCGTTCGACCACTTCTGGTGGTTACCGCCGCCGCTGCCGGTGGCTGCAGTAGTATTCCCTATAAACCCCTCGGCTTCAAGAAACTAGTCTTGTGCGTATGCTTCGTAATCGGCCTGAAGAGGACCACAGCACCGCCGCCGGTTAATCAGCCGAGCACCAACAGAACCTCCTCTTCTCGATCCTTCACGGCCGTTGAAGTAGATGCAGAAGGCGAAGGGGACGAAATTAGGGAAATCGAGAGGCCGCCAATTGAACGGATTGTGAAAGAGAGGAATTTAGAAGCCCTAAAGAGGTGCGGCGGTGTTGAGGCGGCAGTCTCATTTCTGCATTCTGAGTCACCGGCGCAGGTAACGCATATAGCTGCCCTGCTTCTGATTGTTACGATATGATTTATGTCTTTTTGAGTTTAGGACTGTTTGGCGTTTGAATTTAGTTTCTCGCGTCTATAGATTGCTGCAATTGAGGGTTCGGAACTATCGGTTCGTGGGGTAGGCTCTTTTTTTCTTTTTTCGAGAGAATTCTGGTACTCTTCGTGGCAGTCCGCAAATAGCTGCACGATCTTTGTCCTCATTATTGCTGCTGATTTGTCTTTGGCCATTGGATCGTTGGAACAAGGACTTGAACATGGATGGCATGATGCTGTTGGTATACTTGTTGCAGTTTTTGTACTTGTATTTTTCCCTTCGGCCATAAGCTTTCACCGGAAAAGAGCAGAGGAGAAGGAGCTTTTGAAGATTGGGAATGAGTGGAAAGTGAATGTAGAAAGAGGTGGAATACGCGTAACGGTCTCTGTTTTTGATGTTAAGGTGGGAGAGAGAGTACATTTGAAGGAGGGTGACCGTGTTCCTGCATATGGGTTGCTGATCAGTGGTAAAAATTTGACTGTGGATGAAGTAATAAACCCGAAGATTGATCCTGATCAAAATCCATTTCTATTTTCTGGTTCTGTGGTTGAATGTGGCGAAGGGGTCATGGTTTCAGTATCTACCGGTGCCGATACAGCTTTGAGAAAGGGGCTGCTTGATGCGGCTGTTCATCGTTCACAGGAGACGCTGTTTCAATCTAGAATGAACAAACCATATGAATTTATCGAAAAGTTCTCTCTTTCTGTGTCTTCAACAATTCTTGTTGTAATTCTAACACGTCTGATATGTAAAAAGCTTGATGATTTCTACAATGATAAGCCCGAAACCAAGGGAAAAGTCACGATGGGTGTCTTGGCGAATGTCTTCGAAAGAATGTTCCTTAAATCTGGGCGAGGAGTATCCTTCTTGGCAACTGTTCTCTTGACCATGGTGATAGCAATACAACATGGGATGCCTTTTTCAATCATAATTTCCCTCTGTTTATGGAGGGAAAAGATAAGAAGATCTCATGGAGGGAAGTCTCGGAATCTGTCAACTTGTGGAACTTTGGGCCTTGTTTCAGCAATCTGTATTAACATCACTGGTGAGCTATCATTTCACGAGGTAGAGGTTGGAGAGCTTTTGATTGGGGAAGAAAAGATCAACCCTGGTATGGGATTTCATCCTGATATTCGGGAAGGCTTTGAGCATGCAGCCAAAGTTTTACGTTTTGATCATGTAATTTTGGGCTCAAGAAATGGCACTAGAGCACTGAACAGAAGTAGGGATCCAGAGGCAAATATTCATTTGCACTACAATGGGGATGCATCAGGTATTCTGAATATGTGCTCACAATACTATGATATCAGAGGCACAATTCATGAAATAAGGAACCGGAAGGATTTCTTTGAAAAGGTGATTAATGATATGAGAAATGACGGTTTAAAACCCATTGCATTTGCTTGTAAACAGACGAATGATCAGGTGTCTGAAGAAGGAGGGTTAAAGTTGCTGGGATTTGTGGGTCTTAAGTACTCATGTCAAAATATAAAAATGACCTTCAAGGATCTCAAAGATGTTGGTGTAAGAATCATACTGACATCAGAAGATGAGCTTTCTGTGGCCACAGCCGTAGCTGTTGATCTTGGAATTCAGTGTGGCTCCAACAACCAAGTGGTTGAAGGTGAGAAATTTAGGGAAATAATGAAGAGTCCTGGAATGGAGAAAAATGAGCTAATGGAGTCAATTACTGTCATGGGGAAGGCAACCCCTGAAGACAAGCATCTCTTACTACAAGAATTGAAATCCGACGGCTATGTTGTTGCTTTCTTGGGAGGTTTGACAAAGAGTGATGTTCAGACTTTGATGGAAGCCGATGTTGGGGTGACACTACAAAACTGGAGCACCGAAGTATCTCGAACGGCTTCTGATATCATTTGTGAAGATGCTACATCCTTGAACCCGATACTCAAATGTGGTCGATGCGCTTACCTTAACATTCAAAAATTCTATCAAGTTCAGCTCATTGCTTCCATCTCTGGGCCTCTGATAACCTTAGCCTACACCATGGTTTCTGGAAAATCTTCAATAACGACAATCCACCTTATCTGGGTGACTTTGATTATATGCCTTCTTGGTAGCCTGATGATGGTAATGGAATTGAATGGTGATAAAGTTAAACACGTTCTAAAATGCGGTAGGGATCAATCTCTCATAACCAAAGTTATTCTGAAGAAGATTGTAATCCATGTCCTATGTCAAGCTCTTCTTTTCTTGCTATCAGAGTATGTGGGACAAAAGATTCCTCTGCCTAGCATGAACGATGATGTGCGGCATACCATGATTTTCAATACCTTCATTCTTTTCCAGATTTGCAATCTGCTTGCTGCTATGGGACTTGCAACAGAGGGGATTGTAGTTTTTAAGGCTGTGCTGAAGAGTCTCTGGTTTATGATTTCTTTGGTGGGTGTATTGGTTGTGCAAGTGATGGTGATTGAGTTTGCTGGAACAACTGTCAATGGTGTGAGACTAAGTGCAGTGGGCTGGGCTGTTTGTTTCCTTTTTGCATCACTGACATTGACACTAGAATGGGCCAAAAGAATCTTCTTACCGGTACTTGCCACTTTGTTCTCTATTGCACATATATGTTTTATGTTCGTCGTTTTAATACCATATAGATTTAGTGTCATCCTAAGCATAACTCAAGTGGTTTGATATTTATACTCCCTTTTATGATGGTACATTTGCATGTAATAATCTAAAAAAGTCATGTTTCATGTAGCATCAATGGTGGTAGATTGATAATTCTTGGTTTAATTTATTAATTATTTTGGTTCATAATGAGTTGTTTAGCATACTAGGTTAGTAAGTTAACCTATCAATCCTCTATAAGTAGAGGGTTCATCTATTGTATTTGTACCCTTTGAATAAAATATTATTTTGTTGGTTCTCTTGGTTCCATTAATTTTAGTTGGTCGAACGTAACCTTTGTTAAAATTTCATTTTCAAATGGTTTTGATTTGTTAAATTGCTGGATAATTTTCATTTTTTACATTTGCAATAGTTGCTCCTTGGATACCATATTCAATGAGCACTCATGAGATGTATACGTCACTCTTCATTATCCAATTTGAATCTAGCTCAGTAGATAAGACACCCACTCTTTCTTATAGAGTTGGAAATTTCCCATTCAAAAAACAAAAATATGAATATTGCATCATTATATTTCAGTTTTGTGAATAAAACTAACTTATTCAAATTCCAGTCTTCAAACAAGTATAATGAAAAACCAAAACTTCTTCCCAAGATATATTTAAAAACAAGTCTTCTGGTATTGGTCAGTTGGGCCACTTCAATTAGAGTTTTGGGCTTATTGTGCCTCATCAGTTCGTTCGGCCCATCAAAAGAATTGGATTTAGTACAATGACTAAATACTTGTGGCTATGTGGACCGACCCCACCAATATCTTGGCTGCCACGTGGCTTGACGATACGCCATAAATAATCTGCATGAGAATCTGGGTTTAAGCAGAAGGACCAATAGGATGCTGCTGACGTGTAGCTATCCTAATCCACTATATCTTTCCATCCCCAATATAACCTTCATTTCCACTACCACAATTCTCGTCTTAAACCAGCCTTCAGCCCCCCTTTGGCATTGCATCTTCTTCTAAGAAGCTTCATAGAAAAATATGGCCACCTCTGCCATCCAACAGTCTGCCTTTGCCGGCCAGCCTGCCTTGAAGCAGTCCAATGAGCTCGTCCGGAGGGTTGGCGCTGTCGGTGGCGGCCGCTTCACCATGCGCCGAACTGTCAAGAGTGCTCCACAAAGCATATGGTTAATCTCCCTTCCCTAAGCTCCACATATTCACTTTAACTGTTAAAATATCAGAGCCCTGATGTTTTTTCTGCATCTTCATGCTAGTAGTAGCTTGGCCATTTTTGCTATGTGCTGTAAAATATGGTGTTTTCCTGCATATTGGACATGATGAGTTAAGAAAAAGATCAGTTCATTCAACACAGACCCCATTATAAGATGTTAGTTAAGTAGGAAGATTTAATTTCCATACACACTAGGCTTGAAATTCAAATGCCTGTTTTTGATGAAACAGGTACGGCCCAGACCGCCCAAAATACTTGGGACCATTCTCTGAACAAACACCATCTTACCTGACTGGAGAGTTCCCTGGTGACTACGGATGGGATACGGCCGGTCTATCAGCAGATCCCGAGACTTTTGCGAAGAACCGTGAGCTTGAGGTGATCCACTCCCGATGGGCCATGCTTGGTGCATTAGGTTGTGTCTTCCCTGAAATCCTTGCAAAGAATGGTGTCCAGTTTGGTGAATCAGTTTGGTTCAAGGCTGGTTCTCAGATCTTCTCTGAGGGTGGTCTTGATTATTTGGGCAACCCCAACCTCATCCATGCCCAGAGTATCCTTGCAATCTGGGCTTGCCAGGTTGTGCTTATGGGCTTTGTCGAAGGTTACCGGGTTGGTGGCGGTCCCCTCGGTGAAGGACTCGACCCAATTTACCCTGGAGGTTCCTTCGACCCACTTGGATTGGCAGATGACCCAGATGCATTTGCTGAGTTGAAGGTGAAGGAACTAAAGAATGGACGCCTCGCAATGTTCTCCATGTTTGGATTCTTCGTTCAGGCTATTGTCACGGGAAAAGGTCCGATTGAGAATCTCTTAGACCACATCGCAGATCCTGTTGCCAACAACGCATGGGCTTACGCCACCAACTTTGTCCCCGGAAAATGAAGAAACCTATAGGAAACAATTCTCTGTTTTACCATAATCTTCTCACATTTCCTCCAAATCTCATGTTGTGGCCTTTATCAGTGCTGATGTAATTTCTCCAGTAGAAACTTCCTGCAATTAAATTGTATCATTAAAGTTGAGAGTTCCTTGTGCTTTGTATTGTTTTCATATATAGAATTTCAACCCATTGCACTAGATGGCACATACTATTTGCAGGTCTGAATACAGATTGCTTAACTCCAAGTAGAATTTCAAAATCACTAGGAAGGCTTTTCCTTTAAATCGTTTGAGACATAAGGAAGCTAAAACTATGAAGCTTTTTACAAAACTGATAAGCTTATACAATTTTCCAAGAAAGACCACTATGCTACTTCCTTAAGATGTATTAAATTGCAAAGATGGAATTTACCTGGAACCATGAAGATGAGGATTTGATGAACATGAAGCTACACGATCAAGCACGAAGGCAAGCTTAACGACCAGCTTAGAAGAGAAGTTACCAAAAATCTTTACAAGAACAAGACCCACTTTTAAAGTGATGGAATCGACTACCGTCTCTGATAATGATCTCACGGTTATATATATGGGAAAGAAGTTTGCTAACAGTGTGGCAATCGTTGCAAATACGAAGATTTTTTATGATGCGGACGGGATTTCCATGCTTGATATTGATAAGACCAAAAGCTATTGCCAACCTCTCACTATGGGTTTCAAGCTCTGATTCTTTCTCATTATCATCTTCAAGGCACAAAAGAACTTGAGTTGTGTCGGGAACATGTCCAGCTACGTTCAATTTCTCTTTCATCTCACTCAGTTTGATGTATATCTCTTCTGTTTGAGGATGTGACCTATCACCCACAATGAATTCATGAACTGAACCTTGATGCTCAATGGAACTGCATCCTGGATCCTTTCTGATTCCTTTTTTCTTCATCATTTCTCTTACTTGCCGAACTTTTTCCCACAAGCCAGCTCCAGCGTACATGTTCGAAAGGATAATATAACATCCAGTAGTATCTGGTGCCAGATCAATCAGATGATGAGCCGCATATTCCCCCATTCTTATGTTTCCATGTTTCCTAGAACCACTTAGTAGACTCATCCAAATAACTTTGTTTGGTTTGATGGGCATTCTCTCAATAGTATTCTTTGCCTCTTCAAGGCATCCTGCACGACACAGAACATCGATCAAGCAACCGTAGTGTTCGATAGAGGGTTCAATTCCATAATCGTCCATCATCATTTTAAAGTAATGATAGGCATCGTCTGCAAATCCTGCATGACTACAAGCATTTAACAGTCCAATAAAAGTAATAGCATGAGGCTTCAGCCCAATTCTGCACATTTCATCAAATAGCTCAAGAGTTTGCCCTACCAAACCATGCATTCCCAAGCCTACAATTATAGCAGTCCAATGCCCCAATTTCTTTTTGGGTATAGATTTGAAAACTCTGAGGGCGCTCGCAATGCTGCCACACTTGGAGTACATTTCTATCAGCGATGTGCCAAGCACGCCATCTGTTTCAAATCCATTTTTCACTATGAAGGAATGAACCCATCTTCCCTTACCAAAACTAACCAATCCTGAAGCTGCAGAAAGAGCTCCAAGGATAGTGGCATGATTGGGTGATATTTCTTCTCTCAACATAACCTCAAACAGCTTCAAGGCTTGTGAAAACTGCCTGTTCAATTCGTATCCAGTGATCATCGAATTCCATGTAACGAGGTTTCTTTCTGGCATCTGATCGAATAATTCTCGTGCCGTGTTAAAATCCCCAGCTTTCATGTAGCCATTAATCATAGCATTCCAGGATACAGAATTTCGAGTAGGCATTCGATCGAACACGTCTCTAGCAGTCTCTAACTTCCCGCTTTTCGAAAGCCCATCAACCAGAATAGTCCATGAAAAAGAATCCCTCTCCGGCATTTCATCAAACACCTCCAGTGCCAGTTCAATTTGACCACATCTTGCATATCCATCAATCAAAGAATTCCATGAGACTACATCCTTATCTTCCATTCGGTCAAACACTTTCCTACACAGCTCAATCTCACCACACTTAGAATACATACTAACCAAACTACTCAAAACAAACTTATCCACCCCAAACCCAATTTTCAATATCAACCCATGAATCTGTTTCCCCTCGTCTAGAGCACTTAATCGAGCACAACCCTTCAGAACGCAAGGCAGTGTAAAAGAATCAGGAATGAACTCAGAGAGCAATTCGCAGAACAACGAAATGGCATCATTCGAACGTTGGTTCTCGACGTAGCACTTGACGAGCAGATTCCAAGAAACCAAAGTGGGTTCTCGAATCCAGTCAAAAAGGGACCGAGCATATTCGAGATTGTTGATTCTAGGATCTGTATAGAGCGCCAAAAGACGAGAAGATATTGAAGGGTGATTGAAGGAACCTGTTTTGAGCGACAGAGCGTGGAGTTGCTTCACTTCTCGTTCAGTTTCGCAGTTCTGGAGAGGAAAATGGAGGTTCCGAGGGAGAAATGGGAGGAGGGAATGCGAAAGTGCGAGAGACAGCATACCAGAAATCAAAGAATGGAGCTCAGTTATGAATACCCAGTTGAAATATTTAGCAAACAACTGATAACCACTGCAAATTTAGAAAATCCCCAGATGGATTTTTGAACAATTTCTCCTCCAATCCCTGCTGATAGACCTCTGATGGGGAAGAATTCAAGATCGGCGGCAAACGTCAAACATGGAAATATATAAACTTTATTGATTACTCTGAGATTTTGGGGGTAAAACTACGAGACAAATTTGGGTTGGGGAAAATAAAAGTATGTTAGAAACTATTTTTTTGAGTTCTGTTTAATATGTAGGCCAAATTTTGTTCCTTTGTTTTGAATATTTATTTCACATATTAGGGTTTTTAAAATTGTTTCTGAATTTTGCAATCAAGCTTAAAAATTATGAAAACAACATTGTTTTTAAAATTTAAATTCAATTTTAATTTCTACGGCCAGACACGTTTTTTTTTTTTTTTTACATTACTAAACACGTATTTAAATACTGAAAATAATTGTTTTCGAACCAAAAATTTTATTATAATAAAAAATTACTAATTACCTTCATATCACTAAACTAGATTACATTTTAATTTTGAGAAAATCCATTTCATGAAAAAATCATTTTTTAAATATAACACGGTATTGACTTTTCTTTTTTTTACATCACACTTTTTTTAAGACTTGAATAGTTAAATTAGACTTTAATTTAAATTATGTTATTTGTGTAAAATTAAACTTTTTTCTTTTTTTTTTAGTATATAAGGCTCTAAACTTTATATTATATTTAAAAATCATAATTATTTTATCGTCTTCTCTATTACAATTATTTTATTATTTTATGTTTTGCCAACAATCTATAAATATTTTGATTAATTATTTTAAAAAGAAAAGAATATATATAAACTATTCTAGATACTTCTCTTATTTTCTCTCTCTCTGCCATTTATCTTCTATTTAAGTGGAACTCCCATCGTTCAATCTCTCTTATCTTCTTCGCAGATCTGAACTTGTTTGTGTCTCTTCTTCTTCTTCGTTTATTTTCTGTTTATTATTATTATTATTATTATTATTTGTTTACAGATCTGAACTTGTTCATCTTCTTTTCCTTCTCTCTACCTTTTTTACAGATCTGAACTCACTCATCTTCCTTTTCTCTTCGTTTTTTCGGATTTAATCGTTGTTCTCAGGAGCAGCCCTCTTCGGCCCTAGTTTTTGCCCTAGTTTCCATAATTTGTTTGTGTTTTCCATGGAGTTGTTCTGAAATCAATGCGTGTGATGTGATTTGATGCTTCATTATCTGGTCGGTGTGGATCTGATTTGTTCCCACTCGACTCGTTCCCTTGAAGCAACATCGACCGTGTTACTTTTTCACAATCTCTCCCTTTGCTTTCTCTCATATAGCGTTCGGGAGAACACTGGAGTAGCTACATCTTCAATCAAATCAACGTCTTCTTTTTTATTCAAATGCATCGAAACGATCTTGTTGAGCAACGGTGATGAGCCTTTACAGACCTGTAATGACTTGCGGATGTGATCGCAATTTTTTATGAACATCTAAGGGACTGAGTTGCTTAGGTATTTTTTTTCCCCTTTTCTTTTGATTTCGATTCATCCTCGGGGATTCGTTAGTGATCTGGGAGCTTTTTGAAGATGGATTCGGGATTGATGTTGATTCAGTTGTGATTATGATGGAACAAATGGGGAATTTGGGCGTTCTTTTGAGAAGATGAGCAGATTTGAGATGATAAACCCTAGGACCAAATTTTTTGGGGGGCCAAATTTATTATTATTATTTTTTTTTACAATGACCAAATTTAATTATTATTATTTTTAAATGTAAATCATACCAAGACTTTTGAAAATATTACAGTATAGTTATTAAAATAGTTTCAGCTTGAGAGTGCTTGTCTTAAATATAAAAATTATTTATTTTATTAGTTTAAATGTGAAGATTAAATTTAGAGTGCATATTTAAATGGAGAAATTTCAGGAATTTTTTAAAATGTCACAATTGTATGTTATTATTTTCTTAATGTTGCATATTTTTTTTAATTTATGTCGAGAATATTACAAAAAATAACCAACAAAATATTTAAAATATCAACAAAATTTTATTAATATAGACACAATTTTAATATTAATAATTAGTTCAAACTTATTTAAAAGATGTAAAATTATTATTTGTTAGCTTAAATATTTCATTTTGAATTTTGAATTTTTATAATCTTTTTTAGAAATTCTTTAAAATTGTGATATTTAAAATCTTGTTTACAATTATAAACTAATAATGATTTTTTTTGTTTGTAAAATAAAATTAAAAGTATATATTTTTATTATTCTATTTATGTAATTAGCTTAGCAAAAAAATTTTGGAAATTTACAAAAGCTTATAAGTTTAACTTATAAGGTTTCTATTTAGTTCTCAACTTTAGAAAAGTGAAATCTTTTTAGGAAATGTTTTAGGAGGTGTTTGTGTTATAACATGGGTTGACGTGGTATCGATGAGTTTGAAATTTATTAATTTTAATTTATTTTTAATTATTAAAAGGTAAAGCAGTAGAATTACTTTGAAAAGCTATAGATTAAAAAATTACTTCTCAGTCAATGTTGATGTTGATATTAATGGATATTTTTATAAAAATAAAAAAAATAAACAAATAAACATTGTCTTATTTCTAAATTAGGTAAAAATAATTAATTTTAATATTATGTATATATTAGTGATATTTTGTTGATGTTTTTCATATTTTGTTGTTTTTTCTATGATGAAAATATCGATTTACTCTTCATGTTAATGTCGAATCCATAAAAACAATATGTTTATAGAAATCTTGACGGATATTTAAAACCATGGTTAGGACACAATTACATCTTTGCACATATTGCATCTTTCCTTGTTATAGTCAGCGAAGGAAAAAAGAAAAAAATAATAAATAAATAGTGAATGAGGGAGTAAAAATGAAACTTTTTTTATACAATCCTCACAAGCGATTTGCATATGGTTCCTATGATATAATTGGAGTAATACTGATATAACCTTTATTTAAAAAAAAATTGTTGGTTCGATTTCTAATTCAATAGATTATGAAGTGTACATGACTAAAAAAAAGATTGATTTTGAGTATTAGTTGGTACTTTCTACTTAGAAAAAAAGTTTAATCGAATTTTTTATTTTGAATCTAGAGAAAAAGATAGAAAAATGGAAAAAAAAAAATTGAGTTGAAAATTTTGATTTTCAATTTTTAAAGGAGAGAAAAAATTAGTGAACGTAGAAATTGTAAATAAAAAAGGATTTTTTTTTTCTTGGGTAACACAAGCTGGGGAGGGRATTCAAACTCATAATCTTTGAGGTATATGCCAATAGAGGTTGCGCTTAGTGCAATTGCTTAATCAATTTTGATACCATTTTAGTTGGATACACAAGTTGCATGTACCATGAAAATTCTTTAGTATAAGCTATATTCAAATGTATAGAGTGTAATTTGTAGTTGAAATTGAGATGGAAAATAATAGATAAAAATTGAATGGACCAACACGATTCAGAATCTCCAAACTTGACTTATGATTCTGAGGACTCTAAAGGATGATAATGTTGAAAAGTTTATTTATAATTACTTTAAGGTCATCTAGGTATTAAAAGAACAAATCTATTTTACTTGCATAGTTGAGTCGGTTAAAGCAAAAGAAAGGATGATCTTACTTGTCCCTCTTCCTATGCGTTCGGTAACCTTTTTAAGAAAAAGCTTTCATGTGATGAGAAGATAAAAATCTCTTTCAACTCAGAGTTGTGAGAGAAAAATTTACTAATTAATTTTTTAGAATGAGAGCATTTACCAAAAATTCAGATTACATCTTTCAAAATAAAATTATAATTTATAGAACGATATTTGAAGTCTAGGCAAATATTTTTACTATRTAGACGTAGGTCTCTGTATATTTACCAACCAACCACAAAATATCTAAAATTAATTTGAAACTAATCCTAAAATCAAGCATATAATCCTCTTTAAAAAAAATTACAAAGTTTTTACAAATATCACAAAATTACAATAAAAACAAACTTATTCAATTAAAAGTATTAATTAAAATTTGCTTTTAAATTAAATTAAAAGTTGGAGACACGAAAAGGTATGACATTGGAAGTTGATTGTGTATGATCTCAATCTATAACAAAGAAATAATAGTAGTTGTATTCGTTGTTGAACTTAACTTTTAGTTTCTGGCTAATCTAATAGATATCTAAATTTTAAAAAATGTTTAATAAACCTTACTTTTAATGTTGTGTATCATATATTTTTAAATTTTTATTTTTGCATCGATAGGTCCTTGACCTATTTGACAATTTTTAATTTCACATATCTATTATTCAAAAAATTGAAAGTTAGAATCTTAAATTAGACACAAAATTTAATTTCAAATCTAATAAATATGTTAATTTTTAAAATTTTTGAATATGTTACAACTTGTTGTTATACACAGAATTGAAATTTTTTTTAATACAACAAGTTGAGGTGGGGGATTGAGCGAGATTTGTGAGTAATCAGTGATAGAAAAGAAGATTCGAAATTTTGTGAACAATGCGGAGTTAACTATGCTTGCTTTGACACAAAAYTGAAAATTAAGAACATGAAGCTATTAAACRGTTTGAAAGTTTTAGATTTAAATATGTAATTTAACTACAATTAATTACACCATCTTACTTTCACATCTAAGAATTAGAATTATCAATAGAGCACATTTTTAATAAACACGTATTACCATTTCAAGCATCGTTGGTTGATTCTCACCCATMTGAGCSAAAAGAAAAAAAATCTAAGGGTTAAAATTTGATAAAAGTTAAGAGTCGGAAGGTTTGAAGTTTAGAGAATAAAGTTTAACCTAATATTTTCAAACATTAAGGTTGGTAAAACTTAACATAAACAATTATCTATAGCCCTTGGGAATCAGTTCTAATTTTCTAAACACCAAGCAAGCAAACAATGGTGTGAGAAGTTTATAGATTAAACCCTCGTTTTCATTACAATTTGTATTCAATTTTACATTTTTCTACAGGATTTTAACGAAAAGGAGACTTCGAAACTTTAGCAGATTGGCGGCTCAAAGTTTTGACTCAGCTGTTTGGTGATTTTTCTTCTTCTTCCCCCTGCTCTTCACCTGCTTAATTGGAGCTATGGTTCCCCAATGACCACGTTGGCGAGCTCGACGATCTCTATATTCGCTGAATCACGCTCCCCCATCTCCCAGATCTTCGAAACCTTCGGAAACTTCATGACTGCCCACAATCCGAAATGTTAAAACCCCTCAAAACCCCACCTCGTATGTGCCTCCATAGCCTTATTTCTGTATTGGGTTCTCACCAATCCCTCAAATTCTCATCGGAGCCGAACCCTTGTTCAGCCGCTTCACTTTCATCACCCACAGACCCTTTTCCCGAATTGGTCTCTAAGATTTCTGATATTCTTTCTCGCCCCAAATGGGAATGGAGTTCAGAGCTTTGCCATCTGAGCCCCAAACTCAGACCCCATCACGTAGTGAAGCTCCTCGAAACGCACAAGAACACGGATTCGGTCTTGCGCTTCTTCTTCTGGATTTCGAGGAGGCATTTCTTCAAACACGATATGAGCTGCTTCGTTTCGATGCTGAATAGGCTTGTCCGCGATCGTCTTTTTGCGCCGGCAGACCATGTAAGAATTCTAATGATTAAAACATGTAGAAATGAAGGAGAGGTTAAGCGGGCAATTCAGTTTTTGAGTGAGATTAATACCAAATACGGTTTTGGGTATACTTTGTATAGTTTTAATACTCTTTTGATTCAGTTGGGCAAGTTTGAAATGGTTGGTTTAGCTCGAGATGTGTATATCGAGGTGCTTAACAGTGGGATCAGACCCAGTTTATTGACATTTAATACAATGATAAATATTTTATGCAAGAAGGGAAAGATTCAAGAGGCAGAGTTGATTTTGAGTCATATTTTTCATTATGATGCCTGCCCAGATGCTTTTACATACACATCTTTGATTCTTGGGCATTGTAGAAATCATAATTTAGATTTGGCATTTGAGATGTTTGACCAAATGGTGAAAGAGGGGTGCGATCCAAACTCGGTAACTTATTCAACCCTTATCAATGGACTATGCGGTGAAGAGAGGTTAGAAGAGGCAATGGATTTGCTCGAAGAAATGGTTGAGAAAGGGATCGAACCAACAGTATATACATACACAATTCCAATAGTTTCATTATGTGATGCTGGTTGTTCCAGTGAGGCGGTAGAGCTTCTAGGCAAAATGAAAAAGAGGGGCTGTCGTCCAAATGTTCAAACGTTTACAGCATTAATTAGTGGTTTATCTCGAGATGGGAAAATTCAGGTTGCAATTGGCCTATATCACAAGATGCTGACTGATGGTTTGGTTCCAACGACTGTTACATACAATGCCTTGATTAATCAATTGTGTGTGGAAGGAAGATTTGAAATTGCTCTCAAAACTTTTCAGTGGATGGAGAGTCATGGTAGTTTGCCGAATACACAAACATATAACGAAATAATTAAAGGGTTTTGCTCAATTGGTGACATTCAGAAGGCAATGGTTCTCTTTGACAAAATGCTCAAGACTGGTCCTTCYTCAAATGTGGTAACTTACAATACACTTATTTGCGGATATAGCAAGCAGGGATACATGAACAATGCAATGAGATTGTTTGAAATGATGAAGGGTAATGGATGTAAGCCAGATGCTTGGACTTATACTGAACTTATTTCGGGGTTTTCTAAAGGGGGAAAATTGGACTGTGCAKCTTCTMTTTTCAATGAAATGATGGAAAATGGTATTTCTCCAAATCAGGTTACGTATACAGCAATAATTGATGGATACTTCACAGTGGCAAAAGTGGATGATGCCTTAGCAATGTTTAAGAGGATGGTGGAAAGTGGAAACCTTCCAAGTAGTGAAACCTACAATGTGATGATAAGTGGTTTCTCTAAAATTAATCGTATTTCTGAAGCAGAGATTTTCTGTGGTAGAATGGTGAAGCAAGGTTTGTCCCCAAATGTCATTACCTACACATCTTTGGTCGATGGGCTCTGCAGGAATGGCAGGACAGGTCTTGCATTCAAGATTTTCCATGACATGGAGAAAAGAAATTGTTTGCCAAATTTATACACTTATAGTTCCCTAATTTATGGTTTATGCCAAGAAGGTAGGGCTCAGGATGCAGAAAGGTTACTTGATGGAATGGAGAGGAAGGGATTAACCCCTGATGAGATAACATTTACCTCTCTTATGGATGGTTTTGTTGCACTTGGCAGAATTGATCATGCATTTCTCCTTTGCAGGCGAATGATTGATGTTGGCTGCAGACCCAATTACCGAACCYTTGGCATATTGCTGAAGGGTTTGCAAAAGGAAAGTCAGTTGGTTACAGAAAAAGTTGTAGCCCAACATGAAGTCATGTATACTTGTRGCTCTGATGAGAAAAATAGCACATCATATACACTGTACAGTCTCCTGGCTAGATTGTCTTACTATGGATGTGAACCAACTGTTGATACATACACCACTTTGGTGAGAGGCTTGTGTGGAGAGGGTAGATGCTATGAGGCAGATCAGCTGGTCGGTAGCATGAAAGAGAAAGGGTTGCCACCTGGTGAAGAAATTTATCATGCTCTATTGGTTGGGCAATGTAAGAACTTGGAAGTGGAATCTGCTCTTAAAATCTTTGACTCTATGGTTACAATGGGTTTTCAGCCCCTCCTAGCAGCTTACAAGGTGCTCGTATGTGCGCTTTGCAAAGCAAGTTACAAGCAAGAAGCTCAAACTTTGTTTCAAACTATGCTTGAAAAGCATTGGAATAGTGATGAGGTTGTCTGGACAGTTTTGCTTGATGGATTACTCAAGGAAGGGGAGATCGATCTAAGTTTGAAGCTTCTTCATGTCATGGAATCTAGAAATTGCACTCTCAATTTCCAGACATATGTTATGTTAGCCAGAGAACTATCTACACTAGATAACTCAATTGAGATCCCTCAAATCTTTGAACAGTTGAGAATTATAAAGGATACAAAATGAATCAAGGTTCTTTTATTTGAACGACGAGAATGCTCTCAAGCTTCCAATATAATGGACCTTGTTCTAATGGGATCCAACAAGTTCTCGAATTTAACCGATGGCATTTCCCMTCCTGAATGGCTGAAACAATTTGTATTGCTGTTATTTACTAACGTGGTAAGCAAAAAAATCTGTAACAATTGTAACCAACTTGTGTTCACTGTTTTCTGTTCTTATGATTTTTATGCTTCCATTTCAATTGTATTCCTCTAATGTAAACATCTGCTGTTGTGTTGCTGCAGAAGAACCAACTGTAGATGTACTTTAGAAGAAGACGGAAATTGCTCTACAAGAAGCTTCTAAAGGTAGATTTGGTTTCATCCAGCTGCTGTTTAATTTATAAGATATCAATCATGATTCATACAAAGCATCTTTTGCTCATAGGTGTATATCACTTTGTCATGCCTTTCGATAAAAGGCTTTGTGGTCCTACTGGTAAGGGTTTGGAGTGTTTGGGGGAAGTTCCCCAGGGTTTAAGCCTCTAGTAGAAAGCTTAATGAATGGAAACAAACTCTTGATGTCTTTTGGAGCTTTCTTATCAAAAAAGAAAAAAAAAGATGTCTCTTGGAGCTAGCGCTGGAGTGCAGGTCTTCTAGCGGAGTAGTGGGGTTAAAAAACTGCTTTAAGCATTGAGATCTAGAGGGAACCTSCATGTGCTAAACTTTAAGGACATTTTATGATTCCATCTAGAATGATCCCCATTCAAAATGTTGCTTCATAAGATAGTTCACTTGTGGATAGTCGTGCTCCTAATAAATAGAAACTCATTCCTTCTTCGTTATATTCACCCTTTCCTTTCAAAAAAGGAAACTAATTCTCTATAATGTCTACTTTTCGAGTTTATGTACTTGAATCACATATTTTGCTTTTCTACTGGTAATGGAGAAGTGCGTTTTGAATATTCTTGCACCTAAATTTTGCAGGGTAAAAGTGACAGTTTCTGCACCAGAGCTTTCTATGTTCTTGATGACCATTATAACAGGAATATCTACCGCCTATACGTAATATTGATGCTTCTACACCACACGATTTGTTGATTCACTTTATTCTTTCCGTCACCAAAGACAGTACCGACAGAATGCTGCCGCGGAGCAGGTCACTTCATTCCATGTCACTAGTATGAGTCATCAATAAAGAGTTCGGTGGTTGATTAGTTGCAGGATCACTAACCGAAGTATAATGTCAATTGTTTTGTCCTAGAGTTAAACCCATTCTTACGGGTGCCTAAAATTTTGGCGCTTCCTGAATAATAGATATATGAGAAAGAACCGTGAATAAATGTATATGTTCAGCACAAAAATTTTGGGGCCTATGTCCGACCCAAGTATAATTGATTAATTAATGTATCATTTCAAATTCTGCTGTGTTCTTTAATCGTCTCAATGTGCACTATCTATAACCATACTTATGAAACTTTTTGATGCCTCCCAAAAATAACATCTCTGTTTAATGGAAACAGTTGAAGGCTGATAATTTGCTGTTGGAATGGAGAAACTGAATGGTCTGTTTGAGGCATTTATAATTGTTTAACACCATTACAGATTTAAGTGATTTAGACCCAGAAGATAGCAGAGAATCCAAGGTGCCATCACATGCAATGGACTCATGGGGGAATTTTGAGCTTTTGGGCTGAAGGAAGTAACGTTCCCCTTGGCAGGTAGGCTTTCCAGAAAATTTTGATTTGGGTTTGGACAATAAAGACCTGTTTGGCTAATGGGCAATCTTCCTAGTTCCTCCCTTAAAAAGAAACCAGCAACAGAAAACAGATGAAAGAGGAAAATGCTCTGAAACAGGTATTATTGTCCTTCTTCTCTTTCTCTTTCATGCATTATATTGTGGGGGCCCTGATTAAAGCCATCTTTAWTGCAAAATATTCCTCCTAAACCTTGTCTTCTCTGCAGATTCTCGCTCCCCCTGGCCCTCTTTACAACCCCATTCAAAAGCCATGGAAAAATATATCTTTGTTGTGTAAGAAATTGCAAGCGTCCAAAACACAGCCAAATTCTGCATCATCCTCTAAGCCAAGGCTGTTCTAAATGACAAAAAAAATGACATAAATTATTACCTAACCTTTTATTCCTCGAGCTTCCTTCCAAACACTACCATCCATTTCTGGTTTGGACTTGTTTCACACATTTGCTTTACATCAAAAGTCCTTTTCCCTAAAATATTCACCAACCCAACCCTCTCTAGACCAGCCTTCAAACTTTTGCTGTTTGGATTTTCTTGCAAAGCAGCTGATTCTCCTTTGTTTCACATCACTGATTATCAATCAGAAAAGACTCCATTCCCCTATTCTATTGATAAGAGCAAAACCTTCCAATCCTATAAGTACACATTCTCCAAAACTGTAGACCTTCATACTATAAGAAATTGCAGCCTAAACTTGCCTATCGTCACTGACCCTTGAAAGTGTTCTGCAGATGGGTAGGCAGAGTAGTGAACCCACCATGGTTGGTACCTCCATAGCCCTGTTACAAGCAAGGTTCAGACAGTTGCAGAAAGACAAGCAAAGGAGGGAGAAGAAGGAGCTTATTAACCTGTTATCTGATTCAAACCGGGTTGATGCCTCGATAATGCATTTAGAACCCAGAAGCTCGTCGTCAACCCTGAGAGATATGGAGTCGGTGGACTCCGACTCGCTCTCCCTTGGCCTTTACTTGCAAAATGCAGGTAAACAAGCTCATATCTTTGAAGCTAGGTCAATGCCTGCTGTGACCAAGTTCTGGCCTGACAATTCAGTCACGGCAAGTATGTCGAGAAGTTTCGATAGTCCAGACGTGGATACCACTCTTCATCTATAGAGAACTTCTTCACTTAGTATTTATGTTGGTTTATTTGCTTGCTTCTCTCCCAACTTAAGAATGAAAAGAGTGTGTGCAACTGAACTGATATGTAGTGTGATCAATTATGTATTGATGATGCTGTGGATATTTTGTGAGTTGTAGTTTTTGCTTGGTTAGCTCTAGGAATGTGCCTTATGAGAAAAGGAGGGAAGGGAAGTGATGGAAAATAACTCTCAGATGATCTCTTTTATCAGTTTCATAATGTTTAAATATCTCTTTTTTTCTTCTTTTTTATTCTTCTCTGTATGGAAGTATGGAGTATATAAAGTAAGGAAATTCTCTGATGCCAATATGTCAATGGTAAATGACATTTATTTACCATTTATTCCTTCTCTCAGGTAAGAAGTTCAAATTCTCCCACTTCAAATTTGTTAAATTGGATCATCCTAACTTTTAGAAATTTGTTATTTTAAATTTATTAGAAAAAAAATACATGAAATATTACTTTTGTCCTAAATTGATGTTAAAAACTTGTTTGTTTCCACAATAACTCGTAGTCTTGTARTCTACTTTATTCAAAGGTGGTTCAAGAGATACCACAATCATAAAGTGACATTTTAATCCTTAAAATTCGAAAAACTATTCATATGGTTCCCTATCAAATATCACAGTCTTAAAAGTAATATTTAAAATATTAAGGTTTGAAGAATGATTCATRGTGGTCTTTATCAATGTTTTAAATGTCGGGGTTTCCATTTTATGGAAATATCGATAAAATATTGATGTTGATATTTCTCTAAAAATTATAAAAATTAAAAGTTGTAAAAAATATTTAAATTAACAAATAAACATTTTTCTATTTTTAAATAAGTTAAAAATAATTAATACTAATATTATGTATATATTAGTGACATTTTGTTAATATTTTTCATATTTTGTCGATTTTTTTTTAATTTGATARAAATATCGATTTACTTCTCAGAACTCATGGATATATGTAAATGTCAATGGAAATGTCGACCGATATTTAATACCATAATCTGTCAGATTAATGTATTCTACCACTTAATCCATTTTATTTTGTACTCTAAAAAACTATTGCACTTTATTTTTTCTTTCAGAAATGACATGAATTTATCTCTCTCCCTCTAGAAAAAGATGTGAACTTTCAGAAGAAAATCTTGAATAAATCGAACTTTACCAATTGGGCAATCTCTTTTTTTTTTCCATAAAAAACTCAGATTTAGGCGAATCGTTGAACCCTGCGCTGACCGTATTTGGCCATTTCTACTCGCGAAGACCACGTCTTTGTTGTTTCTTGCCTGTAAGGGTTCGCCAGTTGAACCTCTGTCGGCCCCTTCGTCGTGCTTTCGTCTTCAGGGCTTGAAATCTGCGAATTACCCAACTGATAATGAATCCCAGTTCCGCCGCTCTCTGATTTTCTGACGTTTCTCGCGGTTTCATCGACTAAGAATCTCGATTTCGTAGTGTGATTGGTGGGTGAGCACTCTCTCTTTCTTTCTTTCGAGTTGGGATGAACTGGGGTGAACTGATGCTATTTTTCTTTTCAGTTTTTGAATTCTCTTTTGCTTCTGTTTCTTACCGAGGTCTGGACTTATAGCAAGGATCTGGGTTTTTATTATCTTAATCGTTTCTTGCTTCCTTCATTATTTTTGAAGTGCTGGTTTCGCAGAGCTTTTATTCGGCGGATGCTAGGAGATCTGGGTTCTTTGTTCTGTTGTGATTTTGTTGTTCCTGATCTAGTTTTAAACTCAGTTTGATGCTTGTGGTTCTATTCTTTTGGAGCCTGGTTGTGGAAATGGTTTTTGATCGACTGGAATCATGAACTCTTTCTTTTCCCTCTCTAAGTACATTGTGGAGAGAGCTTCTCTTTGTACATTTAATCCTGTAACTATAATCTGAACCGTGCTGCCATGGGTAATTTGCATAGAACTTTTTTCGGGTAAAGTGATGAAAAATATCTGCTTATAACGCATATGAAGTATATGATTTTATTTCCCGGAGTTCTGCTCCTCTTCTCGTATCTCATCATGACCATTTAGCCATTGGATTCTGAAAATTTTTGGTTCTGGGTTAAAAAGTTAACTGGGAGTTGATAGTTTTTCAAATTGTTTCGAACCATATATGATTGAACTTGGTGTGTTTTCATGGTTATCTTTGGAGGGTTTGTTATTGATAGAATAACTTGGTTTCCACTTTGTTTGTGGTAAAATGGAAATTTGGAATTTTTTAAGAAAATTTTACATGCGGATGAAATGTGTAATGTATTTGTGTACTTGTTCAAATGAAGGTTGATGATGGTCATTTTTATGATAATTTTCTTTTACACAGTACGAATAATGGGTGCTTCATCTGGTTCTAACATCCATCACCAGCCTGCATCAAAGATGATTCCCATCCGTCAACAGCCACGGCCTGAGGAGCTCCAGACATCTCTTTCCTTAGTTTCATCAGAACCCCGACCGTCCCCTGAGGTACCCAGATCTAATTCTGACCAAATTCACGAGTCTCCTACTGAGAGTGCCAGTTCTCAGGAAACTTGGCCTATTGGTGATGGAGGGATGGGGAAGAAGATGGAAAATGGAAAGACAGATAATGACTTTGTTGAGCAGTCAGTCATTCATCGCCTTTCTAGTGCTGATAAAATCTCACTTCGTGACATAGCAAGAGAAAGAATTGAGGTAATCGCTGAAAAGATGCATCGCTTACCCGAGGATTTTCTAGAAAATTTGAAGAATGGGCTTCGAATTATTCTTGATGGAAATGGTAGTGCACAACAGAGAGATGAGATTTTCATTTTGCAGAAGCTTGTTCAGCGTAGAACTGATTTAACTGCAAAGACCTTGATTAGAGCACATAGGGTACAGCTTGAAATTCTAGTTGCGATCAATACTGGAATTCAGGCCTTCTTGCACCCAAATATCAGCCTCTCCCAGACTACGCTCATTGAGGTTTTTGTGTATAAGAGATGTAGAAATATTGCTTGCCAAAACCCGCTTCCGGCTGATGATTGCACTTGTGAGATATGCACCAGCAGAAATGGTTTCTGCAATCTGTGCATGTGTGTAATATGCAACAAGTTCGATTTTGAAGTTAACACCTGTCGTTGGATTGGCTGTGATTTGTGTTCTCATTGGTCTCACACGGATTGTGCCATTCGTGATGGAAAGATTTGCGTGGGATCTTCTGTTAGGAGCGGGACAGGGCGGACAGAAATGCATTTCAAGTGCCCAGCTTGCCATCGGACGTCTGAGCTGCTTGGTTGGGTTAGAGATGTCTTTCAACATTGTGCACCTTCCTGGGACCAGGAGTCTCTGATGAAGGAGCTTGATTTCGTCAGTAGGATATTTCGTGGAAGTGAGGACCAGGGTGGGAGGAAACTTTTCTGGAAGTGTGAAGATCTCAAAGAAAAAATGAAGAATGGAGCTCTGGAGTCTACAGCAGCTTGCAGAGCAATATTGATGTTTTTTCAAGGTACATTGATAAAGCCTTTATACTTTTTGTCTTAACTAATGAGAGTTTGGAATAATTTTTGTCTGCGCGAGTGGTAAAGGTGTGCATGACTCAGCTCCATGTAATGGAACTGTCTAATATAGCTTTAGCTACATTGGTTCTTCTACTGATTTATAAAATGTGCAAGATGGTATCGTTATCTGTGACCGACAAGCTGACTTTTTCTGCTGATGAATACTTTGGTTTTCAAAATGGTCCAATTTGGAACAAACAAGTATAAATGGAAAAGAATTTTCTGTTAAGATTATCTTCTACACTATGACTGTGCTAAAGCTTGAAGGACGGACTTTTTTAGCTTATTTGTTTACATAGGTAATAGGTTCAAGAATTAGTTCTATGGATAACATACTTTTTGTGAATAATTTCTAAAAGAAGATAGTTTTAGTTGATATAACCAGTCTTTGAGACGTTTTTATAGAAATGAAAAGAAAATTACCTGGACTTTGCTCCTTGAGATGCCGTTTTTGTCTTTTGTTTCATTTATCTGGGTGTTTGAGCTATATTCTAGACATATTTACTTAGTTTGTGGTTTTGCACCTTTACCATTGATAAAAATCTAACGTCCATCTTGGTCTTAATGAAGAGAACGAGACAGACTCTATGAATAGTCTTGAAAATGGGGAAGGGGGAAGGTTAGCGGCCCCACAGGAAGCATGCAATCGAATCGCGGAAGTGGTGCAGGAGGTTATAAGAAAAATGGAAATTGTTGCCAATGAGAAGATGAGAAGTTGGAAAAAGGCTCGCCTGGATGTCGAGGCCTTTAACCGTGAGGTTGAAGATAAGGCCAAGGAAGCAGCAGAGATAAAGCTGGACAGACAGAGAAAGAAGCTACAAATTGAAGAGCTCGAGAAAATTGTTAGACTTAAATGTGCAGAAGCTGATATGTTCCAACTTAAGGCCAATGAGGCAAAAAGAGAGGCCGAGAGGCTTCAAAGGATTTCTCTTGCCAAAACAGACAAGTCTGAGGAAGAATACGCTAGCAATTACCTGAAACAACGTCTGAACGAGGCCGAGGCCGAGAAGCAGTATTTGCTCGAAAAGATCAAGTTACAAGAAAGTTCCAGAGCTTCACAGAGCAGTGGTGGGGCTGATCCATCGCAGATGCTTATGTATTCAAAAATTCAAGATCTGCTCTATAGTGCCTCTAAGCCAGACACAGGCAAATGAATGAGAATACTTTGGGATCAAGCCCTGATGAAAACTAAGGTCTGAGCACAGTGACATGTAAATTAAAATGTTTCAAGTTATGTTTCTTTATTTACTGATAATGTATGAAGCTGTTTCTCACTGGACCTTCAGATACTTGTACCGAAAATGTAATCGAGTTGTTAATTACTTCTATTATGCCTACCTTTTTTAGTAGATTGTTAATAACAAACCAAGTTTCTGTTTGATACTGCTTTGGGGGTATGAAAAATAAGAACAAAAGCATAAATTTTTTTCTGTTATACGATGAAGTCAACAACATTAGAGCAAACTACTATGCCTATTGCATTATTAGAAAGGTTGCTTAAAACTGGATATTGTATCTGGAGAATTACTGACAAAGCTGGGTATTTATTTGATTTGAATGAACTAAGCTGCGGGGGCATGAGGTGGACGGATTCAGTGTAGTGGACGGGTCGTCTTCTTCATTGCAGCAGACTGTAAAGATTTTGCTCCTTTCTTTTCATTCTGCCGAACTGTAGCTTCGAACATGCTCTGCTTGGCCGGTAAAGTGTCTGAATAGGAAACTCTGTCATATGCAATAGTTGTGCTTATACCATGACATCTTATAGATGAGTTTAAGCACACGTTCGGGGTAATGATTCGTGCATTGTTCACACAGACACCCATCTTTCTGCAGTTGGTTATGCTGATCATTCTGTTTGGGATGCTCGATGGAACCAGGCTCCCGTTTGGGAAGTGTAGAAGATTGTTGAGCAGCAATGGTGTGGGGACAGAATGGCTAAGAACGAATTCTTCAAGTCGGTCGGGGGAGATTGCAACGTGAGATAGTTCCTGATCAGTGGGCATAAAGAATGTCATACCCGAGTACTGCAAGGCTTTATTGGAGCTATTTAGGATCTTGAGCAGTATGACAAAGCCATTGTAAGATTTCGATCTCATGTCATCCATGGCAGCTTTCAGGTCGGTCTGGTCGATAGCCGTAGCGTGAGCTTTCCCAACTAAGAAGAGAAGAACAAGAAACCAAGGAGCCATTTTGGGATGAAAAAGAAGCTCAAAAACTGTCTTTTGCAATACAGATCACTGAATGGCATGAGATATTTGGTGAATTTATAGCCTGAACAAGCAGGATTTGGCCATTGAAGTAGAAGGTACACTGCATGGCTTGTTTGTTTCAACATGCAATTTGAACATGAACAATTAGTTGGGAAAGGCAGCTTATGCCTCAAAAACTGTTACTGTTATTTGCCTTTTCTTAAATGCATTTTGGAACAGCAAAATGGGTTCTTTGCAGAAAAAAGCCACAATAAAGGAATGACAACAGGAATCCCAAGAAGTTCCACATCAGCACAGTTTTTCTCCATCCTCAGAATCACAGGCCAATTGGGTAAGAACAGGTATGTTTCCATATTTGGTAACTCAGTTTTTTTTTCTCCTTATTTTAATGAGATAATATTCTGCTAAACAAAGTGAAAGTGAACAATATAGAATGTTAAAGCAGAATTCATGATAATTTTTCTATATCTCACATAATCCTAAAAGTGGATACTGCTTTTGATGCTCTGTCTTTTATATTCACTTCTGTAAGCCACCATTAACACTGTTAAAGATCCTCCTCTGCTCTGCCCTGCTGCTGTGTAGTGCTCTCACATGGCAAATTATTTGCCTCACTTTTTTGCAGGTGATCAAAAGAAAAAGAAAAAAAAAATGATACCCAAAATACTGTCTATCTCTCAACCACACACACTCATGATTATCCATTAAACCTGTTTTGTTTGCTTCCACTTTCTTGAGAAAAAAGTTGCACATGTTTGAAACTCTTCTTTTTTCTGAAAGATTATTGTCAATGAAATCAACATTAAAATCTTGCATGAATGATGGTTATGAAATGTTGTTGTTAACATCATCCATATGAACATTGATATAATTTGAATGTAGTATCTGCTTTGCTTTCAAATCTCTCTTAATCTATTTTGGAGTGAATACCAAAGTTGCCCTTTGGTTTTGGACTGATCTTTTATGCTAATGGGTCATGTATTTCAAAGTGCCTCTTCATAGACAGCAAATCCAATGGATAAAAAAAAAATAATACTTGAAGCTTAAAAGTCAAATAGAAACTCAATTAATATATTGAACTCTCACTTGATTAACTAGTTTTTTTTTTTAATTTGGTCTCTGTAATTTGGGACTTTCTTATTTTGGTCCTTGTACCTTTAAAACGTTTTTTTTTTATCTATATGTAATTTTAATTATTGTTCATTTTAATTATTGTACTCTCAAAATATCTATTTTAGCTCATCTTCTAATACACATTTATTGCTATATTTCAAAAAAWTTAGTGAGKGAAGTATTATACTAAAATTACGACCTAAAGAAATTAGATAAAAATGGAAACCAAATTCGAATTACGATTAAAATAGTATTAAATTTTTTTTCCCTTTTTCTCATCCTGCTTGTATAGAATTCTTACATTACTCATATATGATTCATATACCACATGTTTAAAACCAGGCAAAACTTATTTTGTTTCCATCCGAGGGTTAAAAAAATTCTATATCATGAAAATGACTTACATGAGTACTTAAAACTATTTTAAAGATTATTTATGTGATATTAAGTCAATATGAACGTAACTCTACTAGGTTTGAATCCCATTCCACTCGAACTAAAAAAATAGTGATAAAATTTTTAAAAAATTTGTAATCACTTGCAAATTGTAGGTCGAATGACGTGCTTAAAAAATGATTAAATTTATGTAACATGAGTTTAGGTTACTTGTGTTAGTAACAAATTTATAGCCATAAATAAACTCACATTTTAAACCTGGATTTAACTTCTTAATCTTAGGTCATATAAACCTAATACATAAGTCAAAAATTCTATTTATGCGAAAAATAGGATGATGTCAGACCTGGTCAAGGTCGAACACACAAGCTTAGCTGACTCGGAATGGCATTGAATGATCTGCACAAGAGAGCAAACTCTCTAACGCTCAAGTCAGTAAAACAGCTCACACTCAATAGTAAGTTTGAGGAGAAATTCGATATCTAGTGTTGAAATTGTGCCCTCTATTTATAGGTTAGGGATTCGACAGACCCCCGACCGGTTATTCGTGTCAGATAGCAGATCGRACATGTTGGACTCTGTATGTCAGCCTCTGTAGCAGATCAAACCCTTCATACAAATAAAGTGTAAAATAAATAGCTAAGTATCCCACATCTGAGGGTTTGAGGTAGACCTGTCTTCGAATACTGTAGATGAATTAGGAAGAGGTTCTCAAACTTTTTAATGAGATAGAAATTCGTTAGGTTTAGGTTTAAATATTATTTTGATTCRTGAACTTTACATTTTTGTGCCATTTTAATTCTWTACATCGAAAATTTTTGTTCTATTTCGTAAACTTAMATCAAAATTTGTCTAACATCAAAACAACTTATTTTAGACTCAATACCAAACCTAGCGAAAAACACAAATCATCTAACCCTTCAACATTTGATTTTATCAACAATCTCAATATTTGTTTTTTGATTTGCTCTCAACCCTGAATCGTGCTCATCCATTCCAGCTTTCATCTCCATTCTCACAACTCTATCGACACAGTTTGGCCGCTCCTCAATCTAGACAGCCAAT